AGAATCAAAAAGGGCTATATAACCTAACAGTGCCTACAGCACTACTAGTATAGGAAGCGACAAGAGAAGAGGGAGTCTGAGTCGATTAGTCTATCTAGAACAGGAAGATAAAGACGACTGAGAAGAAGAAGAAGGAGATAGGAAAGGAAGAAGGCCTATAAGTCCTAAAGCACAAAGAGAACGAACAGGCCAAGACCTAATAGGAAATCCCCGGCCTGCTTTATACAGGGCTAAAGAAGATAACAAACCCTACAAACCCTCGAGGTTAAAGGGATTAAGTTATTAATTACTTAAAATAAATAAGGTCCTAGTGCAAAGATTTAAATAGTTAATTATATTGTATTAAAAATTAAGAGGTTTAATATAATAAATTAGCTCGTTTGTATACTTCGTAATAGCTAATAGGCGAAGATATATCTTTAATAGTGATATTTAATAAGTACTCTAGTAGTCGTGCTATAATATTATAGCTAATATAGCCTAATCGTTAGTGCTATTAGTTAATAGTTCTATCTAGATACTTTCTAGTATAGGAGGATAGGGTAATATTATCGAATTAGTTAGTAATCTTATCGAATAAAGCGGAAGTAAGAGATAATTAAGAGGTAGGTAAAGGAGGGGAAACGTGATTAGCAGAGCGTCCGGTAGTAGACCTTTTATCCTATTTAATTAGATATCTCTGATTTCGTATTTAATTAGTAAATTAGTGTACTATCCTTCTCCTCTAGCGTATAATCCTTACTATTTAGAGGTAGTCTTAGTATTTCCTACTATAACAGAGGAAATAACTAGCCTATAGTTTAATAGTAGATCTTAGTTATTCGTGATATAAATAAATACTCTAATATTATAGTACTAGGTATCGTTTTTCTTAGCTAGGATCTAAATTATACTTATAGCTTTCCTATTATTAGCTTAGAAGGGGTCTTTAGCTTACTGTTTAGCAGAGAATATATCCCGTGTCGTCGTTTTGTCTGATTAAGATTACTCTAGCTTACGGGTATACTTCTAGTTACCTAATTTAGCTAGCTTTTAATATCTTTTGATTATATAATCGTATATAGTTCTAAATATAGGTAAGGATTTATAGGTCTATTAAATTTCTTTATCTAACTACTAGCCCCTAGGCCTAGCGTATAGATTAATATATAAGTATCTATTAAAATCGTAGTTGCTATTATTAGGTAGACCCTAATAAGGGTAGGTACCCTTTTAGCGTAGTTTTAGTGGCTTTTCGTTATTATCGTTATTAGGCTTTTAGCCCTAATAGATTATATAAGCAATCTATTACCTACTATTACTAGTAGACAATAGAGTTAATCGATACTAATTAATAAAATTAATCAACTAGCTCTATTAAAGTAGGCTTCTTTATCCTCTAGAGGATAGTATTATACTAGAACATATAAAAGCTTTAATTATATAGTTGAATAGCTTCTAGGAAATTATAACCTAGTAATAAAGGATCTTAGAACTATATAATATTAGCCTATTCACTATTAGATTAGTAAATCACCTATTTCTAGCACTATATAGCTAGATCATAGGGATTAATAGGTAGCGTTTAGCGCTTTAATATATCCTAATCGCGTAGGGTCTAGCAATTCTTTAATTAACTTAACAGGGCGAATATAGCACGAAGCGTAATAATAGTATTGCGTAGGGATAGGCTATTAACAATCTGCCTTCCCTTAAGTATAAGTAAGGATCGAATACCTTACTTAAGCAATTTAATCGCGCGTATAAGAAGATAGTCTAATTTTAACGATTTATATTCGCTAAGCAGAATCTTATAGATTAATTAGGCGTATAGATAAGGGTTCATTAGATATAGAGGTATTAGAAAGCTATTTGACTATATTAGATATCTATAGCTTTATCAGTTCCTAGTAGTATAGCAGGCTATTTATCAGGATTAAGATATTTCTATACACTATTCGATAGTGTATAGTCTTATATAGTAGTATACTAAGGGATCTAATACGCGTAATATTTTAAAGGGTGGCTAAGCTAGGTAGCTCGAATATCGGTCGAATCTATGACTTATAGGACAAAGGTGAGAGATAGATAAGACGAAAGTAAGCAAAAGATCAGAGAAGAGTGAAACCGAAAGCTTTAGCAACAGGCTACAGCGATCAGGCTTATAACTATCGTATTTACAGGGCCGGCATAAATCCTTCGGCGTATATAAGCAAGCAATTGTATATAATTGGTTAAATCAGTATACGATCCGGCAAGGAATCGTATAAGTCAGGTCAAAAGGGTCGTATAATTCGGCTTAGAATCGGAAGTCAACTTATGATAGAATAATGCTCTAGCTTCGTCACAATGATTAGACTTGATTCAACTAGCTATAGGACAACAGGCAGTATTTATAATAGTAAGATATCACAGCATAGAATCTCATAGAAATTAGGAGAAATATAGAGTGTTGAAGCTCTTTCGTTATGTATAGAATCAATCGTTGAAGATCATCGTCACGTGTACGTTCCGTCGCATTCTGTCAAGTTCGATAGCTCTCGGGGACTTATGCACCCACTTACGTTGACATTTTGTCTATAGCTTGTGCGCTTAGTCAAACTAGGAATCTAAATAACGTTAACGTAGTTCACGGCCGACCGAGCCACACGGCCATGCGGGCCACCCCAAAACGCCGCCATACTAAATGCGATTTTTCAGGTATCAATATATCAACAACGAGAAGGTATTTATACTAATGTTTTTGGAATGCTATAATTCCCTGGTATCAGAAATAGTTTAGAATAGCTAACATATTCAGAAACGATTCTTTACTGGCATTACTAAAAATACGCTCCGACCGAGTGACGTAGATATATATATTGACATTGTTATATCTGAAAATACTTCCCGAGCTTCCAAAGGTACCAAGGATGACATATGTAACACTAAGATACACTAAGACTATATAATTGGCCTTAAGCGGTGAAATATGAAGTTGTGAAAATCGCATTTAGTATGGTGTTTTGGGTGGCCCGCATGACCGTGTGGCCCGCATGGCCGTGAAGTACGTTAGACTGGATCGGAATTATTGGTTAACTATACTAAGGATCCCTAATTAATATAAGATAAAATATAACTTCTAGTATTAAGCTAAATAAGTCTCCGATAAATAAAAAAGCAAAATAACTTGCACGCCATAGATTTATGTAGTACTAGTCTAGTGTATTCTAGTTTAGTTATACGTTTAAGCGAGCAAACTCTCAATCCCTAGCCACTATAATAGAAAGACATAATCAAACGTACTTTAAAAATTTCGCCTATTTAGGTCGAAAGGTACTAAATAACCTCTACACCTAGAAGTACTCCTATAACCTCAGACTATTCTATACGTTCTTTATAGTTAGTAATATTAATCAGAGAGCCTCTAACTACGGTTTAAATAGTATTTTATAGTTTCTTACTCTAGGAGAGCCTTTTTATTTAATTTTGTATAGATATAAAGAAGTACGATATATTAGCCCTACTACTCAAAACGAAATTACCCGAATTTAGACTTATTATTCTACTTTAGCTAGCTTAGTCGTTCCTCAGCGAAGGAATAGGGATTCTTGTATTCAAGAGATTTAATAAGCTATATTAATCTATTACACTATATATCCCCTACTTATCGTGTATCCTAGTAGATCCTTCACCCACAGCTTCGAACAAATTTTAAGAACGCGTTATATTTTATAATCTATGCAGTCTACCTATATCCCTATAGGGATTTACTTTGATTTACACATAACAACGCGTCCTAATTATCGAATGGCGCCTAGGTGGCAATAGGCAAACAACGGCCTTGAAAACATTGACGAGCACGCTATATACCTTAAAAGAAGCATACAATCAACTACGAGCGCTGGATAGAGGACGACAGAATCAGGATGCTATAGAATATAGTGCAGTAGTATGTAGCCTCGACCGTTGCACTCATCAGCAAGGTCCTAAGACAGCTTGCGATCAGCGATATCCTCCAGCACGTCCAAGACACGGCTAAGTGCACATAGAACACCCAAAAAAGACATTACAATTATCAAGAACTCTGTCGGACTAAGCACGACTCTGATAAATGCGGCCAATTTCAGTGGTGGATGAGCTACTACTACGACCTAGGCGTAGATTACGGCTCAGGCCAAAGACGCGCTAGCTCCCCCTCCCCCCCTCAAGTACCACAGGGAGCACCGGCCACTAAGGCCTATTCCACGGTCACAGTATACAAAGACGGAGGCGTTATAGTCAAACTCACGAAGGAACTGAGGTACCCCGCCGCGGAATTGCACTAGCGCCACTCTCTGTGTGTCACTTTCATAGCATGAAGGCACGATGGTAATCTCAGCCTAGATCTGCGATCTCTCCCCGTCGGTGAGGTTGTTGCTGATTGCCTCTTGCAATGCGGTCTTGAGTTCCTTATCGCGCCGTTCCCTCGACAGGCCCGTGACCCGGAAGGTATGCGGCTTCTTCTTGCTAGCCATCGTGACTTGTCTTCAATCGAGTGGTACGTCAGGTGAGAGCAGACTGTGCGCTGTCGTTGACCTTGCCAGCGAGGCTAAATCTACTAGCAGGTGCGGGGTATCCAGTACTGCCGTGATCGAAATCACAGTCCCCTTCGTCCACTCAGAAAACAATTCCCCAACCTATTGTGAAGTGCGCTAGTCTCTATCTAGGTAAGCTACAGGCGTGACTTATATATAATGCAGTCACCGTTCGTAATTGTTTGGAAAATAGTGCCTACCCTACCTATCCTTATGCCCGTGGACTGAAGTACCACGTTTTACACACGAATGAGCAGTGACCGTATTATATACAAGCCACCACCTGCAGCTAATCTAGATATAGACCAACGCGATTTGGTATAGGGTTGGAGAAGTAGTTTTTGAGTGGACGCGGGGGAATCTGCTTCGAATATGGCAGTAAATTATCCCGGCGTGGAGTTTTAGGTCTGTTTTACACCCACAGACGATACTAGGCTTACTGGGCTTAAGTACATAAAACAAATTGTACTGTCTACAAGGTCCATAATAATTCTTAATACAGCGATGATCTCAATCTCAAACCAATAATCTCATCCCCATCCTCAACGAACACCGTATACCTCTCAAACCCAAGTTTTTCCATCAGCCGTAAACTCACACCGTTCTCCTTATGGGCGTCGGCAAATAACCAGTCCTCAATATTAGAGGCCTTATCTTGGTTATAACGGGGCAATTCCCACCATTTCTGTAGGAAAGCTGTTAGAGCTTCCGTTGCATACCCTACACCCCATTTATCAGGATGCAACATGTAACCAAGCTCCGCTTGAGGGTGCAGAGTATACACTCCGGCCATTCCAATAATATGTCCTGTAGTTTTTTCAATGATTGAAAGGTGAAATGGTGGATTTGATCGGTCTGGTCGAAGAAACCTATTTATCCATGATTTTGTTTCTTGTATGTCGTTGTCGATTTTGCGTTTGTGGCTGTAATTAAACATTGAAGAGCGCTGTTAGTTGATTGCTCTTGGAACGTCTCCGTTGACTGTATTGTAGTTAGATCAGAGGAGAAACCTACGTCCACTTCATAACCTCCGGCCTGGTGCGGATATCATGGAAATAGTCAATATCCTCGTCGCACATCGGGCGGAGTATCAGCCGAGAGGTCACGATTTGCTTAACCTGATACGGGAAAATAGGTCGTCCAGGTTGGTTATTTTCTGCCATCATGGAAGCAATTTTAATGCATTCTTTGTCAAATGTGAAATATAGACATGAAGGGGATACATGGTTTATGAATGATGGATATTGGATTTTAGGTTACATCGCACTGCGGGGGGGGCGAATACGAGGTCTTGTCGATCGGCGACGGGACTTGACCACAAAGAATGGGCTGATTCAATATCTATATCCCAACAACTCCATTTATCTTTTTACAGTTCACAGGCGGCCCAATAAGTCAGTGGTGTGCCCAGATTCATGATCCATTGCGGAGTATATCTCCAAGATATCTTGTTGACAAACGGAGTATTACAGCAGTTGTGCAATCAAGTATGGCACTGAATCTAGCTAGATCTCGGAAAAGCTTTTATCACCAGAACTTCCCTTAGCTGAGCTTGGTCTGGAACATTCTATGGAGGTTTCCGAGAAGCTGAGGTTAGTTAACATATTTCTACAATGACTCATTGCATTCAATACGAGTTTAAGCTAGCGGGTTTCCGTCTACAGACTAAACAACCCAAGAGTCACTAACTAGCTCTTTCGAACCGTATTGCCAAGGATGTGATGTAACAGCCTAGTCCAAACCTAGCTAGTGCCCTGAAACGAGGAACGAGTGAAGGGGTTACTACCCTGCGCGAATTGCCCGCAAAGATTGGCTTGCGTTCGTACTGCAAAACCCTTGCCCGTTCTCGCCGCAGATTCGTCGATTTCGACGCCAAGAAGTGTTCTACGTTGTTCTGATTGCTCGTCGACTTCTCCATCCATCTTAGCTCTTAGGGTTCCAAGGCTTCGTTCCGCACTTCTGTCTACATTTCCCTCTTATGACTGGCTCTTGCTAGCTCACCTTTGCTAGGACAACTCTCTTCTTGACTTAAGTTTTCTTAAGGCATTGACATTAACTTCCGCGCTTGACGTTGCTGATTCGCTGGCTTGTGGAATAGCACGTTACGCCGCACTTTGCGACGTAACTGAGTGTATATATATTTAGCTGATCCTCGCGAAAATGCCGTACTTACATTAGACTTTATTATCACTTAGCTCCACTTCACTTTCGCACTGATTTTCACAGTAAATTGCGATGTTGCGATGTCTGTATGATTCCCCATGAGTGTATATTCAGCACATACGACCATAGGGTGTGGAGAACAGGGCTTCCCGTCCGCTCAGCCGTACTTAAGCCACACGCCGGCCAGTTAGTAGTATGGTGGGTGACCACATGCGAATCCTGGCTGTTGTATGTTTTTTGCCTTGCCTTTTTGGAAGGTGGCTGCGTTCGTATATCGTAGGTTTTCTTTAGGCATTGATTGATATTAACTTCCACGGTAGGTGTCGCTGATTCGCTGGCTTGGGCTTCGCTCGTCCACGAGGCTCTACAGCTTCACCGACATGTGAGAGTACACTAAGTACTATCGGAACTTCGGTTGCAGTTACTTAGCTTTATAGTTTGATTCGATGGTTTGGTCTATTCATGGTTCATTTAAATCCAATTGTTATGATATACCCTAGCATAAGGTTATTCCCAAGTGTTGGTGCCTCAGGCTTCCCGGACGGCAGGCTTTCTGTAGAGGTTCGCTGGGGGTTCGTTATCAGTACGTGTACGAACTCCTGCAGGGAACACCCTTGATAGAGGTTATATAAGACCCCGCTCCTATCCTTCTACTAAGGATATATCTCCTTCCTGTTTGAGCGATAAGACTGTATATAAACTGACCTATGTTAAAGAGGTTTTACGATCCTTAAGAAACAGTCTTTGACTTTTCTGAACAATTGACTTTGTCCCTTTCTCCTACCTGATTGACAGGCCTCTATCCTGACTTATAGAGTATATTCTTACACAGATACCCCGCGAAGAGGGTTTGACCGTCGAAAAGGGCCTATAGCGAGCTCAGCAGCTAATTCAGCTAGTAGAAGCTGATAAGGTAGTATCGCATAAACAGCTCGATCTGCCTAATCAGCCGATTCAACCGCTTAGAAGGGCTCCGCCTACCTACAGTGGATATAGACAAATTTGGTATAGGATTACTTTATGTAAAAATCGAGTTATCTAGTTAAATTAGTAGGTGTTACTTAGGATAATCGATTTTGGAATTTTCTAATAGGGGTAGGTGTGAAGGGCTGAAGCAAGACTTAGATTCAATCTAACTAGGCCAACATGCTGTTTACAAAAAGCTTAAGGAGGGGAAGTTTATCCCGCGCGTTCTCCACGTCAATACGCCAAGGTCTCGTGATACACGTGACCTATATCGGGCACTGGCCCGTGACAATACCCCCCTCCCAGCCTCAATCTCGTTAGGGGCACGACGATATGGGCTTCGGTGCCGATTTGCTGGCGAATCACATCCGAAACGGTGCCGTGCTGCGCTTCAAAGGCATCCAAGGCGCTGCAATCCTGCACTGAGTCTAGCCTTTCCCACGTCTGTTCTGCCCATCCTCTCCATTTCACTAACGCCTCGTCACGATATCCTCGCCCAATCTTCCTCCTTCGTACGGCTAGGATTTGCTCTACGTCGTATTCCTCTTCTCCGTTAACTAGTAGTGGTGGTGGTTGTGAATCGTCTACTAACTGAGATGGGAATGGGTCCGTTGCTGCTGGGCGAACTAACTCAATATGGAACACTGGGTGTATACCAGTAGGCACATCAAGTCGGACTGTGAACGGCGACGGGACGTCTACTACTCGGTATCGAGTATGTAGCCAATCTAACTTCTTTGACGGTCGCTGTGTGCGTACGTTCCGCAGATTTAGCCAAACCCAGTCATCCTTTTTGTAGATAGGCGCTGCCTGTCGACGTCGGTTCGCTTGCTCTTCTTGAAGGGCCTGCGCGGAAGCAATAGCGGCCTGGGACTAATCGGTAGCTTCTCGTAGGCGATTCACGAACGTTTCGCCTGCCTTTCGTGGTGGGGTCAGGGCGTCTTGTAGTTGCCCTGCTTCGTTAATGCTAATCGGATCAACATGGTAACCGTGGGTGAAGAAGAATGGCGAGATTCCTGTTGAAGCGGCATCACGATTATTGATTGCCACGGCGACTATTGGTAGTAGATCCTTCCAGTTATCCTGTGCGTATGTAGTGAACACGCGTAGAATTCGTTCGATCTCCTGATTGGCACGCTCTGTTGCACCGTCGGTCTGGGGATGGAAAGCAGTGGATAATCGGCGTTGAATCGATAGCCTTTCGCATACTCTTTCCCAGAAGGAACTCACAAATTGCGGGCCGCGGTCGCTCACAATCGCTAGTGGCACCCTATGATGCATATAGAAGTGTGTGAGGAATACCTCTGCTACATCCTCTGCTGTTGTATTCTTTATTCCGATCAGAATCACGCTCTTTGTCAACCGATCTGTTATCACTATACAGTTCGTTGCTCCCGTGGGTCCGGAGGGTGGTAGCCCGGTGATAAAGTCAACGGATATTTCAGCCCAGATTCGCTGGGGGATTGGTAGCGGTTTCAGTAACCTATGTTTCGTGTCTCGCTATACTGAGCTCCGTCCGCACACTGTACAGTTCCGGAGGAAACGTCGTACGTCTTTCGCCGCTCCTGGCCAGAAGAACCGTCGAGAAAGTATCGAATAGGTAGCGTCTCGCCCAGGATGCGCCGTAACGTGTGAATCGTGGATCTTCTGTATAATTCCTGTGCGTAGAACCTCGTTGTCTGGAATCCAGAGTCGCTGTCTGAAGTGAAGCACCCCTCGATTATCTAAATGGCACTCCGATAGGCTGGTCTTAATGTTCGTTTCGGCAGCGATTCGGCGCTCTCCCGTTAGCAAAGCGTTGGAGATTCGTTGGTAGATCGAGTCAGACGCCCTTGCCTTTTTCCATTCTGTCTGAAGTTCCGGTTTATTAAAGAGGGGGATATCTCTTTCGAAATCGATCTCCTCACTGGGTTGGCTGTCGGCTGATTGAAGTTTTAGCCGACCCGTTTTGATCTTGACCCTTTTGAGTAGGATTCGGAAGCGATTCGACAGCCTTTCGTTAGTGATACTCTTAGGCATATCCTGACTCCGTCGTGATAGTGCATCCGGCCTTACTGCAAGCTTGCTAGGGCGATAACGGAGGTCAAAGTCGAACTCTGTTAAGAGGTCTGCCTATCGCATCTGCTGTTCGTTGAGATGTTGTGCTTTTCCGAAGTATCGAAGGTTTTTATGGTCCGTTACGATAGTGAATCGAGGCACCATTTTCAGCTCAGGTCTCTATTCGCGCAGAGCACGTATAATCGCTAGAAGCTCCTTATCGTGGATCTCGTAGTTTGATTCTGCTGGGGATAGCTTCTGAGATAGGTAGGCGCATGGCCGTAGCTGCCCGTCGGGTCTATATTGCGATAGAACCGCACTAGTTGCCCAGCCGGAGGCATCAGTTTCTACGACTGTTTGACGATCCTCTTCGAAATGTGCTAGGATTGGTGCGTTTATGAAGAGCTCTTTCAGTTCCGTGAAGGCCTGTTGGCAATCGTCGTCCTATTTGAATATAGCGTCTTTCTTTATTAGCCGTGTTAAGGGTGCCGAAAGGTCGGCGAATCGTGGTATAAATGGCCGGTAGAAGTTCGCAAACCCAATAAAGCTTCGCACATCCTGTATAGACTTCGGTCTCTCCTATGCCCTAATAGCTTCCACCTTCTTTAGATCGACGTGAATCCCCTTTCCAGCCTCGACGATAAAGCCGAGGTACTTCACTGAGTCCTGTTCGAATTCCGATTTCGCAATGTCACATTGGAGGCCAGCGTCTATTAGTTTCTGCAGGACTTCGCCGACCTTTCGGCGGTGATCCGCTAGCGTCCCGTTAGTGTAGATAATTATATCGTCAACGTAGGCCGACACGAAGTCATCTAAGTACTCCCGCAGAGTCTGATTGATATACCTCTGGAACGTTGCTGGTGCGCTAGTCAATCCGAACGGGGTTACGTTCTACTCGTAGAGCCCGTATCGCGTCCGAAATGCAGTCTTCCATTCTTCTCCAGGGTGGATACGGATCTTATGGAAGGCTGCGATAATATCGAGCTTTGTGAACCAGCGAGCGTGGCCCATATTCCGTAGCGTCTCTCGAATCAGTGGTAGGGGGTAGCGATCCTTTACTGTTCGTTCGTTTAACCCCTGATAGTCAACACAGAATCGTACGCCGCCGCCTAGCTTCCTAACTAGCAAGATCGGTGCTGCCGCAGGCGATTGGCTTACACGTATGAAGTTCTTCCTAAGCAGGTCTGTTAAGGTCTTTCGTAGGTAAAGAAGCTCTTCCTTGTTTATGCCGTAGAGAGGGCTATATAGCGGTGGCTCTTCGATACTGTTTCGATCGCGTTTCAGAGGGATTTTATGATCGATTCCTGGCCGGTATGGAGGCAGCTAATCGGCTAACTGTTGGCTAAAAGCGGTAAGCTATTGCTAGTAGTGTTTCGGTAGTTTGTCCTTTGGATCGAGGTACTTCTTTGGTCGTAATGCCTTCTCGATATCGTCTAACGAAACCCTACCGATCTGCAAACGATTTGCATCCGATACGCTCCGTACAAGCTGTTGGATAGAAGAAGCTTCTGTCTGTGCCACGCGTAGCGCCTTCACTCTAGGGGGCCCGATAGTGCGATCCGCGCGGTTCTAACATCTTGTCCGCTCCCCAGACTTTGTGAAGATGTCTAGGTATCCTTTCCGTGCTGAATATTGTCCGTTTACGTCGTGTAGCTATAGGTCCCCAAGTATCATACTGTCGCTTTAGGGTCCGATGATATACGCAAACACGCGGCCTTGTTGCTGGCCGTGGACGTCGAGGTCGAAATGGGTAATGTGGGTGATTCGGTACTGATCCGGCACCACCCCGTCAAGGACTCGTGGCTGTATCTTAATGCGCGGGAGGTCGAGCGACTGGACTAGAGACTCGTTTACCGTTGCATAGCAGCGGCAGCCGCTATCGACGAGAGCTTGTGTAAATTGGATTCTATTCACTCTAGTATCGACTATAAACGGTAATGTCTTACGTTCCAGTAGCTTCTCGACCCCCTTTTGCTCCTGCTCGCGACTTAGAACAGGAGCTACTCTTTTCCCGATTTATCCTCAGTAGTCACACTCTCGTCGTCAGAAGCCGTTATTACTGAATCTAGGTCACTTGCAGGCTTCGACTTCTTTACTTTGACCGTGCGCTCCTTTCCCTTCTTGCTCGAGGTAGTAGCGATACGTGTACTATTCGGCTGTTGTGCCGGTAGGAGCGCGCACCTCGCGATAAGGTGTCCAGATTTTCTATATCGTAGGCATTTCCCTTCAGCACGTCGCCGATCTATCTCGTCCTGACTAACCTATTGAGCTTGTCTCGGCGTTCCGCTTTCGGGTCGGCGGTGTTTCGTGTGTAGTTCGGCACGGGTTACCGACACGGTCGGTGTCTAATCTATTTCATCGCTATTTTGTCTAGGCGAGCGCGGACGACGTGTTCGTTCCTCTTTGTTGATATTAAGGGCATCTATATCTGAGCTGATCTCGTGAAGCCGGGAGATCAGGTCCGCCGAGGTAGCAGGGATGCCTCGATTTATTAACGCATTCGTTATGGTCTTATTGAGCGCGCTAAGAAGGATCTGCCTTTTTGCCTCGTTGTGCTATTCAAGAGCGTCTGCATCAGCGAATTCCTTTTCTAGTCTAGGAAGGAACCTAGAAAAGCTTATGTCTTCTGGTTGTCGAATCTGGTGGAGTCGTCTTGCTGCGCGTGCTTTGATATTCGGGTCTCCGTAGATATTCTTAAGGTGGCCGAGTAAGGCTTGCGGTTCGCTAGTGTTCCGGCGGAGTTTCACGAAGGTTCTAGTATTCTTCTAGGCGAGCTTCTCTAGTCTAGAGAATACGTACATGAATTGGTCTTGAGGGGAACCGATAGCTTCGCTGTCCACACTAAGCTTGTTCTCCATCGAAATGCGCTAGGTTGGCTAATCGCTCGTGCTTCCACCGAATGGTTTTGGGTCCGGGAGACGTGGTTTCGGTCGGTGAACAATCTCTGTTCGTGGGGGAACCGGCACCGATTCGGTGGCTGATCGTGCAGGTGTCGCCTGCCCTTCGTTCGTCGTGGTTGTCGTTATGGCTAGTGAGGCCTGATGCTCCAGCATTGCCTCGAGGCGACGCATCCGCTCCTCTTGAGCAGCATCTTGCTGGTGACGCCGCTCCCTTTCTTCGTTCTGCATAGCCTGGGTCTGTGCTATCTGCTGTAATAGCGTTTGCGCCCACCCGGGAGGGCTCGTCGATTCCTGGTGCTGCATAGCGCCTAGGGGTTGTGTAGCGTGCCGGTAATGCTTCGGTCGCTTTTCGTCCAATGTTCCAGTGTGCCTAGGAATTGAGATCTTCTAGGGCTTTCTAATCCGTCTCGAGCGCTGAGAGATCTATGCGCGAGGATTCCGTTCCGATATGTGTTCGTCACTGAATCGCTTGGGATTCAGGGGTGTTTCCAATGAGTGCCTAGGTCGCTTTCCTAGGGCTTTTCCAATGACCAATGATACTTCTAGGTGTAGAAGGAAGCTTTTTGTATGTGAAGGGCTGAAGCAAGACTTAGATTCAATCTAACTAGGCCAACATGCTGTTTACAAAAAGCTTAAGGAGGGGAAGTTTATCCCGCGCGTTCTCCACGTCAATACGCCAAGGTCTCGTGATACACGTGACCTATATCGGGCACTGGCCCGTGACAGTAGGTGTCCCGGTCAAGCGGGAATTACGTTAGTTATTCTATTTTATAGAAAAAGCGTTTATAGTTAAGAAGGTACTCTTAAGTAATATTATCCTTAAAAGCTCCTAAATACTCGTAGATTTTAGGGACTCTTTTTAGAAAAGTCCTTTTAAGCGTAATCTAGCCTATAAGTAGACTATTTAGGGTTAGATTTAGAGTTTTAGGCGTTATTAAGAAGGATAAGAGGTCTAGAATAGACTATTCTACTAGTAACTACTCGCTTTAAGTAATAATAGCTTATATCTAGCGTTATACTTCCTATTAGTTCTACTTAACGATATTCCTAGTAGTATATTTAGCTATTAAAGCGTATATTATAGGGTTATCCGCCTCTATAATTATAGAATATATCTCCCTTACTATAGTTAGAGGTAAAAGGCTTAGTATATTCTTAGTCGCTAGTAAGATTAGGCGTTAAGAAGGTAGCTATATAGAGTCTTAACTAATACGGCCTTATATTAGCTTACTTAGGGTATTAATTACGTACTCTGTATTAGATATCGTTAAAAGTTTACGTTGAGAGTTTATAGAATTATTACTTTACTATAGTTAATAAGAGGGAAGTATTTTCCTCGCTTAAAGTTTTACTTCTAATTTCGCTTATCCTTACGTAAAGTAAGGATTATTCCGATAAGAAGGATATACCTATTACGGCGGTGCGTAGCGGCCATTCTCCAGTGCATAAAACCTATCATAAAATTGACCGCTTTTCCCTCCGCCCTAGCCAGATTAGGTCACATGACCCCTTTGATCTATATAGATATTCAAGCTTTCATGACTATCTTCCCTCTTCACACTTCCTCCTACCCAACCACCCCTACCTCCAGTATACGGTAGTATTGATAAGCCTTTCCCTATTAGGAAATTGATGCTGATTGGATTTTATTGCAGAAATCGCCGTATTCGGCAGCTCGCAGCTCGCTATCCTTCGGCCTCCGCCATGTGCCCCCAGCTTGATCTTGAGCCCTACCGGAGGGAAATCACCCAACTTGCGGGTTCGAATTGCTCGCATGAGGCTATTCGCATCTTCCTTCTCCATACGCACGGCGTGTGCGCTTCCACGAATACGATATCCCGGCGCCTACAGTCCTGGGGCCTCCGTACACGCCGGCTTTACCTACCTGCAGGCGCTCGCGATGCGATCGTATGTGAGCTCCTCCGGCTATCATTGAGTACTGAGGAGATCCTTATGATCCTTGCGAAGAAGGGTATGCCATCCTCTGAACGTACCCTACGCCGCACTCGAAAGAAACTTGGTATTCGGCTCCGCATTGACGATCCTCGCGAGCGCGAAGCGCAGGAAGAAGAGGTCGAGTTGATTCTTATGACGGAAGATCAGATTGGAGAGATCGAAGGATATGGCCGCCGTTTACAACGGGTCTTCTTACGCCGCCATGGAATATTCATCTCTGAGTAAGATGACCGCCTTCATTGTTAAGATAGTCGCTCCGGATGAGAATATGGCTAACGACTATATGATAATAGAGCCCGGGCCTACGAAATCTACCGATCGATTAATCCTGGTGCTATTGAGCGGCGCCAAGCTGGCCTACAACGGCGGCGAAAGGCCTACACCTGCGAGGGGCCTAATGCAGTGTGGCACCTTGACGGCTATATGAAGCTGGAGCCTTTTGGGATTGAGATATACGCAGCCATTGATGGCTACTCTCGGTGCATTATGTGGATATACGTGGGAATATCTGCGCGTACCGCAGTAAGTGTGCTTCGTCAATACCTTGACTGCGCTGCTTCTAATGGGTATTTACCACGAAAACTTCGCACCGACCTTGGTACTGAAACAGTGCTAATTGGTGATGCTCATCTTGTGCTCCGTCAAAACCCTCCATTAACATCAGATGTTCTTCCATCGAGATCGCTTCCATCGTCATCGAGATTGCTTCCATCAACATTAGATCCAGCAACATTGCAATCTCTTCTCCAGCTAAGAGAATATTTTATCTACGGCCGGAGTGTTGAAAATCAGCGAATTGAATCCTGGTGGGGACAGCTTTCTACATCGAGCCTATTCGTTTATCATGAATACTTCAATCAGCTACTAAATGATGGAATCTTCTCAAAGCAATGTATCCCTGAGCAGGTAAGTAGAAGTATTCCGGCGACACATTTCCTTATAATATTATACTAATCGATGTCTAGATAGCACTTCTCTCTATATACATGCCTATTCTCCGTTCTCGAATTCATTCATTTGTTAACGATATCTGGAATGTACACCGTATTCGCCCGCAGGCTAAGCGGCCACATGTAGTCCCAGGGAAGCCGATTATGAATTACTACTACCCTGGCCCAGGCGTTCCTGATTGCCAGGAGCCTCTTGATTATGATCTTCTAGACTGGTATGATTCTATATTCTACTATTCTGTGATTTTCTAATACTATTCTATTAGGCTCCAGCAGGATGTGGCTGAATGGGACCCTGCTGAATATCTTCCATCTGCTACTCTAGCTTGGTGTCATACGCAGCTTCATGAAATTGGGCTCCAGGAGGTGGGCGAGCCATTTGACCCTGAGGATCCTCTTATTCAGCTCCGTGGTGAGAGAGAGCAGCCATATCGCCAGGTCTATGAAGCCCTACGCGAGCGGGCCCTTTTATACTACCAATCAGGTGCCTTGCCTATATTAGAGGTTAGTACTAGGCCCCTTGGCGCGTTTAGATGGGGCCCGAACACCCAATGGCAGCAGGGCGCGGAAGTAGAAGCAGCTGAATACGAGGATCCTGATCCTTTGTGATATTTCCTTTTCCATCGTCCATCTTATCCTTGCTATCGTTCATCTCATCCTTTCCATTGTTCATCTCATCCTTGCTATCGTTCATCTCATCCTTTCTCTTGTTTATGTTATCTTTTCTATCGACTATATCCTCAAAAAAATCTGTCTTCTTTTATCGCAAAAATGGCATCCCAGCAGGCTGTTCCTATCGAAACTATACTAGCTGCTATCTATCAACTAGGAGCTACACTATCAGCAGCTGCAAATACCCCGTCGCCATCGATTTCATCCAGTACATCATCAATTCTACTCAGTACACCATCAATTCTACCCAGTACACCATCGATTCCAACCGGTAGATCATCGATTTCAACCAGCGCACCATCGGTTCCGGGTATACAGGCACCGCCACAGCTCAATACACGCTTTGCGGCTCTCTCTGGTACTACAAGCCAGGCCCGAAATGCTTATACTGGGCGCCTACCACTAGTGGTTAAGCCTCCGGTTGATGAGGATATTGTATTCAATGTGACCTACTACCTAAAAGTAGTGGATTATGATATTCACCCAATCAAGGGTAATATTCCTTACTCTCTAAATCATATTCCTATCTCTCTAGTTCATATGCTAATCACTGGAGTATAGATGCCCATACCACGATATACGTATCATCCTCTCAGCAATGGAGCTCCCTACATGTCTTCTTATCCGATCTACATCGCCGACTACAAGGTTTACGCAGCGCTGATTACTCGGCGGATATCGAGGATACTCCCTTACTCGCTCGGGACGTATTTCCGACTAGTAAGACTGGGCCATTAACAGCGCGCTGGCTCGAACCTACTAGTTTTACTAGTGATGGTGACCCTACAGTGTTGACTATCCAGCAACTTTGTCGAGTAGCGAGCAAGGAGAAGGGCATGCCCATCTTCCATGTCATTATACAACGATCACAGCAGGGGGAAGGTAGGCTAACGTACAGGCCGCTATCAGTTGAATCTGAAGACGCAGCTACATACATGGAACGCGTGGCAGAGGAACGCCTAGCTAGGGAACGCTTAGCTACCATCATGGATGGCACAGCTTCCATCGTGGATGGCCCAGCTTCCATCGTGGATGGCCCAGCTTCCATCGTGGCAGAGCCTACACAGCGCAGGGCTAGCCAGAATGCATCAAAGAAGGGAAGACCTCGTAATTCTCCTCCGCCAGCTATAGTGCAAAGGAACCTGCGTCGGCGACGTCGAAAATGATGAATACTATGCATTTTTGCTAGTACTATGTCCTATATTCATGTACTTAGAGAGCAGTAGTGAATTGATTGTATTTGTTGGGTGTATAAGATCTATTTCCAAGACCTCTGTGATAATGCATGAAAATTAGGTAGTGGTGTAGAAGAATTCAACAGCGATGGGACTTGGCCAAATTTTAATGGAACTTGGCTAAATCGGAATTCTGCCGGCGAAATCTGAATAATAATTATGCACTGGAGAATGGCCGCTACGCACCGCCGTATACCTAGAAACTAGAGTTTCCTAATAGGGTATTTGTCGGATTTACGCCGTGTGCATAAACCCTGAGGCGTGTGCTTGTAGGCGCACACAGGTCGATCGAATACCACGATTATAGAAGAGAGACGAAAGTGCAATAGAGGTGGGTCGGCAGCGAACAGGTTGAACAGTGGAGGGTCAACACAGTTTAATCAGAATTGCCTTGAGCTCTATTGGTGAGTGAAAATGGTGTCAAGCTTCTGACATTGTCGTCAAACTTGTTTTATTTTGCTAGGAAAACAGGCAGTATTTATAACTTTGGGTACATAGCAGGATATCACAGGAAAAGACTGATAAGAATCCGAAATAACATAGGGGCATACGAGAGTGTTAGGAAACTCGTTGCTTTTCCCATTTGATGCAGTAGTTGATAATCAGCATCGTATATTATAAAGCGGTGTATAGGGATGCAGATTTATGCATCCAATTGCATTAGCGCGCGCATGCATGTATACATACGCTCGCTTATTGCGGGGATACGCACACACACACATATTAACACACCCCCTTAGCTCTCGATATAAGGGCAGAATGAAATCAAAGTAAGAGCTGAATAAGATAAAACAGAAAAGATAGGATAAAAGGGCTTATAAGAAAGAAGGTAAGCATTTTATATAGCCTTCTCCTTCTTAATATTAAGAGGACTAGGAGTAGAAATAGAGGGAAGTTTAGAGTAATAGGCTATAAGGAACGCGTTATAGTTAGTATAGTTTTACTAGCGAAACTATAATTAGAATATATTAAGATATATAATCTATAAATTATACCTTAATATATACCTTATTTCTAGTTAACTAATACTCCTTATAATAAGCCTACTCAAAAACGTTAAAGTAGTACGCTAGTTCCTTTATAAATCTAGTAACTATTCGATAGACCTCCGAGGGATATAGCTACTCTATAAATTATTCTAAATTAGCCGGGTTAACTATTTAGAATACCTACCGAGCCTATATAAATATAAGATTTAGGTCCTAATAATCTCCTAGTATTATAGTCGTAGCCTATAGAGTTATTAGCTTTATCTTTAAAGAACTTAGCGAAACCTATAGGAATATATATCGAAGCGTAGCTAGAACACTACTTGTCGGATTTACGGGGTCAGCATAAATCCTTCGGTCGTGCACAAGCAAGCGAGTGTGCACGATTGGTCAAATCAGTATACGATTGGCGAAGAATCGTATAGGTCAGGTTAGGTCGTACGATTCGGCTCAGAATCGGAAGTTAACTTATGATAGAAGAATGCTCCAACTTCATCACAATCATTAAACTTGATTCAACTAGCTATGGAAAACAGGCAATATTTATAACTTCATGAAATCAAGGCAATACGTCAGACTAGAATCTCATAGAAATCAGAAGAAATATAGAGTGTTGAAGCTCTTTCGTCATGTGTGCAATCTGTTGATGTCAATCGTTGAAGATCATCGTCACGTGGACGTTCCGTCGCATTCTGTCAAGTTCGATAGCATGGGCTTATGCACCCACTCATGTCGACACTACTTATATAAAACTAAAGCCTTAATATTACGAATACACTTTATAGCAAAAGGTAAGCCTAAAGTTACGTCCTACTTAGCGATTATAGTACGCAGATAGTGTATATATTAGAGGATTAATATAAAAACAGGATTATCTAGAAGAGGATAAGTAGTAGTATAGGTTCTTAGAGGTATTATAAGGGTTTCGAGGGCGAATAGATAGTAAAACGATAGCGAAAGGGTATACCTTAATAAGGGTATAGGAAAAAGAGATAGAAGAGGATAAAAGAGGAAGAATAAAAGGAGAGGGTAATATTAGCGATATTAATAAAGAAACGCGTTTCCTTTATTTAACCCTCTACTAGGCAACCCCCTAGTATTAACCTTCCCTTTTTTTTTAGCCTATACGCTCCTTCCTTATTTAACTACTACTCTTTATAATTATTTACGCGTCTGTTTACCTCGCTTAAGGGCAAGCGATCCTTAGAGGGAGGATAATTGTTATAATATACCCTAGCATAAGGTTATTCCTAAGTGTTAGTGCCTTAGGCTTCCCGGGCCTAATAAGCCGGCAGGCTTTCTATAGAGGTTCACTAGGGCTTCGGTATTAGTACGTATACGAACTCCTGCAGGGAACACCCTTAACAGAGGTTACATAAGCCTCGTATTTCACCCCGCTCCTATTTCCCTACTAAGGATATATCTCCTTCCTGTTTGAGCGATAAGACTGTATATAAATTGACCTATATTGAAGAGGTTTTACGATCTTCAAGAAACAGTCTTTGGCTATCTCACACAATTAACTTAGCCCCTTTTTCCTACCTGATTAACAGGCCTCTATCCTGACTTATAGAGTATATCCTTACAGTTTTAGCTTAATCTTATAAATCTTTAAGCCTCTATAGCTTTTCTATAGTAGCTTAAGTAGCTACGAGGTTAGTATTAAGATTAGTTAGGGTTAAACCCTATTTAGTCGCGATTAGGATTTCTTCTACGATACAGGGAGGGTTTAGTACCCCTTTAGTAAAAGGAGTAGAACAGGTCCTTAATACTATGTCTCCTAGGTAATCGAAGAAGAAGAAACGGAATTTATAAGGATATACTCTATAAGTTAGGATAGAGGCCTATTAATTAGGTAGGAGAAACAGGGCTAAGTCAATAGTGTAAGATTATTAAAGACTGTTTCTTAAGGATCGTAAAACCTCTTTAACATAGGTCAATTAATATACAGTCTTATCGCTCAAACAGGAAGGAGATATATCCTTAGTAGGGAAATAGGAGCAGGGTGAAACACGAGGCTTGTGTAACCTCTGTCAAGGGTGTTCCCTGCAGGAGTTCGTACACGTACTGATAACGAAGCCCTAGCGAATCTCCACAGAAAGCCTGCCGGCTTATCAGGCCCGGGAAGCCTAAGGCACCAACACTTAGGAATAACCTCATGCCAGGGTATATCATAACATGCAGACATAGAATAGTTATTAGAGCTATAATCTAGGGGTGAACCTACCTCGAAATATTAGTATCAGGAAATTTGAGCATCCCTTTTACAGCTACATTCCCCTTCAGTAATGAGAGTCTGACTCTAATCTTTTCGAATCACGATATTGTCTTCTAATTTACCGAGGAATTGAACAAGCTGAATATTAATGACGAATGCTAGGCCATCGATGATCTTCAGAACAGTGACAACAACGCCCTTTCCCTGACCGGGGATAGGAGAAATCCAGATGGTTCACTTGGAGCCACGACTGTGCATACTCCGTCCGCTCCGCAGCTAAGGAGATGGTGCTTTGACTCTGAGAACTTCAATTACTTTGAAAACTCTCTTTGTCAACCAGCTACCTTAATTCGATACTTTATTTCTATGATCAGCATTCAATACATTTAATTTGTTTATCCATCTAAGAATTTCTCTCTTCAAAGTACGCAATAATCTTTTTGAACGGTGACTGTGTTGACAAGGGACACTGTGTGGGTTGTTTGAAGCGCCAGTGTGGCTGGCTAAGCCTGAGAGTAACGTGGGAGTTACACAAGCCCATCCTGATAGACTTCGGATGTATAGGTCGTATTGATACAGATCCTAATTAGGCAATGGAAATTTTTGCCATTCAAGAATTCCTTCGGATTAAGGGGCTGTCTTTGACTCCTCATTACCCTGGCTTGGATCTATACTGACACTTGATGACTCGATCCACTTTAACCTCGATAGGGTTTGCAGGGTTTGTCGTCTTCTTTGGCTCTGCATGAAGCAGGCTGGGGATTTCCTGCCAGGACCAGGCTTGTTCTTTTCCTTTGTGCTTCAGGGCCTTATAGACCCTGTTCTGTTCTCTTCTACTTCTTCTTTCTTTCCTAGTCGTCTTCGTCTCCCTGTTCTAGATAGACCAATTGACTCAGTCTCCCTCTTCTCTCTTCGCTTCCTGTGCCAGCAGTGCCGTGGGCGCTGTCAACACTGTTTAGCGGCTACCAGGTTGCAATGAACAGATAACTAGCTTATTTCAGGGGCAGCTGCATTCAAGAGGCTGGCTGAGGACAGCTAAAGGCTTGTGGCCTTGTGTTTTTGGGAGGGAGTATCGCGCGTCGGCACCACCTTGATCATTTGGACGGGCGAGGGGCTCATGCTTGGAGTCAATATAAATTACCAGAAACTTTCCACCTTTCTAGGGTTTTACCTACAAAAAACAACGCGACAGGTAGCTCAAGATGATTTTCTCGACCAGTGCTAGGCATCTTTGGCTTGATCGGGACATTGACTCAAACGAGACAGAATTACATGTAGAATTCCAGACTGATAACCGCAGCTATTGGCATCTTAGTTCTGTGGCCCTTGAGAATGTTCTTGGCATTACCGAAGGCTGTAAGGGGTTCGACACTCGAGAAGATAACAGTGCATCTAACCAAGGTTACACGCTGCAATCGCGTTTTGTGCCTGGCAGTCTCACCCTCTATGCCGGCTCGGTTTTGCGTGGCAAGCTCTTAGAGGAGTACGGCGGTTAGGAAACGTCCATCTATCTCGACGTTCTCTTCAGATATGACAATGGGGAGCTGATTTCAGAAACCTGGTATGTGGTGCCGTTCACTAGCCTGCTTCTCCAATGCTAGACTGCGTGGCGGTAGCATTTTCTCTGTTGTTAATACTCGACATGAGCAGGTCCGAATATCTTATGACCTCCGGAGCAGCATTTAGCTATGGTGATCAGGACCAGGGCTCACTAAGAACGCTTTAGATCGCACCGAATGGAAATTTGGCCATGTCTCAGATATCTCTGGCTGATGACTGTGAGTTTGTTGGTGATGGTTACTCCCCGGACTCCGGGTTTTTGCGGCCTATGGGCGATGACCCATCACGCTGGGTGGTTTCTAGGCTCCGGCCATTTCTGGAAAATGATGAGTGTTTGATCCGTGGCGAGAAGAGAGAGGCAGACTCGCCTTGTACTAGTGATTTCGAAGCCTACCTCTGAGAAGTCTCAGCAACTCTGAAGGGGAATTTTCAACAGAACCGTCGTAAGTTGGCAAGCCACCAAATAAACACCATATAATATACTGAAATCCAAATTTTAGGACATCCCCTGATAATGTTGAGGACCATCCAGACGCTGTCCGTGACAAGCTTCAATTAGGCATACTGAATGTCGCCTTTGCCGTGGCGGGAGAAGAAGAGCTATTCGTGTGTCAACATCCCACCTCCTTTGCCAATAGTTCTTTTAATACCGTAAGCCTCGGCTAACCACCGGTGATGGAAGAACAAGGACACGCGAGCCAAGGTGCAATGCGTATTCACTGCTGTCATGGCTTGTGGCGTTCTGCTATCTCGAACCCTCTTTGGGAAGGCTAGGGCAGCTTATACACCGGCCCTGTCCCTCATGGCCGGATTGGTCGCCAAATCTACCACTGATCACTTTGTTAGTGATCTGACCATGAAAAATGTAGTGGCAGAGATTGCTATTTACAGAGCCCTGAAGGCGGAGCTTCCAGCTATCACGGGTATCACTGCTGAGGAGACCTTTAAAATGGTTGGTGTCAATCAGAGACGGTCAAGTGACGACGAAATATCAATTACCTGGTCCCAAGTGAGCGCAGTCAGCAAAGAATTTCAACGTCGTCACCTGGATGAGTCTATATTGAAGGACGCTACGGATCAATGGGATGAGTACATTATGTCATCATTCGTGCGTCGCTGAGCTAACTGACTCTTTCTTTCTTTAGTATTGCTATGGCCGTTGAGCAAATTCTGGCAGGCGATAGCAAGATTTCAGAAGACCAGATCAAGCATCGGTTAGGCGACCAGAAGCATGACGGTGTGGATCTGCTTAACCCTGCACCACCGGGAGAGGATGGTTATCTAGATAAATGGAGGCAGGATATACGTGCCGTATAGGATCGGTTATACCTTCTTGAGCCGGATTCAGCAGTGCGATAGAACAAGAAGCGCAAGGCCATTATTCAGGCCGCAGCCGAACCTATTGGAAATGAGATACAGACTATTAAGGACGATGAAAACGGCGACTCCATTCTCAGCCAGGTACCTAGCTTTACCGAGTGGAATTTACAAGCTGATAAGAGCTTGAATGAGCTAACATTACTACCAATATCTAGGTGACTGAGCTCGAGCAGAAATTAAACGACCCGAAAACCAAATTCGCCGAAGAAACTGCTGCTGAACACTCTGGGCTAGATACGATAGATAAAATCTGAGCTCCAACCGGCGGTGGAGAAGATGTTTACCAACCAAAAGACTTACCAGAGTGCCCAGGGCCAGCTCGTTGCAAAGGACAAGGAGACCAGTGCGGAGGAGGATACGCATACCGCAGATCCCAAGATTGAAGTATGTGTTCCCGGCCGTGTCGCCTCTCTTAGTGACCAGTCCGATGAAGAATACTATAGGGCGGCGCAAACTGGTACAAAGACTTGCTTCGCAGACATATATCAGCCCTGGAAGCAAACCAAAGCCCCGCAGATGTGGCCTCTGAAACCTACCTAATCTCTGTAAATGTTGTCACAGATCTCCAAGCTCGGTAGACCTAGCTAAACCGCATCCAAAAAGGCCGATACTCGGTTGATCGTGAGATCAGTAAAGCTGAGATGATCATTCGTGTGCTGACATTGATGATTAACGGGACTGAGACAGACGTGTCCGGTCGAATTATATCCCTCGAGGATCCCTTGGAAGCTGCCTTTACGGAGCTAATGGGCATCGGTGAGCCTTCATACCATCGTATGAATTGAAAGATCGAAGATCAGCTTTGTACAGCGATCCTGAAGATTCATCGCATGTCTTTGATCGATGCCTCCGTTGTCGAGAGTGCGCGGAAGGCTGTTGCGGCGGTCCAGGATTGGTTTGACGATGGGTATATGCCGGACGGTCCGAAGAAGGAAAATTGAAGTGATTGTGAATAATCCACTGTATCAAGCAAGTCCGGAGGGGGATACTGAAATAGTCAATAGTCGGCGGTCACTTAAGTGGTCAATTGAACTCGATCTATCGCCGTGCTTGATTCCAATACTGGACAAAGATTAGGTAGACTACACCCTCTGTTATGGGATATGGAGGGTTGACTCCTTGAGCTACACTACTCTTGTTCCTGAGTCGTACTGTCATCTAGTCAACCTGTCATTCTGTCTATATTGAAACCCCCGCATAGTTCTCTCTGTCTTCTGTGTCTCTCCATTTCTCTCTCTTTCCGCGTAGTATTGTCTTAGTCAGACACACAATAATGGAGTCTCACGATCCAGATTCCATGTTCGAGGTCGGATTTCTTGCGAATGCCTACGATGAACAGCCTTTTGACAGAGTCGTTACCCGGTTCACGCCCGAGCGCAATGATTTCCTCCATTTAGGGTATAGCAAAGCAATCGTAATTGACTTCAGCTTCGTAAGATACCACGGCGACGTTGAATATATTCGTTACGATCATGTAAACGTAACTAAAGAGGAGGACAAAGTTTCACCAACCGGCGGAAATTATTTAATAGTTGGGCTTCCAACCCGTAAAAATCATGTACCCCGAGTGACGACTTTGACCGTGTCTACGAGTTGACAGAAATACATGGAACATCGCTTTTAGTCTTCGTCAGTGTTGTAAACGAATATTGATTCAAACTAGCGACATAGATTATCACCCATCATCACTTTGATTCACTAGATTATCATAACAGTTTCTATAGAGCCTAGCATCTCCCGTAGGCTACAATCCGCAATGAACAGAACACATACATATACCGTGAAGAAACAGAAGGACTTTGTGGCGTTAAACGATGAGAACCTTGCAAGAGCGCAGGGAAATGCGCGCAATGTTCGGTCCTTATTAATTGCAATCAGATTTCTTCTAGCGGGTAAGCTCCTATATAAGTATCTGGTACCTTCATTCTGACCCCGGACCGAACCGTCTTCCCACAAATCGAGGAAACATCCATCCAGGTTTGGTAATAGGAGTTGATCGTCAATTCTACATAGCCAGAGAGCCAGAAGCTCGTCGGAACATCTTGACAGTGAGATAGCTTCCTTCCTCTTACTCTAGAGTGTGAAAATAGTGACTAATATCTTGCCCAGATTTAGCTAAGTTAGTTAGTTACCTAAGTTAGTTATACATAGTTACTTAGTTAACTCACTACAGGTTTCTGATAAATAAACGGGGACTGCGGAGGCGGCCAATTTCGGCGTGACGTTGTGGACGTAAAGGTACTAGCGAAGCGAAAACGCTCGACCGGTCTTGAACTGAAGTATTTCTTTTTCTTCCTTCCTTTTTTTTCCTTGGCCCGGTGGATCAAGTCTCGTATGTAGTCTATCTATAGAAATTCGATCGTTCAACCTATAGATAGGTGGATAGATAGAGACTCCTTCCCAGTGTCTCTGATTGGACGGAGGAACTCACACCGACGCCCCTCTTCCTCACCTCCACCACCACCTCCACTCAAGCTTCCCAAGGTCGTCAACAGTCCACATCCCCCGAAATTATTCTAACTCCTTTGTCACCTTTACACCTTGATGACTCAGATTATTTAGAGAGCTACGATATTGTGAGCTCTGCATTTAGCACTTCGTTCTCGACAATCCCTGAAAGCTTCCCTCCTCTTTGTCGCTATCATATCGCCGATCGGTCCGGTCCCGTTGTTACAACCCAGCCCAGCCCACCCTTCGCTTAAGCCAACGTGATCGTTATTATACAGCCCCGAAGAGTGCGCTTCTCACCGATGAGCGGGCAGAAGGCCACGCACTAAGAGCATGGTGCTAGTGGCGCCGGGTCGCACAGTGGTCGTCGAAAATGGGCCCTCGGTCTTCCGCGACCCAGTCTCACTCGTCTACGATCGAACCTGATAATGATCACAAAGAAACCCCACCTTCACGGGAGGTAGCTCGACAGCAGGAAATTGAATCAACCCTCCAAAAAGAAGATACCCCCCATCCGCGGCCGCGGAGATTCCTCGCACAGCCGATAGAGACATCCTCTCGGAGTGTCCAAACACAGAATGCCTCGCCAGACGACCGTCGATCTCCGAGGTCAGGAAGCCTCCGAAATGAGGTGACCAACTCCTCGGAGCAAGCGGAGCCACAATCCCACCGAGCGGACGATCCTCCCCGGAGATTCTTACCACAACCCATAGAAACTAGCAAGGCTAGTAACCAAGGCGTCACCGGCTCCAGACCAAGACGATTCAAGCCCGAGCTTCTTGAAACTGACCATCGCTCGGTCAAAGGGCCACAAGTTGGCCCCTCTTATCGACGATCTGTCAACTTTGATCCAGTACAGGGCAGCTTGGAACTCCCGGTAGAGAGGCAAGGCCCTCTAGCTCGTCTGGCCCCTAATCGCAGTGCCTCATTCGATGTCCCGGAGTCTAGATTTTCATACGCGAATCTTCTTCGTCGGCATGAAACACGGAGGCACTCCTTTCGAGTCCCTGATCTTCCTTCAATCCCATCAGATGAGAGTGAAACTTCAGATACGCCTTGCGAAACGCCATGGCCTTCCTCATCTCTCGGACGGTCGTCGGTGAAGCCAGTGCAGTCTCAGCAAGAAGATCCTTGGAATCCGGAAAGCCGTCCAAGTGAATTTTCAAAGTATCTGTTGTCTCTGGCCGCTCGATCGGCACAGAAAGAGCTGAAAGAGCAGGCACTTGCTGCCTTTCCGAATGAGCAGGTCTACCAGCCTGTTGACCATTTTGCTATTGATGAGGAAGGAGGAGATTCAGGAGATGACGATTATCTGGTTTATCCGCAGCCACATCACATTAAGTCTCGCCGGCAATCCTCGGCAGACCTTTCCTGGGAGCTGGAGTATATGCGTCAACATAAGGAGGAGGCTGAACAACGACTTCGAGTCATGGTTGCTTCAAATAAGAACCTGGACTTCTCTCCCAATCACAACGCAGCCACCAGAAAATATGGCCCTAGTCCACCAATGCTAGGTGCTGATATTGTTCTACCCCAAAGTTTGTCGCCAGAAGGAACTCTTTGCGAGGAATCCTCGTCTGAGACCAATGTCCAGGGCCAGGAGGGCCCGTGTAACGACTGTGGTGGTCTTTGGTGTGCGGGAGCTGAGCCCGATGAGGGGCGCGGATTAGGCCTTTGGATGGGTACATGTCGTAAGGATGAGGGTTTCGAGCGAGACCCACAAGCAATGACGGGGATCATGACACCAATGATTCAATGTGAAGAATTCAACTTCACACCCAGTCCCCCGTTGGAGTCTCATGCGGACTCGAGAGATTCAAGTAGGCAACTGCCCAAAGGCACGACTTCTTGTCTCCCAAGACGGAAACTCGATGCCGAATTCAATGATGGCTTTGTGACGCAGATCTACAATTATCTGTCTCTAGGCTATCCGTGCGTCGCCCGATATTATGACCACGAGCTTAGCAAGATCTCAGGAATTGCTCTTGAAGAATTGCGGCGAGATGATCTTTGTGCCGATGCTCAGGGCTACGTTGTAGCACCGGCTGATAGTATGGCAGTTGGGTGTGTTCGATGGAAAGCTTTACGTCTTTATATCCACGAATGGGCTCGCCAGCAGCCGAACATGGTAGAAGATGAACTAGGCCTTGAGGCCTGGGGGGTTCCGGAGCGGAGAGGGAGCTGGGCGATTTGAAAGTGCCTGCGAGATAGTTTCTGCTGGTGTTGGAGGAGTGGCTTACACTTCTTCTATTGTTGTTGTTTCTTATCTTGTCCCGTTTCTTCGTGTTTCTATGGTCAGTGCTCTAGACTTCTTCAAGGTACAGCATATAGATAACCATCCCGTATACCTTCTGCCGTTGCCCCATTTTACCAGGGGGGCTTGCATTGTGTGCGTCTTTTTCTTCTGTTCCACCGTATTCAATGGAAAGCATCATTCACTCTGAGGTCCCTCCCCATGATGTAAACGATGATAGTACAAGGCCTATTGTCTACGTAAATATTACTGGAACATAGAGCTATCGGAAGGGTTACGCGATCAAGTCTTGCGGTTATACCCAATCATAACACCATCAAGGCCTGTCCAGTGCTGCAACAGTAGTATAAAGTTTAACATCGTGGATCGATCTGGGCTTAGATGAAACTTACAGCATCCGGTCGATCATTGATAACAATGCGTTTCATGCGATAAATGCACTAAAACTACCAATGAGCCTTCTAATACTTTATCTTGTTCAAGGAAAGCCTATTATTATGAAGGAAACAACTACAATCGGTCGCTATCACTGACACCAGGTGACCCTCTAGCGATCGAAGATGCCAACGATTAGTACATTTTTCGTCATGAGATTGACAGACAAGATAAGGATCATGTATTCGAGGCTCTAGAAACAATTCTCTTCTATCTGGGGAACAGCCATTTTCTTGTCGTTTTTTTAATCAGCCCGAAATCTGAGAAGACGTGTCTTTTTCATCCGATGAGATATAGACAGAATTCTGACAAACCCAAAAGGGAGAGCTCAAGTATGTTTGTCGTCCTTTTTAGTAAATCGTAGTCAATGCCTCTACTACAGGCTGTTTGACCGAGTAAAGTTCCTCTTCGAACCGTTTCATGAACGATGCCCGGGAAGATCTTCTGCTCCGGTAAAGGGGCTCGTGCCAGCGGCGGGGTTGCCGCCGATTGATGTTGCCAGGTCAGCCCCCGCAAAATGGGGCGATGATAGGTGTGGGGTGTGGAAATTTCGGCGTGTCTTGAGCGGTAATTTATGAATCAAAACGTAAATGATCCCTGTAATCGTTGGGGAGACGCGGGCCATGTCTTTAGTCCACGGGCTGTTTCCGAAGAGACTACCCAAGTCGCTCGGTGTAAGTGGAACTGCCAGTCTTCGAGCGACTTTAGGCTAGGGACGTAGCACCATTCTTGGATGATGGCGAGTATGTAGGCTTCAAAGCTGCCTGATTAGCGGTGTGGAGTAAACCGGGAGCCAGAGCATTTCGCTCATCCGTGACCGAGCCTTGAGAATAGCGCTCGATCCTAGTACCGACGGATTAGTATCGTTTCAGGAGGCACGGGCTTCTTCTTGCATTATTTCAGATCTGGGTAAGAGCTTACAGGGAAAGTTCTGCGAGCAGAGTTTCATGCCGGAATGCCTCTCGAATGTCAGGCACATTGCTCTTCGCCACATTGTTGCCAGCCACGCCAGGGGAACCGCAGTTCGAGCCCAGCCATCTCTTCTTCAAAGACAGTTCAAATCCACTTTGATCGACGGAGTGCTTCGCGAGCTCACACATATCGACCGCGCTGAACTTGTAGATCTGGGCAGCTACCGAATATTCCTCAATCAGAGGCTCTTTTGTGAAAGCAAACTGCAGAGGATCATCGGTGGACAAGGACACGTTGAGCCCACGCTTGAAGAAGCTGGCACACGGGTTCTTGTCGTACGTCAAGAACAATGCGTTGTTACTGAGGGGTGACATGGCGATGCCGATCTGGTCCAGGTAGTAGAGATATTGCAGGAGAGGCACCTTGCGCAACAGGATTCCATGGCTGATGCTGTGGCAGCACAGGAAGCCGACGGCCAGATGATCGGGATCACCAGCCTCACCGCAGTGCGGCCGAAGGACGAAAGTGTTGAATCCTCGGCGCTGGCGCCAATTGTTGAGAGAAGCAATATTGGCAAACATGAAGTAGATCCAATAGCTGTAAGGCGGATTCTGCTTGGTACCCCACTCGCGGGGAATGGGATACTTGCGGTAGAATCGGCGCTCCGCCTTGCTCTCATCGTCGACACTATCGAATCCGACCACTCGTTGAAGGAAGACATGAAGCTTAGGGTGACTGGAGGGGTCCTTGGTCACTTCAAACAATGGCTGGAACACGTTCGTGATGACCTGCTCGAAGTTCTCCATCATCCCGCTCGACTTGTACACGTCGTACAGGCGAGGAACCTGGATCAGCCATCGAACATTGGGGGAGAACAGCTTGTTGTCTACCACCCAGGCAGCAAGCTTATCCCATTCCTGAATGGATCGTCCATAGATCGAAATTCGCCATTCAACCATTTGGTACTTGCTGGATTCCAGGTCCGAGATTACCTCCTTGGTGATTTCCGCCAAATACCGACCCTTGATGTAGTTGTCGGTCTTCAAAAAGATTTCGCGGAGGCGGGATTCACCAACCGGGTTATATTTGAGGTTGAATTTGTCGAACCGATGGAATGAATCGGTGTGGGCCTAGAATCATCGATCAGTACAGGAAGAAACACAACACGGCCCTCCGAGTTTGAATTTGGGGCGTTCCAGGGGACCTTACATGCATATCTAGAGTATCAATACTCAAGTCATAGGCCGTCAGGTTGATACTTTCAAAGACCTCGCGCAGCGTGAGATGCTTTCCATCTCGAAAGAGGACCACTTCATCGGGAGATTTGCGCATTTTGCTTTTGATGAAGCGAAGGAGATGTTTCTGGTTCATGCAAGCCGAGTGATGGACGTGAGTGTCCACTTTGCGCACATTGTAGAAGTCACGATGCGGCACTTTCTTGCTGTCCGCGATTTCCTGGTACTCGTTGAGTAGTGCGTAGAGTTGGAACTTGCCCTCCAAATACGACAGACGCTTGAAGGCGAAACTTTTGGTGGGCCCGTCGGTGGACACATCTACCACGGCGTCCAGATCCATATAGAAGTCACGCAGAGAAGGAATTTGCACCAAAGGTTCTTGTTGATCTGCAGCCGTCTCCGACTCATATACTTGATAAACGCTGTTTCCATCGAGACGATATGTCCAGGAGGATTGTTTCGGAAGGGGCTCCAGTTCCTTGATGTCAAAGTCTTCGCCGATATCCTCACCCATTTTACGTTTCTTGCCTACTAGATCAGAGGGGCCTCCAGCATTACCGGGCTGGTACTCCTTGCCTTCATCCCAGGCGGGCTCGGGAGGTGGAGGGTAAATTTCCCATTCCGGTTTGTTTCTTGGGTCATCTTCGGACCGTTGAAGGGACAGCGCCATGTATTTTGACCGTCGTTCAAGAAGGCCCTTAATCTTGCGGTAGATAGCGTTCAGCTCCGATGTGACGGCATCGCCTCCAGGCGCAAACCCAGCTGCACCCTGGGACAACCCAATGCCCAGACCCAAGCCTTGATTTCCCTCCGCATTTGGCGTTGCGGTGAGATATGCTCCGTGGGCGGAGGGATTGGCACCACCTAGGGGCATAGCGTGGTTGCGCGCGGAGAGGTCTGCGGCCAACTGGCTGTTTTGAGCCTGCAATGCTGCTGCACTGGCCTCGTCGTGTGGAAACGAGGGTCCAAGGTGCCATTCGTCGCCTCCCATCGAAGATTCCCTCGCGACCTGGCCCTGCTGCAGAGGGCTGGTTCCAGCTGTCGTCACCTTGGAATCGTATGAATCGACCGCTATGCGTCCTGAGGGTATAGGGCTGGCTGGTGAGTCTCCCTTCGAGGCTGACGACAGCTGGTGATGCTGATAGAACAGCTTCGCCTCGGCGTGGCTCAAGGACTTCTCGAAGGCGTAGTCATATGTGGCCGTCTTTTGCTGAAGATCTCGTGGTAAAATATCCGTCGCCTCGTCCTGGGGGTCCTCTGGGGTTTCATGGGTCGCGAAGCCCGTAGAGTCCTCCTCGCCGGAGTCCCCAGGAGAAACCCCATCCGCACGCCTGTCGACGCTTGGATTGAGAATTGGACTAAGCTTGTCGGATCTGGACGAGCACATGATGTCGAGTGGCTGTGGCACAAGGGCGGGGGTCTTGGGGGACCAGAGGTACTGATCTCGAGTGGATCAATGAGCTTCGTTGCGGGCGGACAGGGCGAGGCAGGGATGGAAGACGTGCAGAGAAGCGAAGCGGTGAAAGACTCTGGAGTCTATGGTTTCGTCATGGGAATAAGGAGAGAAAAGCTGTAGGAGGACAGCTGGTATATGAGTCAAAGAATTAATATTGTTGGAGTATCTTTCTTTTTTTTTTTCTGGGTTAAAAGGCGGAGAAGATGCCTATGCTGATCCACCGGTGAGACGGGCAGGATAAAGCGCCCGATTATTATTGAGTAATACTTCTACAGCCTACTACTGTGCCCTACCAAATGGTAATTGAGCCTATTATTATTTCGTAGTGGAGCCCCAGCAAAAAGTCGCGTTGAAGAAAATCTTTAGTAATGCATGCTATACGACTTGGTATAGGATGGAGAGAACTTGGAGGTCTTAGACTACTACTGTAGTGATCTAGAGAACATACGTACTTGCTTTGTTCGATGTTTTTACTTTATGTAATGGGAGACTGCAGATACAGCGTACCTTCTCGACCACTATTATAGACTATATATAATACAATAGAATAGATCTAGATCTCTAAATAGCTACACGCTCCGATTGCTCTTTCAGTATATATACCCTTGTTCGGTGCCTCAGGTTTACTACTACTATGTACTCAGTATAAATGAAACTCTCCTACCTAGAACATATTCAGTGGTTACTTTTTAAATAGCTGCCTGCTACCAATACTATAACTAACTTAATGAGTTCTTCTTATTCATACTCAATTAAAGTGCACTTGCGCAAGCTCTAAGCCTGCCACTAAACCTCGAAGAGCTCCAAAGTGGACCCCCCGCCATCTTCCCAGGCGACCGTCATTCCTCCTCCCCTAAGAAACACCGCCCGCCTTTTCTCACCCCAAGTTCATCTCCACCTTCCTGGTCGACCTTCCCACCTTTCATCCTAACTCAACTCTCTTCTGATTACTACAGTGCCCTTCTCATCTGGGTTCGAACATCCTTGCTTCCTAACTTTTACCTCTTCAATCATCTAGGTGGCGTCCTCTCTCCTCATCGTCAGTTTGGATCCCCCTTCCCCTCTAAACAAAACATCCCCTCCCTCGCCGCCTACGTCAACTCTGTTCTCCTCGTGGCCTTTGCTAGCTGCTCTCCACAACACCACAGCATCCGCACCATTTGCGCAATAACTCCTTGCGCAGATACTCACGTTAGGAATGCGCATCTTGCTAACAGTCTCTTCTGTATGGTAGCCCTCCTCACTGCCGCCCGTATCCGCCAGACATCATGGCGTCCCTGAACCTCTCTACCAACGGCCCGTCAATCTCGAAAAGCTACCAGTCGGTCGTCAATGCGACACTCCCCGTTGGTTCACCCACCTATGGCCACTGGGCCGTCTTCTCCGTTTCAACCCCGCTTGTCAATGCCTTCCAACAAGATGCGGGTAATAAGGAGAGTGTCCTGAAGGTCCAGAGCACCGGAGGTCGGTTCTACTTTCCTCAAAGCCGCCGGGGAAATAACATTTTGTGCTAACAATCATTTCATAGATGGTGAACTGGAAGATCTCATTGAAGAATTCTCCGAAGGTCGAGTGCAATTTGCCTATGTGAAGGTGACAGACCCAAACACTGGGTTGCCTAAGAACGTTCTCATCGCATGGTGTGGTGAAGGTGTACCGGAACGGACAAAGGGATATTTCACCAGCCACCTTGCTACTATCTCCAAATTCCTACATGTGAGAAACTCTATCTGAACTACATGCCCTCGAGTCGATCCTCTTAGTAACGCGAAACGCTGTTTTAGGGGTACCATGTCCAGATCACAGCTCGGGCAGATGGTGACCTCTCCCCCGCAGGCATCGTGCAAAGAGTGGCAGATTCCTCGGGTGCCAAATACTCAGCCGAATCCCAGACACCTGTGGCCTCGACCACGTCCGCTTCGACCGGCCCTCGCCCCCCGGTCGCCAGTAAGCCAGTTTTTACCCCCACCCGGTCTGGTGGCATTGCCCCAACCCCGGTCGCTCGCACCATTCCGTCTACCTCCTCCGCCAGAGTCGATGATGATGGCTGGGGCCCCGATGCTCCACCCGTGACTCGCACGCAGCTCGAGAAAGTGAAGCCCGCCTATCAACCCACTCGAGTGAACCTGCAGCAATTGAAGTCGGAAAATCAATCGCCAGCCCGTCAAGTACCTCCGCCAGCCACCCAGGAGCAGGCCGATGTCGTCCGAGGAGGATACCAGCCCATTGGCAAGGTTGACATTGCGGCTATCCGGAAACACGCAGCCGAATCTGGACAGCTCAAGGATGACCGCCCTGCTCCCGTGAAGGGATCATACGAGCCGATCGGCAAGGTCGATATTGCTGCAATTCGTGCCAGAGCGCAGAAACCCGAAGAGACCGCGGATACTGGAGCTGCCCCCGCCCCGGCACCCCGCAATGAGCCTACATCGTTGCCTGAGCGTCCGGCCTCGAACCTGGCTGCTGGGCGCCTCACGGATCTTCCGAAGCCCAAGGTTGCCAACAAGTTTGGCTCCGGTCCATCGTTCCTCGGCACGAAGCCATCTCTTCCTGTGGGCCTGGGTGCCTCGTCCGCCAACGCTCCTATACAGGTTGGCAGTGCTAGTCGAACCTTTGCGGACCAAGGCGGCAAGACTCCTGCCCAGCTGTGGGCCGAGCGAAAGGCCAAGGAGCGCGGAGGAGCTGCTCCTGCGGTGGAACCAACCCCGCAACCCATTCAAAGCCAGACCAGTGGCCAGGGAGAGTGGAAGAGCTCATATGCTGGAAAGTCATGGGCCACTGTTCAGACGGTCCAGGATGCTGCTGGCTCGACTCGGGCCGCGGATGTCAAGGCCTCGGAACCTTCCGAGCCCCAGGAAACCGAGACGGAGCCGGAATCACAGGTTCACGATATTCGTAGCCAATTCTCTCACGAAGGTGCGCCGCCAGTCCCTCAAGTCAGTCGCCCGGTTCCCCTGCCTGGTCTAGCCGCTCAACCAAAGGAGCCCGAGCCCGAGCCTGAGTTTGAGCCGGAGCCGGAGCCCATTCCCGAGCCTCAGCAGGTGCTGCCCACGCCGCCCCCGCAGCCACGCTCCCCAACTCCTCCCACCCCTCCTGTCCGTGAGAGCTCGCCTATCCGTGTGGCAATGCCCGTGGGTCGCAGCGTGGCCGATGCCCACGAAGAGCAGCACTCTCCACCCCCCGCCATGCCTATTCGGAGCCTCCAGGAGGCTGTCCCCGATGAGAAGGACCTGGAGGATGATACTCATCATGATCTTGGCCGGGCTGCGGCCGAGGCTACTGTCGAGACTGGCATTGGAGAACAAGCAGCCGGTGGCATTCGGGCCATTGTTCAGTTTGACTACGAGAAAGCCGAAGACAACGAAATCGAGCTTCGTGAAGGCGAAGAAGTGACCGAGATTGAGATGGTTGACAAGGACTGGTGGCTAGGAGTTAACGTCCGTGGCGAGCGGGGTCTTTTCCCTGGCAATTACGTTGAGATCGTGGAGGATGGTGATGAGGCTGATACAGCTGCCGCTCATCACGCCCCCGAACCTGTGGCAGAGCCGGAGCCAGAGCCTGTCGCAGCCCCAGTTCAAGAGGCAGCGACACCTAATGGAGGATCTCATGAGCCAACTGCAACCGCGCTGTATGACTATGAGGCCGCGGAGGATAACGAACTCAGCTTCCCCGAAGGAGCGAAGATTCTCAACGTGGTATGTGTCTCCGGTGCATTTTTCTTTTCTTTTTTCACTTTTAGTCTCTCGTATCGCACGCTAACTCAGTTATTAGGAATTCCCCGACGACGACTGGTGGCTTGGAGAGTACCGTGGTGCCCGAGGACTCTTCCCGGCCAACTATGTTGAGCTGGATAAATGACGCCCCTCTCTAGCGTCATGAGGAGCTGCCTCAATAGTCAACGGGGATGTTTTTTCAGCCCGTGCAAATTCTAAGCGTGTCCGTGTATATAAAAGAGCCTCGAATACCTTCTTTATTCAAAATCAACTTGCCTGGGGACGCTGCCGATGTCCTTTGCCTTTTACCAATCTTATGTATATTGACAGTGCCTGGCCACTGACTCTGTCGTGAGGGTTGGAAGCATAGTTAGGCATATATGCAGATAGAATAAACATCTTGAGGCGTAAAACTCTCATATATGTCCGAGCCGTTGAAAGACGAGGGCCCCCGACGTCATGTGTCATTACATAAGCTGCCATCCTCCTTCAGTGGGAAATCACGTGCCATGCAAAAGCGCCCATAAACAAGTGCTGGTCCGAGGCCGATTCCGTGCCCGGCTGTCTGTGAGTGATCTTCGTTTGCAACTCCGAGGGCAGTCTGATTCTGCCGATATCCTCCCCCTCTTCGTGAGCTGCTGCCCCTTGATCTTCGTGGATATCGGCTTCGCGTTCTGCCAAGATGGCGTCGTTGGGCGATGACCTCCTGGTCACCGTGAACAAGCTCCAGGACCTGGTGTTCAACACTATTGGCAATGATTCCCTTGATCTGCCTCAGATTGTAAGAGATGATACCCCTTGATGATCCCTCCCATGTTCAAGTCGCGTCGTGGAACTAATGACTCTCCCAGGTCGTGGTCGGTTCTCAATCGTCTGGCAAGTCGTCCGTTCTGGAGAACATCGTGGGACGAGACTTCTTACCACGCGGTAGCGGAATCGTTACTCGGCGTCCCTTGATCCTCCAACTCATCAACATCCCCAGCGAGCGCCCCGACAGGCCCGAACATGACGAGGTTCACGTCCCGCACACCCCCGCCAGCGTGGCCGGCCAAAACGAATGGGCGGAGTTCCATCACCTCCCTGGTCGCAAGTTCGAGGATTTCTTGATGGTGAAGCAGGAGATTGAGGCAGAGACAGCGCGCATTGCTGGTAGCAACAAGGGCATCAACCGGCAGCCGATCAACCTGAAGATCTTTTCTCCCCACGTCTTGAACTTGACCTTGGTCGACCTGCCGGGTCTCACCAAGGTGCCGATTGGCGACCAGCCGTCCGATATCGAGAAGCAGACCCGCACTCTGATCTTAGAATATATTGCCAAGCCGAACAGTATCATTCTCGCCGTGTCCCCTGCCAATGTGGACTTGGTCAACTCGGAGGCGCTCAAGCTAGCCCGTCAAGTGGACCCCATGGGCCGGAGGACAATCGGAGTTCTGTCTAAATTGGATCTGATGGATCATGGTACTAATGCCATGGACATCCTGTCTGGTCGCGTATATCCGTTGAAGCTGGGCTTCATCGGTGTGGTTAATCGCTCGCAGCAAGACATTCAGTCTGGCAAATCGCTTTCGGAGGCTCTGCGCGCCGAAGCAGACTTCTTCCGTCATCACCCCGCGTATCGAAACATGGCCAACCGATGCGGGACACAATTCCTGGCAAAGACCTTGAACTCTACTTTGATGGCGCACATTCGGGACCGCCTGCCCGATATCAAGGCACGTCTCAACACGCTGATGGGGCAGACTCAGCAAGAGTTGGCAAGCTACGGAAACAAGCAGTTCAGCGGAAAGGAACATCGTGGATCTCTAATCCTGCAGCTCATGACCCGCTTTGCCTCATCATTCATCTCATCCATTGACGGTACCTCTTCTGAAATCTCAACCAAGGAGCTATGCGGTGGTGCCCGAATCTACTATATCTTCAACGAGGTCTTTGGAAACTCTTTGGAGACGATCGACCCTACACACAACTTGACAGTTTCGGATATCAGAACCGCCATCCGCAACTCAACGGGTCCCCGACCCAGTCTGTTCGTGCCTGAGCTGGCCTTTGATCTTCTGGTCAAACCGCAGATCAAGCTGCTCGAGTCGCCTGCTCAGCGGTGTGTGGAACTGGTATATGAGGAGCTCATCAAGATCTGCCACACCTGTGGCTCACAGGAACTCCTGCGGTTCCCTCGTCTGCAAGGCAAGCTCATTGAAGTCGTGTCCGACCTTCTCCGTGAGCGACTCGGCCCCTGCTCTGGCTATGTAGAATCTCTGATCTCCATCCAGAGAGCCTACATTAACACCAACCATCCCAACTTCCCCGGTGCCGCAGCGGCAATGCACTCGATTATTCAGAACCGACAGGAGGAGGAGCGGAAGGCCATCCTCGCCGAGGAAAAGCGAAAGCGTGAGAAGCGCCGACTGAAGGAGCTTGGCTCGGCTAATGGTGCTGCCGGCACACCAGATGATGAGGACGCACAGTCCGAAGCCAAGTCTCACAATCTTCCCATCCGGAACCAATCCTCTAAAGGCGCGCGAAGCATGTCGCCTCATATTGGACGGGGGGCCGAAAATGGCATTGCTGCTACTTTGAATGGCTCTCATGCGAACCACGCCGCCGGGTTCGGTGCCTCGCACACTACTCGCGATTCGTTCTTGAACTATTTCTTTGGCAAGGAAGGCGGTATTCCTAGCCCGCCCCCATCTGCTCAGTCGGGCCTGAGCCGATCGGTCGCTCACCACAGCGAACCCAGCATTGGCCAGAGCCTTCGTCGCCCGGAGGTTCGGTCACCCGTCATGCCCGCCGACGAATACCCAGCACCTCCAAGCGAGTATGGTGGTGATATTTCTGCCTTCGTGAGTGTTCACTTCCCTATCCATCAAATCCTATTGTTATCTCGACTTTAACTGACTGATTCCGCCCCACTAGCCTCATGAAAACGCTGAGCCAACCCTAACAGAACGCGAGGTCCTTGAAACCGAGCTGATCCGTCGTCTCATTTCTTCCTACTTCAATATCGTGCGAGAGACCATCGCCGATCAAGTCCCCAAGGCTATCATGCACCTACTAGTCAACCACAGCAAGGACGTTGTGCAGAACCGACTAGTCAGTGAGCTGTACAAGGAGGATCTCTTCGGTGAACTCTTGTACGAGGATGATGGCATCAAGGCCGAGCGGGAGAAGTGCGAGCGACTCTTGGAGACTTACAAAGAAGCTGCCAAGATTGTTGGCGAGGTTCTATAGACCCGAGGAATGGGCTTGGATGGTGGAAAGATCTCGCACCTTGTTTGAGTATTTGCGACGTGGCCGTCTCCTTTTTATTTCATTTTCAGTTCAAGTTACGTGGATGTACAATTATTTTGGGCCTTTGATGCACATGCGCTCTTGATATACTTATGTCTCTCTTCTTTTTTTTTGATCAGAGGATCATCGTCTCTTCTTGCCTTTGATGAATCCCATCGCTTCGTATGCTTGAATATCTATGTAGTCTAGTGTAGGTATATGATGAATCGCACTAGGCCGGGCATATGCTAGCCAGAGCTGACTCTTTCAATGACTCTTTCCAACAAACTTATGCTTCTTTGACCCAGTAATACTCACTGGGTCTTCTTCAACCTGGTCTTCCTCAATCTCGCTCCTTCAAATCCATATAGACCACCCCCGACAGTAACCAAAACTGCCCCGACAAGGACGCCAGATGCCAAATCATTGCCAAACAAGTAGATTGAGAGCAGCAAAGAGACGAGCTTGCGGATATTCAAAACCACCGTGACCGTCAAGGAAGAAGACTTGGCCGACAACAGGTGCACTCCCCGAATGCAGACGTACTGCGTCAAGGCATTCATAATCAGGTAAGCTACCTGAATTGGAATCTTGTCGAGGACGGATTCAACCGATTGGTATTTCTGAGCAGCCGCCATGATAGAGAACACATTGTTGTTCAATATGCTGGACGAGGTTTGGCTGACATTCTGAGAAGAAAGTGTCGAAAGCAGCGAGGGAGTGGATGCTACGACACGCCACGACGATAATAGCTGCGGATAGCTGGTCAAGAACAAAGGTAGCGAGAGGAAATGCGAGTAAAACAGAGCCTCCTTCCAATGATCACGGCCATACTTCCCATATAGTCGGTCTGCGTAGATTCCCTGAAACGCGGACAGAATCATAGCCAGCGCAAGAATGCTGAATCCCGTAGCCGTAGTCATCAACGTCACGTCCTCAACGGCTCCGATCTCGATAGACTGGCCCTTAGCCTGCGCATCGGCAAGCGCGGCGGCGGCAACACCCGCCGTGAGCAAAGCCACAGCGAGGATTTGGCCGCGGGAGTAGCGTCTCCCGTTATAGGCGTATCCAACAAGCATGGAAGCCACCGGCCCACCAGATCGGAGAATGATATGGAGCGGGACGGAGATCTTATATGCAAAGGCCCAATTGTTCAAAAGGTTGACCGAGACAAAGTACGCGGTATAGATTATCCATGATCGGAGCGGGATTGCTCGAGGGCTCATGAATAGAGCGCGGGGACCGGCTGAGAAGGAGAGGAAATGCGGGAGAGTGAAGATGGCGCATAGAATGAATTGGGCGAAGGTGATCAAGGGACCTGCTGTAGGTTGCTCCCTAAGCGAAAAAGGATGTTAGTTTCGTCGTGTCTCATTTGCATACACGGATACACTTACTTGATGATAGCTTCGAGAGCAAAGACCTAATCAACATATCAGCCATCTCCCGCTCTCAAGATCAATTCAATATCCCAGATTTCCGCCACAGACTCACATTTGTACAACATCCTCCAAAAATAAGCGAAGCCATCAAAATCATATTAGCCCAGGAGGGCACCGTCGCATGCGCAACCGCAGCCATCACACCCATATCCTTTTTCGCCTTGGTCGACTGGCTAGCCGTAGACCCATTTACGTGGCCATTGGCACCACCAGAAGGCCGTCCAACTTGCGCAGTCGCATAGGTATCCGGCCTCCGCTTCACAGCATTGTTATCGTTGATCATCGTGAGTGGACCCGCGGTTATTCGTGGTGGGCGCGGAGGAGACGAATGGCTCGCGTGAGAGGACGGATCTGCTCCGCAATGCCCTACTCGGCGCGTCGGGGGGTTCGAGGGTTCGTGGATTGTTTTAGGACGAGTTTGTCTTTTTGTCGCGTTGGTTCTCGGTGGGAGCCTGAATTCACCGATATTGTTTGAGGCCGTGCAGGATCTCAATGGCCTGCAGAAGGTGACGTGGTCAGAATAAAAGCGGAGGAAGGAAGATGAGATCGGCGGGGCGGCGTTTCGAGATTTCCTTTTTGGGCCAACGGCAGGTTGATTTAGGAATTTAAATGAAGATGATTAACCTTAAATCTATGGTTAGTATCAAGTTCGGAAGTACTCAGAGGCTTCATTTTTACTACGCTGGGATGTCCGTTTTACTGAACTAGGTTCATTGTAGTTGGTCGGACTGATCCTGTAGTGTAACAATTATGATCAATAGATGCCTTCGTACCCTTTTTACATCAAGATTCCCTTGATTTCTGGCTAGATAGACCGGAAAGATGTTCATACTTCATATCAAAGTCGTTCTTAATATACAATTGAGATCAGACAGGCTCAGTCATCCACAATATCATCATCACTCAGAATCAGTTTCTCCTCGTCTGCCGCAGGCACAGGAGACCCAAATGCATTGGCGTTAAAACTGTTATTAGCTCGAGATCGGGGCACTGTCGGCGCGAGTTCATCGTCATCATCATCGTCATCCATTCTCTCGTCCAGACGACCATCCTGAATGCTCGAGATTTGATTGAGATGCCACCCATCAGGCTCTTTGCGACGAATCTGGGCCATATAAGGCAAATGATGGAGCAATGCATCTAGCCGCGACATCATGGTCACAGCCGAATGCAGAGAGTCGTCATTTTTCTCCACAGCCGAGTATCCGAGTCGAAGATTTTTCCATGACTTGACACCTCCAAACTCGGCGGTAGAGCCAGTACCGCGGGCAAGGACGCGTGAATCGCTAGTAGGGTCTAGCATTTGTTTCAGACATGAATCGACCAGACCCTCAATCTCCTCTGTCCTCCTCCATAGTCGCAGTGAGGCTGGGTAAAGCATCTGATAGGCCTGCCTCTCAGGTTTTCGTCCATCCACCGACGCCGGTTTCCTTTTGACCGGGTAGGGAAGGGCAAATAGAAGCCCGCGAGCTGCAACCTGGAAGCTGATCTCATCCTGTCTGAGCATATCGACACCGGCATTGAAAGGAGTAGCGCCGATTCCAACGCCTGTTCTTGCACTCTGGAAGGGCCTGCGATCAGCGCTGAGAATATCACAATCGGATAACGCTTCAATGCATGCGTTGAAACTATCCGTGAAGGAGTCACCATCGCAGGACTGTGGATAATTCTCATGCAGGGCACTGATAAATGTTGAGACATCAGTGCCTGTCTCATCAAGTAGCTCGTTGACTGCGACCTGTGAGACCTTGACGCGACGGTGATGAAAGAGATGGTCTGGTGGTGATGGGGGGATTGGGACATCACTAGGCATTAGACTGGGATCTAGGCGTTTATTATAGGCAATTTTGCCCACGGCATGGAACATCCCAAGACTTGCCTCTCGCTGGGAGATCATCTCCAGAGACTCTTGCTCCATGAGTGTTAAGGTAGATCCTCCCCGAGGCTTTTTGGATTTAGTGAGACTTCCGCTCCATTTCCCTGCTTGGTCACCTTTCAGACACAGAAACTCAAGAGCAGAGAGGGCACTGCGTATGTCTCCAATATCGGCAATTTTGTCTAGAACCGCGGACCCCGGGACCCGGGAGCGCTGGGAAGTCTGGGCCTCTTTTTCCAGCACCAATCGCAGGGCTTTCTGCATGAATGTTGGTGCAATGCAATTAAAGTCGATGATAGTCGTGCCGATATGATTATACAAGGTAGGCCCGAGCAATCGATGCACAGTCAAGTTATCAGAGATCGATGATGCCGAGCTTAGCAGCGTTTCCGAAATGATCATCACAATAGGCGGGTGCATCCACCCACCCAAGGATTGCTCCGTGGAAGCCGCAAGATAACGCTGCAAAGACGCCCGAAACGCAGCAAGACTGGAAGAGTTTCGATTGAGTATTGTTGGAAACTCTTCAATAAGAAGCACGCGATGGCTTCGAGGTTGTGCATCACGACCTTCCCTAGACTCAACCGAGTCCTCGAGATCTAGACCTCCAAACCGGTCGCCACGACCGAGGAATTCCTCAAAGTGAGCGCTCACAGAAACATATTCCTGAGCAGCAAACTCCGAGACCGATGGGTTTCGCCATTCAATCAAGTCGAAGTCAAGGGCTTCGGAAAGGAGTGTAATAGTGGTGGTTTTGCCGCTGCCTGCAGGGCCTCGTAAGACAAGTAACCTCTATTCCGTACCATTAGTAAATGAAGCTCAATCAAATACCCTCATTGTCTCGCAACAAGCAGAGGACGATCCAAGACAATCTCAAACAAGCACACTAACCTCTTTCCGTCTCCCTGCAAAAGCATCCTCCAACCATCTCCGCACATCAGACACCTTCCTCTTATGAACCGCAATCTCGTCCAAATTCGCCGGACCATATCGCTGCGCCCACGGCCGTCCATCTACCTCCACCGAAGCCGGAGCAGGCGATTGTCGATGATCCCCACTCTTCGGCTCGGGCGGCATTACAAAGCGCTTGGAAATATGACTTTTCGACCGTGTCGCAGCCGTCTTCTTCGGCGCCGGCCGTCGTGTTTTGCTAGAACCATGGGCAGCAACGGGCGACTCAATTTGTGTCTCCGTCTTCCCTCCCACCGCAAGATGCTGCGTAAATATCTCATCATAGGAATCATAATCATCTTCAATTATATCCGCATCAAGGGTCGTTTCCGGGGTAGTCGCGAGTGGCCGCTTGGTCTCGAATTTCTGGGCCGACCATCGCTGGGCGTCGGTTGCAGGTTGGAAAAAGGTGTGGAGGGATTTTGATTTGGTTGTTTGAGGGGATGAGCTTGGTTTTTTGGGCGATACTGATGAGGATGGAGCTCGGGTGGGTTTGGTTTGGCTTGCGCGTGTTGTTCGAGGATTCTTGGTTTTGGGACGTGATGATAGCGCAACGGTGGTGGACGTTGATGGGTCGAGGGAGGGAGATCGTGCTTTTAGTTTATTGTGTGTATCTTCCTCTGAATGGGTGGATCGGCGTTGTCTCTTTGATGGACGACCGTCCATGATGGGAGGCCCAGGGGAAGAGGAGGAGACGAAAGCGTAGGAGGAACTGGTGCGCGTCCGATAAGCAAGCTTATGACGCCAAGTGCTGGGGTCCACCGCATATCAGCCAGCTACATACATCCTGTACACCGAAATGTTAATGGTTTAATCTCAATTGTCGTTCCATTTATGCAATTAATAAATATTTCCCCGGTAATTCATATTCAACAGCCTGATATTAAGATACCTTTTCACGCTCAAAAGCACAACTCCAGTTCCAAGGTTCATTGTGTAATCTTACACATCCAGCCAAAGTGGGTATAGGTATATCGACAGGATTCCAACATCATCAGACAAAATAAAAGGAGATAAAAAGGGGCGAAAGATTCAAAAAGGCTCTAATGAGCTTTGGCTATGCGCCACCAAAGACATCATAGTAGTAATCCTCATCCAGCCCGTCCCGTACAGGTACAGGAGGAGCTTCACCCGCAAAGGTGGCATCGTCAAATCGAACGTTAAGCAGTCGAATCTTCAGCCCGTAGTTGCCGACAAGGTCAATCAGTTTGGTCGTCTCGGCTGTGATGGGTTGCTGGTTGAGGAGCATCAAGAGGCCGTCTAGCCACTCGGATGCCACACTGTGGGAAGCGGGTCGGAGAGTCAGAAGAACCACTTCCTTCTGGGTGGATTTGCTGCCCGTCCGTGTATGGGCGTGACTCTTTGAATGCCCTGTTGATGACGGCGCGTAGCCATGAATGGTGATCTTTGTAGACGCCTGGCGAGGTGCAGTCTTCACAGTGGCTGAAGAGGCGTTATCGGGGGCAGTAGAGACATTGGATACTACGGAGGAGACGGTTGACAGATCAACTAAAAGCAGAGATTAGCATCGCAGTTCATCACTGGACCTTGGCAAACGAGTGATAAGAAGGGAAAGGTTGATAGCTTACTCTTGTCTGGCAGCGCATCCAGCTCTGGCGCTCGATCGCTCACCGAATCAAACTCTCCAAAGTGAAGATACCTACGGTTATGAGACAACTGCACATACTGATCCGATGCAGTGGATCGAGCAGCAGCCCCTGTCTCCGCCTTGGAAGGAGGCTCCAGGGCAAACCAGGCGCCCTGAAGCAAGCAACGAATACGCTGTTCCTTGACAAACTGCAAAGCTTCATGGTGGAGTTCCTCGCGAACCTGGAGTAAGTGCTGACCCCATGCATCCTCATAGGTGAGCTCGAGGAGCTCCATCTGCAGCTCGCGCAGTCGATGATACTCGTAGTTCGCCAACTCCTCCTCTATATCCTGCACATCCTTCGTCCGACCTGCACCGCCCACCACAGACTCGATCAGAATACGAACCAGCTCAACAAGCTTATCCAGATCCTCAGACTCCGCTGCAGTAGCTTTCCACAGTCGGAAAAAGGCCTGCAACCCTGCGACATGCAATCGCGTCCAGTGGAGAAGTAGAGGCTTGAACAACTTATCAAAGTTGGAACGTGATTCCAACATCATGTAGTTCTTTGACTCATCCATCTCCGACTTGTCCACTTCAAAGTGTTCGAACAAGATCGAGGTAACAGCCAATGAGGCCCGAGCAATCGGACACCGCTGGCGTGCTGGCTTGGTAGACTGCTCAAGAAGCATCTTCTGGAACTCATCCTGGTGGCTGCGGACATAATCCGCCAAATCCATCATACCCAAGAATCCCACCTCATGGAACTCAGCCGCCGGACTCTCCGACTCGAACCCTAGCCGGCGCCACTTATCCGGCTGGTGTCGCTTAGAGCGCCGTGTATCATCGCCATTTTCCGAGGTCTCCTCAACACCACCCTTTGTCGGGTTGCTAGCCAGGTAGATCCCCTTAAGTGCTCTCCGGTGTTCCGGTTTCTCTTGGTTCAGGGAAATATCCCTCCACTTGCGAAGGAGCACCTTTGTAAGCGACTGGAATTCGAGAAGCGGGTGTGCCAGATCCTGGAGAGCCGAGTCCTGCATGAGGACATAGACCGCTCGAATCACCCCGAGATCTTGCAGTTTCTGAATAAACTTGGGCCACTCGGCCTCGGAGTCGAAAGTGATCGAGTCGCGCATGAGGGAGTTGATCAATTGAAGCGCATTGGCGCACAAGGCGTGGTCGGCCGAGGAGAGCCGGCTCACCAACATCTCCAAGAACTGGGGATAGATAGCAATGGCTGGTTTGAGGGCCCGGAAGCCGAACAGGTCTGCTTCGGAGGCGCGACTCCCCGTGTGTGGATGTGAGACGATGGAGACCAGAATGGACATGGCGCCGCGGAGGATGTTAACGAGGGGGTGGGTGACAATCAATTCGACAATCTATTCACATGCGACCAAGACGATGATTAGCAATTCAAAACAGACAAATTGAGAGGCACCCATCCCATGAGAGAATGAGGAGCATAAGTAACATTCAAGGCTGGGGTTGTAGTCTTACTCGTTCAACCAACTCCTGATCAACACACTCCCACCCCTTATCCACCTCAAGCAAGCGCGCAAAACTAGTAAGACTGTAGGCAAGAGTATTTCCACTGGCGTGCAAGGTCAGATATCGCAAGCGCGTCAATCCACCCTCGACAATAAAGATGTCCGCAAAGGATGGGTCGCCAATGTTGCTCTGAAGCTTGAAGACGGCCATTTTGCGCACGGCATCCTCGTCGCTGCCCAGACGCTCCACCAATTCAGCGACATTGACAGTATCCATGGTCGTGGTAGGCACTTCCCCCAGGTTCGTGTAGGGGTGTTCTGGGAAAGGGAAGAAATGGCGTGGAGATTCGGGGGAGGATCAGGGGGGGGCGCGCTGTGGGGCAAAGTTCGAGATTCGAGATTAGAGCTCGACTCTAACGCTACGAACTACTGTATGAACAATGAACTACCGAGACATGCGAGTTTGATTTGATTTACTTGATTGAGTGCATTAATACTATTATTGATTGAAATGACATAGAAAGACAACGCTCATAGAACTCGTTTGTATTTTTTTTTGAGCTCGGCTTCAAGCCGGTGGAATTAAATATTTGCATATCTCATTCATACATGAAGGATCAATAAAGAAGGGAGGAGGTCCATATCCAAACCTGCCTCCTCCCTCCCTTGGGGGAATCTATAAAGAAGTTCATTACGTCCGTATCATTACTCCAAGAAATTCGCAGCGCCCGACGCCACAGAATTATGCAACTGATTTTCGTATATCACCAAAAAGAAAGAAAGTCCCTTCTTTTGGTTTAATATGTGCCTCTCCGGACGATAGGCTGGGAAACCTGCCAGGGTCCCAATTCGCCCAGAGAAGCGGAGAAGGGTCATCGGCGCCAGCCCACGTTCCAAATGACATGGGCGATATCTCGCGCCGTGTTGACCGTGTCCACCACTCGGCCTAAAAGACCGTTACTGGCAGGTTCCCCCTCGCTTTCCCCATACGGCATAAACATGCCCGAGGAAGTGAGTCGAAGAGGACGATCAGCGAGTTCGTCTTCATCTTCGGGGACGAACCACGGCTGATCTCGATGCGTATAGTGACCGGTAAAGTCTAACGATGGGTCTTCATCCTCATCGTCGAGTAGGAAGTTGGCCGATGGTCGAGGAGGGCGGAGAGTCTCCACGGACGGAGTAGGGGATAATTTGGAAGAGGTAGGTGTCGAGGGGGAAGTAGACCAGTGGTCGAGAATGGACTCTCGGGGTTCCGGGGTGTCGCCGCGGTATTTGAGGGTGGTGGATGGAAGAGGTGCAATGGTCTTGCTGTCACTGCTGAAGCTGCCGCGAGGTGTGCTTCGGTTACTAACGGAGGCTCGGCCGGGGATCTGTCGCATCATGACCACACTGTCATCCGAGGATGACTCCTCATCAAAGGCCGGGGGCCAGCTTTCATCCTCGTCAATCTCCTTGACCTCCACAGCGATACATTGGACGACCTCGTTATTGAAGTGAATGTGACGACGTTCACTGGGAGAGGTTAGCCCCGACCAGGAGGAGGTGGTGAGTGTGCCGCCCAGGGAGTAGGTGGAGCTCCCGGTTCGATGGTGTATTTGGTCCAGATCGGTGTTGGATCGGGGAAACGGAGGTCGTGCCCAATTATTCTCAGCCTCCTGGGCCTTGAGAATAGCACCTGCATGTTGCAATAGAGTGTGCTGGGAAAGCGACCGTTGAAGGATGGTCTCGGACATGGTCTTCTTCTTCAGGATGGGTTTGGGTTCCAAGTAGGAGTTTGGAGTTTCAAGGCGACTCGGTGGTGGGGATGCATCGGACGCGATAGCATCACATGAGCTCGACGTCTTGAGAGGCCCGTAGAGCCATGTGACATCGCAATCTTTCAACCTACACGATAAAGTTAATTCCTGGACACGCATAATTGCGAGGCAGAAGAGTTGGCTCTCAACAACAAACATACCAATTCAAGGTCTCTGGAGAAATGGTTCCGAGGTTGTTCTTCGCCTTCGCCCACGTCCTCCACGACGCGTTCTCTAACCGAACTCCATTGCTGTACGAACCCTTTCGAGCAGTGACATAGCGCCAGGAAGACCAGATATCCTCTTCCCGCCATTCATGAGACAGATAGTCCACATGCCTGGAGGGTTCCTCTTCCACCGAGCTATCATCTGCGGCCGGGGTGTGGCACGACCACGCCGGGGTATGGGAAGTGCCTTCGGCCGACGCGTCGCTGACCGTATCCGGCTCCTGCTCTGACTCCTTCAACGCTGATAACTTTTCATTTTCTGTATCGTAGGAAGGTAATATCAAGTCGTCATCCTCCACAGAGAGCGCGCTGAGGGTGGTCGGGGTATACGGAAGCTGATCGTGGGCGGGCTGAGTGAAGCTCGGTGAGAGCGGAATGGAGGAGAGGGTCGAGGAGGCTACGGGACTGGGGCATTCCCGCGCCGAGTATTCATCTTGCATGGGTGATTTGGACAAGATACCGTGGTCCCCTAGGAAGTATCGCTGGGCCGTGGGTGACCGCAGAGGGTCGCGGGCGAATTGTTGCGAAGCCTGTTCGCGGGGAGTCGCCAGCACCGCCGTCATTTCCTCGTCGCGACTGGAGAAACGAGGCTCGTTTCTTTCTTTGTGGCCGGTGTGTCACGAGGGCGAGACTGGGGGATGGCCGGGGGAGGGAGATTAGATTAATATGCTTAGCGGCGAGACATCGAGGATGATAGCCGAGAAAATACACAAAATCGAGGGAACAAACAAAAAGGAAAACAGAAGAAGAAGGGAAGTTGGAATGAGTTGGAAGGTGAGCAAAATCCAGGCGGAGGGTGGCGGAGAGAGCGGGTCTGAACCCCGGGGGAAGGGGGAAGGGAGGAAGAAGCGAGTTGAAGATAAAAAAAGTAAAAGATGCGGGGAGGCAAAAGGGAGAGAAAGAGTCTCGATAAGGATGAACCACGGGAATGGGAATGGGGGAAGGGCAAATGGAGATAGGTAGCCACTGCCGATAGTTCACTAATAGTAACGATAGTATTGAACAGGTTAGAGGGGGGGGGGAAGAAGGACAGCCACGAAAAGTCTAAACGTCCAGACTCTTTTTCTCAGGGTGGGAAGAGGGACTGGATATATAAGAACTTAGGAATATACTAATCCAGTGGTGACACCAAGAAAAAGGGCCGGATTGGGAATGCCGGCAGGAACTTGTGTCTTGCTACTTACTGGTTGCGCCAGAAATCCATTCCAATGGGCAATCCGATAACCGCCTCGAGAAAAGCTAAACTCGATGTACGTTTTAGTTATTATTATTATTATTATTATTATTATTATTTCCCTACTTCCTCCGTTCCTCTCATTATCCTCGGCGTCTCTGGTCTCTGACGAAAATAAAAAGTGCCTGAACACACGCTCCCTGTCGCCACCACAGGCGCAGTAGTCCGGAATGTTGGACCCGATCGATGGAGATTATTGACATTTTCACGACTACTAACAGGTTACAACAGTGCACTAACGAACGAAAGTACACTAAACAGAGAGCGTACCATAATATAACTATGGACGGATTACAAGTTACAACGAATAATAACGGATAGACTCGCCCCTCTCTCTTGACAACAATAACTCCAAAGTATGTATCTTTTTCTTTCCCTAGGTTCACCTCTCTCTTAGCTGCCCCCGCTTAGCGAGTCAGCGACCGGTATATATAGAGGCTAGACCGCACGATAGCCCCTCTCCTCTCCCCTCGTAGACACTAGACTCTTAGACTCGTAGGCTCGTGTGGACTCCACTCTCCGACAGCTACACCAGTCGATCTAGACTACTAAGTGGAGCTCGTCGCAACGCTTCCGGGGGGCAAACGGTCGGACTTTCGGACGATCACGGATGGATCCTCCCAAAGGTCCTCCGTACTTTGGCCCCTCTAGGTACACTACTCGGGCCGTCGATGGCAAACGGGATGAAGGTTTCGGAGTGCTAATTGTATACAACTGGTGATAGTAGTACTGTAAGTATAGTATATATATTGAAAAAAGCAAAACCTGTATATTTCAATTGATAAAGATAAAACAGAGCAAAAGTACCTCATACATCATCCTACATCTATAGAAGCACCATCATCAATCGCAATTCAATTGCTATGATAACAAAAAGTATATAATGATATAATCACGATCGTACCAGGTAACCGTCTCCCTTCCCATTCATCCGTATCCTCTGTGGGCAAAAAACACTATTTACGAACCACAGCAATAACGATAACATAACATGAAAATCCTCCCTCCTCATCCATGGGGCCTCGAACGGGGGGGGGCACCCACAATCAGGGTCTGAGCACCGTTCGGGGCTGGGGTAGGACAGGACATGTTGTGAGCCTGCCACCTCCAGACAGCTGCTCTCCACCTGTCAGGTTGGTCCCCTCCAGACCGGGGGGAGACACAACATGACTGTAGGGAAGAGTGGAGTGGGACGCGAGATCCACGTCTCACAGCACGAGCCACTGGCAAATCTCTTCGCATACATTAGGTGCGACTAAAGTATTCAGAGTCTGCTAACGTGGAGGATAATGAGTTGAGACGTGATGACTGCGACTGCGGTATGTTACTATTCTCGCAAAACTTATTCTACGATTACTACTTCTACTACTATCCTCGGTCGTTGGATCGAGACAGTCACTAGTGAATTAGCTCCCTTAGTTGCCTCAAGAGGCGGCTAAGGGGCGCATTAGTGGGCTCTCGGGGCGTGCGTGGGACTGGGCGACATGTTTTAGTTGGCCCCAGCTGCAAGTCAGAGTTGATCATAATGTAACAAGACCATAGGATAATGCATAAACTATTATTTTTTCTTAGCATGAGATAATAAAGAGTGAAAAAAAATGGATAGCACAAGTAACTAACTACAGTAGAGTGACAAGTATAGTAGTGCCGAGGGATCATGATGAAGCACATCATTCCTGTGGATTTTCCTCGATAACAATCGTCATCATTTGGATACTACTACTGCAGTATATACGCCGATGTATTATAGGACGGAGATAAATAGCTCGCAATTACTTATTCACTTCCCTTTTTCAGCAATGCAATTAGTTATCCCATAATTATGACTCGAAGCTACCATACCCTAACCATTCTCACGGACGGTCATGATAGCTTCCCGTACTACATTGCTCGTTGCAACACAGCCGGATATCGGATTTTCGCCCCCGGTGGCACTCATTCTGCTTCTAGAATAATGCTGTCCTCCCTCTCTGCATCAACCATGAATTACGAATTGACCCGTAGCCATTGCCCTTGTACGATCCAAAATGACAATCACGATTCCCCCCAGTATCATCTCCGACTCGTATCACAGTCCCAATTTATCTACATAACGAAGGAAACTAGACCACGAATCCTAGGCTGTTAGCATTTGCAGCATCTCGTCCTCATCGCAATCATCTACTGTAAATCTAAATCTTCCTTTCCCACTCTACAGACACCCACCAACAATGCATCAGAAAACCACCACTCCCACCTTCACCAAAAACTAAAACCAGCGTTGTGGGACCGTGCGGCTGCAGATTTCCAAACCTAATAATCCTCCGGCCAGCGAATCCGGCCAGCAAAGCGCGTGTACGATCGACGGGCCGATGGACTCGATGTAGCCGAAGACCGCCCACTAACGAGGCAGCACGGACCTTGGGAGAAGAGTACTCCGTTGTGAGGTATACTCCAGGTTTTCTTTGGAGAGAAAAACGAGTCAGATAGTAGTAACCATGGTCTGGCACAGTAGTGGCAACGTACCGGCTAACCAGGATTTATTTATCGAAATCAAATCTCCCCGAGGCTTATTGGAAGAGATAAGCGATTCTAGATTTTGGTCGATAGCGTTGCGATTATGGCCCTGGGGGAAGGCCCCTGGTAAGATGGAGTCATGGAACCAGGTCGATGACTCCAGGACCTGCGGCTAGTCCTGCGACAAAACTGGGTGGCGTCCAGCCCTGATGGATTCATGGCTGGACGCATTGTCTGTTTATGTGGATATGTGGATATGTGGATGTGTATCTGGTTTATCTAGGCCATCTGGTTCATCGGGAGCTCCCCGTGTTACCATTGTTTGCTGTTGAGATACGCGAATGGGGAATTTTTGGTTAGTGGGGGGAGGAGGACGAGATAGCAGTAACAGCCTTATGGCCAACCACATCAAATCGTAGATCATTTAACATACATGGAACACTACTCTAAAAAAATTAAAAAATTAACAAAAGCTCTGATCATTGCAGCAAAAAAGGATAGGTATGATAGCTCCTAAGCTAACCCTTCTACCAACCTCAGCAAACGACATGAACATACTCCTGCCCCTCATGAACCGAATTGAACCGGACCGCAGAACCGCGGTAGGGCCTCTCACCAAGTCTCAGGACGAGAGAGAGGCAATACAAGAGAAAAGACTAGAAGTTGTACACGCACAATTGTCTTTTGTCTGTGCGTCTGCATGGCCGCTTGGCCCTTGGGGCCCTGAAGCCTGGATGGCCCTTTTATTCCCTTGGTCCTGGCCGAGGGGCCCGACGGACCGATGATTGGTTCTAACTTAAACCCTCGAGGCGCAATCCAGGGCCAGTGAGATGGTCGCATCGCTGCATGTTACCGCATCACTTTCTTGGAGAAGAGAGATACTTGAGAGGGTCCTTGCACGGTCATAGTAATACACATGGTCAAGAAAACCGAAATAAGTTTCCCAGACTTTTTTACCAGCACAGCACTATTTACTGTACCTACAGTATTAGCGCCTAGGATTCTCTTGCAGTAACGGCCGGCGCCAGTCTCAACTGCCCAGCTGCAGCAGCAAGTCCCAGTCCCAGTTCTCGGGCCAGTACTGTACCTTTGAAACAGCCCGAGTCTGCCGCCCGTTTATGAGCATATTGCTATCAAAGCCACACCGAATCTGGTTCTGGCCCACAGCGGGACCCCCCGGTCAACTTGGAGCATTGACCGGGGTTGCCTTTGGGGGCGGGTCCCTTGTGGCCCTTGTGTGCAGCACCTGCAGTCTTCCCGCGAAGAGTCAAGACCCAGATGAAAAGACGTGACGCCCAAGGTTCCAGGATGACGAGTAGGTCAAGCCATTTGACGCCAAACCAGGACCGAATTAGACCAGACTGATGGATCCCAGCAGCCTGCCTCCCTCAGAGAGGTGTTTTATTTTCGTTTAAATCCCCCATTGGACCATTCAGATCTATACATTTCCGCACGACTCCATCCTGGGCAGCTCTGGCGACAAGCTCGGGTAACATGCCCTGCCACTTCCGAGGCATTGATATCAATTGGAAACATCGGGCAAGTGGATAGCGAAGGGAACAGACTGACAATAATGCAGAACCTCAAACCTCCTCAAACCTGTTAGTGCTATATTCCCTGACAGGCCTGACGGGGATCGTCGTCATCCCTCATCTCATCATCTCTTGGCAAGTTAGCTGCCAGTTATCTTATCACAGCCGCCAGCGTGCCAACAGCTCTCGCCAACCGTTCAACGGCCGTGCGGACCTATCATCAACCGGGCACCAATTGGCGTTCCCCAAACCCCTCCTATCAGCTCTATCGACTATCGCTCTATCATGTTGCAGCCGTTGTTCCCTGCTGTTGGTATTGGCAGTCATCCACTAGGGACTTTCGTACTTTGGTCCCGATGCACTTCAACGGTCTATCATTGCGCGCGGAGATGCATGGCGAAGAAGCAAACAGACAATGCTATTATCCCCGGCAAATGACGATAACGATGTTCCCCTCTTTCTTCTTGCTACAAAGCATGTTTCGGAGTCATTGAACGCCACTTAATGGGCAGGGTGGAATCAGTATGTGCAGAGATGTACAAGCATAATATTTTCTTTTTGCCTCTTATCGTATTTACTGGGGATAGATACTGTAGATCCGTCGGGGATCTACAAAGCTCGGAAATTATCGAGATAGTCATGTATGTCATTGTACGTACATCTGGTTTTGGTGTATCCCCTCCATCTATACTACTGTATGTACTTCCCGAGTCTTTTTCGGCCCCGGGACTTTGCGGGTCCTAGGTCACATGACCACTTCCCTTACCAAAACGGACTAGTCTGACTGCCCCTCCGTCCCCGCGTAACTTGACCGCGCCCGAGACAAAAGGTCTAGACGAGTCAAAGCCGCATTTTTTCACTCAACAATTGCCCCTAGTGAAAACCATGGCTGAGGTGGCAGATTCAGGCCCGGTCGAGCCGCAGGCCCGGCATATCGTGTATTGCGGAGGTAAGTGGGCAACCTGGCACCTCCCCCCTGGTGGCAGGCCTGGATGGTGGTGGGCTCTTGAGCTCGGAGCTGTGGCTCGGCAAAGCTGTGTTGGCAAAAGAAAGAAGCAAATGAGCTAACGGGATTGATTCCGATAGTGTGTACTCTGCCTCCCGAGGTAAGACTGCGAGCTTTGAGCTCTTTCCCGAGCTAGAGAATTTGGATGGATCTAGCTTGCATTGGAACGCGCTGAATTGACACCAATGGAAATAGTATTGCGAGTTTGGAGGAACGGCGAAGAAGTGCGAGGAGTGGCTTAAGGATCACCATGATGACCTTTGGTCTCAGTTATACGCTGATGGTATGGACGGATAATCGGCCCTTGCACCCCGATGCTGCAAACACCCAAAAAAGGCTCTACACGGACACATTCTGGAGATATCTTATCTGACCACTTGTGTTTGACTAGATGCATTGAACGCCAACCTCTCCACCCTCTCCGTCTCCGCCCAAGAACGCGCCGCAAAAGACGCCGCAAAGAAAGAAGCCAAAGCCGCCCAGAACGAAGCCCGCGATGCCGAGCGCAAGGCCGCCTCCAAGATCCAGATCAAGCGTGTCGAGCGAAACAAGCGCAAGTACGTCACAGTCATCATCGGCCTGGAAATCTTCGGACTCGAGAACAAGAAGTTGGCCAAGGAGTTGGGCAAGAAGTTTGCAACCGGTTCATCAGTGACTCGATCGCCTGCGGGTACGGAGGAAATTACCGTGCAGGGTGATGTGAGTGAGGATGTGAAGGAGTGGTTGCTGGAGATTTATGGGAGTAAAGTTCCCGAGTCTAATATCGAGTTGATTGAGGACAAGAAGAAGAAGAAGGCTGAGGCGTAAAGGGACTCTAATGACGACAATGAATCTATAGCGGATAGGGTATCATGATATGACCAAATTAAAAGTACAATAGAAATAAGATAACGCCCAATGTGGATCAAGCAGGGAAGTCGTAGCAGCTGCAGGTAGAGGATTATGAAAGGAGGAGAGATAGATGGAAGTCACAGCTCATCAAAAAGTCTCAACGGATCATGTTCTGTTGCATCGTGTTGTTCAGCTCGAGAGCTTGCGCTGGCCGAAGCACTTGGTGTAGCCTGCGCATCCTCGAGACTTTGCCGTCGCTCTGCCAGACTCGACGGGTACCAGGACGAGCCCGATGCGTTTGCCGGGTCATGAACTTCCAGCAGTGACTCCCAAGTATCAGGTAGATGCGCAGGTCCAGCGGAAGACTCATTCACCAGCTTCGCAAGCTCCGTTAGCTCCGTTGGTACTGGTCCTGGGGCCTTATTCTGTTGGGGCGAACTGATAGTCGGCCAATTCTGCACCACCAGAGCGAGCACCAACACCAAGAACGCACTGCACACGATCCCCCAGAAGATGCGTAACCGACGGCTGATACGAGTCTGCCACTCGGTCTCTCTCTCCTCCCAACTATCAATCTGCTGTCTCACGGCTTCGAGCCGCTTACCCAGCTCCTCCACCCGTTGCCGGCCTTTCTTCATGCGCTCGTCCAGGGCATCCGCTTTTTGAATCTGCGGTTGAAATCCCTTGAGATCATTGATCTGCTTGCGAATTTCCTGGTCCAGACCGGCTGTCTCGCGCTCAAAATCATTAAGTAGATTCGATGCCGAATCAGACAGTTCCTGGAATAACCCAATAGTCGAGTTGAGCGCCGTGATCTTCTCGAGCAGATTGTAATAAGTGTAATCCAGTCGCCGAGTCAAGTCTGTCGCAAGCGTCCCTATAGAAGAAAGCGCAGAACGTAGATACCTAAAAACCTCCATCATCAGCCCTATACTCATCTCCACCATCGCCGCAATATTACTGAATAGTCAAGGGATCTTATCATGCATACTCTTCACCCTGTTTCCTCCGCTTCTTAACCAGCTCCAAATCCTCCATCGACTGAATCTCCTGCCGTCGAATCGGACCTAACCGCTCATGTTGCTCAGGTGTATCCAAAAGACTACCCCTCCGACTCCCCGAGCCCAACCCACCACTCGTAGAATCCGACCCCCAACGAGACCTAGTAGTTTCTCTCGTAATCGGCCTTAACAACCCATCATCACTCCCCTCCCGCTCCTTATCCCGCCCACCCGACCAAGTCGGCAACAGACCCCGCGCACTCGCCGAAGACGCAAGATGGCTCATGGGGCGGGGTAATCGCAGTTCCCGCGACTTGCTATGCTTATGTCGATGATGTGGTTTCAGCCCATCAAAGCTCGGAAGCTCCACTTGCTTTGCGAAGGATCGGGTGCGGGCATGCGTGTGCGTGTGCGTGTACGCGGGAGACTCATCGAGTGAAGCGCGACCATGATGATCTCGATGGGAAAAGGGTCCAGATGAGCTCCGGTCCGTTAGGGTCTCGTTGCGGACTGCAAACGGCTCGGGGGCGGGTTGGTCATTGGATCGGGGAGTGGAGGACCCATGGGTCAGCGGGAATGTGGCCGAGGTTGCTCGGGAGGTTGATAAGGGGAGTGGAGATTTGAGGTGGTGGAAGTCCATGTCAGCATGTCAACATGGTTGATTATTGTGTGTTTCGGCTAGGTTTGAAGAGGAAGAGAAGAGGAAGAAGCTGTGTTGAGGGAAGGTTGGAGGCCTGTGAGCGGAGAAAGGCGCATGACGCCAAGTCAGGATGATCGGCGGCTAAGGGACCCAACATGCAATAAAGTAGTGGACTAGAATATAGAGCTCGTTTAATGTGTATAGATGAAAACTTCATGTCTATCGGATACAATTATTTTCCCATATGTCTTTCCAGATGTCTTTCCAGATGTCTTTCCAGATGTCTTTCCAAATGCTTGGATGTTTCTATAACCAGCGAAGCTCAAGCCATTGCTATGTTTCCAACAAGGTGTATCCCTTGATGAACTAACACGGAACACTTGAACACGAAGTGAGTATGATGGCAGTTTGAATGCTCGATGCCTTTTTCACTTCTCTGCTAAGTGAACAGTACATCAGTCATCCTTTTGCTCGCGGGGCCCGCTATCAGGAAATATACCCAGCTGGTTGGTTGTAAACCCCGTGGGGACATACAGTTTGGGGGCCACGATCTATGTAGATCAGCTTACATGTTGACATGCGAAACTATAATAGATAGATAAAGTACTATGCAATTGTCTCGGTTGAGTATCGTAAAACTAGTTTGAATCCCTCGGAAACCACTCCTAGAGAACGCCGGTGACCCAACCACCCACGCCCGATGGTCAGGTCATTTTTCCTTCCAAGTTAAGTCCAACAGTACTCGGGCTGGGTGGTATATGTATATGCAAGTTGGTGATATGATGAATGGCAACAGTGAGGAATCAGACACTGTGCACTGGTCTTGTCTTCGTATCCTTAAGAGCTGAGCAGCTTGTTGCGCTTTTCGCGACGCTTCAGGCGCTCGACGCGTTTCGCGTGCATCTTCTCTGCCATCTTCTCGTAGCGGGCCTTTTCTTCCTTGGCAGCTCGCTTGTCCTTGATGCGCTGGATGTGGGCCTTGTTGGAGAAGAAATTGTTAGGTACCATATCGGAAAAAAGAGGGAGACGGTGAGCAATTGGGATGATAAGCCGGACGGAGGATGTTTCAACAGAAAAAACAAGCACAGGAGTGGGTATAATTGGAAGCGGACATGGAGGAAAACAAAACCATGAATCTCATACCTGACGCTCGGCTTCCTTCTCCTCCTTCATCTCACGTTCGCGCTCCTTGTTCGCTTCATGTTGCTTGCGGACCTCCTGACGCTTAGTGTAGGACGTCAAGCCGGCGCTAGGGCGGAAGGCCTTCTTGGTGGCATGCCAGTTCTTGCCTAGAAACGGGAAAGAGTCGGGTCAGTCGGGAGATAAAGACCGAGAGTAGTGGGGAACCCTCGGAGGGGAGGACCTGGTAGACTGACCATTCTTGCGCATGCCCGTGTTGGTGGCCGGAGCGGTCGCGGGGGTAGTCGCAGGGGGTTCGGTGGTAGACGACATGGTTCAGATGATATTCTAGCTGATGTGATGACTTGACGGAACCCGAGAAACCCGATGACAGCAAAGCGACGGTCGAGATATCAGAGGCAGACAGCCAGAAAGCAAATCTGATCGCAAATCTCGTTGGGCCCCGGCTTGCGGGCGAAAATTTCACCGGGAGATTATCTGATCGATAAGTTGGCTTGGCACTGGGCGCTAACATTTTCTGCGCTCGGGCAGCCAGTCTCCAGTCTTCTCTCCATCTCCTGCGCTCCACTCTTCCTACGCACTTTTCTTCTTCTTACTCCATCCAGCTCGGCGTTTGGCCCTGTTCGTCCCGTCAAACGAGCCCAATCCGCCCTAGATCCCTGTTTTTCGTCACTGCAGTCGGGGCTTGGCTACAGCAAATCGCTCGCTTTCACCGCCCCTCCCCCCACCTCAACTCCGAGAAACCGACTCGGAGAGAAATCACTCACATAAAAACTCCCTTCGACCACCACCCACGTACCTTCTCCTGCCTCTTTTCTCTGCGAATCATGCCCCTGCGATAACCCGTCTGTACGTGTCTGAGTGATTGTGGGAAAGCCTTGATGGCGGCAGCCGAGCATGCGATCACGATCAGCGATGAGTCAGTGGCAATGGAGCTGCCATCTCTTCCGCCTAACCAGGGCCTTGAGGCGATAAAGGATATTTTATTTGGATCGGTGAGTGGTGCTTGATTTATTTTCGGCGATACAGACAGAGCAACTAACCCCGGTCACAACTTCCAGTCGGCAGGAATGGCAGGAAAACTCATCGAGTATCCCTTCGACACGGTCAAAGTCCGACTCCAATCCCAACCAGAACACCTTCCTCTTCGATATTCCGGGCCGGTGGACTGCTTCAAGCAATCCTTCCAGTCAGATGGCTTCCGAGGCTTATACCGGGGCATCAGTGCCCCTATGTTCGGGGCGGCGGTGGAAACCAGCTGTCTGTTCTTCAGCTACCGCGTGATTCAGGACATGCTACGGGCTACTGTCTTCCCCGGTGTGGAGCAGTTGCCCTTCGCCGCTCTACTGGCTAGCGGTGCCCTGTCTGGCTCCGTCACGTCCCTAGCCCTCACCCCCATTGAGCTCATCAAGTGCAAGATCCAAGTCCCTCTCGAATCTGCAGGGCACAAGCCCGTGGGGCCACTGACCATGGTCGCGCTTGTATTTCGCCAAGAAGGTCTCTTAGGATTCTGGCGCGGCCAGCTGGGCACCTTGATTCGAGAGACCGGCGGTAGTGCCGCCTGGTTTGGTGGCTACGAGGGTGTCTCATCCCTGTTGCGCAAGTCCAATGCCCAGGACGCGACAGAGGCTCTCCCACTCTACCAGCAGATGATTGCCGGAGCCTCGGCGGGTATGAGCTATAATTTCCTGTTCTACCCAGCGGATACTATCAAGTCACGCATGCAGACCGCGGACATCTCGACCTTGGCCGCTAACGGGGAGCGGCAGAGTTTTGTCGGTGTTGCGCGCGCACTATGGAGACAGCAAGGTTTGAAGGGCATGTATCGCGGGTGCGGGATCACCTGTGCGCGCTCGGCACCCAGTTCAGCCTTTATTTTCTCTGTCTATGAAGGATTACGATCGTACTTTGGATGAGTTGCTTTTAGAGCATTGCATATAGATCATTGATTGTTGGATTAGTTGATGTTGGGTGTTGGATCTGGATGCACATATTTACCTATCTACCTCTGTCTGTCTCCTTTTGTCACTCTATTTTGGTTTTATACCCTCGATATCATCCCCAAAAAAAGCACATATGTCTAATTTTATTTTTCTATCCTTTACTACGTCCGGCTATGTAGTGCATCTACCTGCTATCTACGTTGACCATTTTTGGTGTCACTCACCGTCAGAAGGTCGTTGAGGCATAGGCCAAGAGAGTCCTATATTTGTCTCGGTCATACAGTCTCGTTATATTCCACTTTCAAGTTGCCTTCGAATCACTAGTAAGAATGGTCTCGTGTCGGTAAAGCACCTCTGTAATGTTCATAGTCGATCCATCAAGTGCTTTTGATATCTGCAACATGCATATACTTGGGGCACATTTGACATACACCAGGTTTTACAAGCGATGGATGATATTTGATTGAATTACCTCGTGATATCATTTCCTAACTCAGGTACAAGGATGATGTCTACTCAGCCCCCCTTTTCAATGGAAGACACGTTCTTTTCATGATGAGCCGGGGGCAACAGCATCCGCCCCAGTGACCGCAACGATACTCATCTCTCCAAATCCATTCTTTTCAGCAACTCCCAAGAATTCCTGAGCAGTGATCTTCAGTCCTTCCTCACTCAACAAATCCTCCCCCTGGCTCAGTGTTCCTCGTAGCAAGGGCCCATTCATACCCCCATTCAACTCCCAAACCTGTCCATCTTTCTTCCGAACAAAAGCCAGAAAATGGTGATGATTCTCGTCCCGAGGCGAGGGCGCAGTCGAGGACCCGCGCGAGGCTGCATCCATATGCGCCTTTTCCAGAAATTCAGAATCATAAAGCAATTGTGCTCGCTCCGTGGGCTCCAGTTGAATAGCTTGCTTGAGGAATATGTCTAGTCCCGAGCCTGGGGTTACATATCGACCACCTTCGAGGTTGAATACGACGTGTAGGAGTGCCATTAGTCCGCAAGCGTGTCCGATGGTTTGTTTCATCCAGATTACTGGTTCGTCAGGGCCTGAACCCTCGTATCTCGGGATGGTGGGCTCAATCGCTGAGCGCGCGGCGTTGTAGATGGGCGTGTGCGCGAGGAGAATCAAGGCGTTGCATGGTCGAGGATACCATTCTCGCACAAACTCTGCAGATGTGGAGAGTATATCGTGGAATGCGAGATCTTGTGAGATACTGAGGTTTTTGCAGAGATGATCCAGTACATCTGGATTGTTTTCTGTATATTATTAGATGGTGTTCTCGGCGAGAAGATTGATGTGACGTACCGAGAGGGATAAAGGTCTTGCAACCATCGATGACTTCTGCGGGAGGTGGAGGGGACATTTTGAAGGCCTAGTGATAGCTAGAACTCTCTGCTGTTTATTGATTCTGTTTAGAGGAAGTGCATGGAGAAGTGGTTACATCAAAAGGGAGGATGAAGGGATTTGTTCCGGGGGTTGGTCACGTCGGAGTTGGAGCTTCCCCCGCCTTTGCTGATGCAACTTTCCTTCTACATCTCACTCCACTTGATTCTCACAATCCCCAAGGTTTGAAGTATAGCTTGCATGCTCAGCTACTGTGATAGCAAAAGCATTTTATTCACCTAGACAATCTTGAATCTTTCTCCTGGCCACCTGTATCCAGACTTGAGAATATGTACCAGGCACTAACTTACGAGTAGCGCTGCAACCTGATTCCACTTTCTAGCAACACTAATCGCAGGCCAGTCAATGACTACTTGGAGATCTTGATGAACTGACGTCTCGCATAGCCGCTACGCCCGTTCAGTGTCAAAATTCCGAACCAATCTCCTCGATGGAGCCCGCTAACTCCCCGGGTCCTCACAGCAAAAGACAAGCGAGTGGTTGGCTCCGCTTGACCAACCACCTGGCAATTTTGGGAGCTTCGTCTTCACTGAGAGCTAAATGCTACTAATGCGAAACATCCATCATCTGTGTCATTCGACAGTTGGATGAACCAGCTAACACGCAATGACACGACCATAACTTGGTCATGACTTTGAACAGACTTTGATCAAAATAAAGATCGGACAGCCCTCGACTTCGGAATCATCTGGACCTCTCTAGCTACCAATCATGGAATCCATAAAAGGTAATTCACTTGCCGACAAGCTCCACTCTTCTCAGCCCTATGCAGCCCTATGGACACCATGCATACGTTGAACAACCCTGGCAGTGGGCCATACAGGTTCCGAAGACTAACATGCCCTGGAAAGCTTGACAAAAGCTAGGCAGCAGTCGCAAGGCTAGAGGACCTCGCGACAATTACAGAACCTTGATATAAAGCCTCCCGGGGTCCTCACCAATAAGTCTATAAGATGGGTGAGGTTGATCACCACCATGGATCTTTCTATCCAGAGTTCCATCTCGATTACCTCAAGTCTGACTGACATTCGAGACGTGTGATTCATCATGTCTTCCTTCGATCCTACCAGTGTCAACTTGAATTTGGCCAGCAAGGAAGATGTCCTCTGCTACCTGGCCATCGAAGAGAACCAATACAATGGCCACATGGGTGCACGCATCTCTTCGATCTTCGTCATTCTATTCGTGTCTTCGGCCTTCACCGTTTTCCCGGTAATCTCCAAGCGCATGACTCGATGGAAAATCCCCTTCAGTGTATACATCTTCGCCCGATACTTCGGCACAGGTGTCATCGTCGCCACAGCCTTTATCCATCTCCTTGACCCAGCCTACAAACGAATTGGACCGAAAACCTGCGTCGGCGTATCAGGATACTGGGGTGAATATTCCTGGTGTGCAGCTATTGTCCTAGCCACCGTGATGGGAATCTTCCTCCTCGATCTAGCAGCCGAGATCTACGTCGAGCACAAATATGGTGTGCATCGGGACGAAGGTGCCACGAGTGCGTTCGTGCAGCATGAACATCACCTCGACGTGGAGCCTGCCCCCAATACTGAAAATACCGTACAAGCATTTGACAACGAGAAACGCAACGAGATCTCTGCCGAGACAGACTCAACCATGGCCGAACGGTCCTTCCGCCAACAAATCGCTGCTTTCCTCCTTCTCGAGTTCGGCATCATTTTCCACTCCGTCATCATCGGCCTAAACCTCGGTGTTACAGGCTCCGAATTCGCAACTTTATATCCAGTGCTCGTCTTCCATCAATCTTTCGAGGGACTTGGTATCGGCGCCCGAATGTCCGCCATCCCCTTTGGCCATCACACCTGGCTTCCCTGGATTTTGTGTGCCGCCTACGGTCTGACAACTCCCATTTCAATCGCCATTGGCCTGGGGGTTCGAGACTCGTATACTCCAGGGTCGAGAGTGTCATTGATCATTCAGGGTGTTTTGAATGCAGTTTCGGCGGGTATTTTGATTTACACTGGTCTGGTTGAATTGCTGGCGAGGGACTTTTTGTTTGATCCTTGCCGTACTAAGCGCCGCTCGAGGTTGTTGTTTATGGTTTTTTGTACTCTGCTGGGTGCGGGGATCATGGCTTTGATTGGGAAGTGGGCTTAAGAAGGGGCTTGCAAGGAATGGAAATCAGAATAGTGATTTAGAGTATTTACTATACACAACTTCAACGGAATCAAGATTAGCTACTTCATTTTCTCATACCCGAAAGTAAAAACCAATGATTATGATCATTAAGCAAAATTGAAGAGAAAGACCTGAGAAACGAAAGGCCCGGCTTCTCAAACATGGGCATTCATAAACGTGATCAGCTATGATTGTTTGGCGCATTCTCAAGTGGCATCGTACCGATATATCTTGGTGAGGCCTGATCTATACCTCTCCCACCTTATGAACATCCTACCCAACCATTCTTCCAATCTCAATTATTGATTCAAAATCAATTCCCAACAAAAAGATAGACATAAAAAGAAGCAATATCGATTACTCGAAACGCAGCAACAAAAGAACCCAATCTACTTACACCCCGCCGATAAACGCGATAAGCCGGCCTATCGCAGTATCATCCCCGCCTCCTCCGCACCTCCCCTCCCCAAAATGTAACCACCTTTTTTTCTTTCACTCCTGCTGTACTTTCACTTCAACAGGGCCATACCCTCTACCCAAAAATGCCACCCATCAACGCCCCCATAACAGCTCAAGAGCTCTCCACGCTCTCTACAAAGGCTATAGATGCCAAGGCTGCTGCGTACTGTGAGAATACATACCCCACCACAGCTCTAGCTATCTAGCTTGAGCTACCTAGCAAGGGATCTAAGCTACCACATCCCCTAAGCTTGTCTTTGTCTCGTCGCATTTATATTAACGACCTTCTCTGCAGGTCCCTACTCAAAGTTCCGAGTCGGCGCATGCATTCTCACCGCATCGGGCGAGTTCGTCGTCGGCGCTAACGTTGAGAACGTGGCTTATCCTGTTGGAACATGCGCTGAGCGTGTTGCGTTTGCTACTGCTATTGTACGTTTTCAATCCAGAATTGTCTCGCTCCATGACTTGGAGCTTTGGCTCATGGGGAAAGGCGGCGTCGAGGCTAGTTTGGAAGGCTAATCTTATCAAATTCAACTTTCCAGGTGGCCGGACATAAAGAATTCCGTGCTATCGCCGTTGCAACGGACATCACGCCCGGCGCGTCGCCGTGTGGAATGTGTCGACAGTAGTATGTTTCTCCTAAACCATTTCTCGCGATACTCGCCGAGCATCTATCATCTATGACTTGAAATTTTGGAGGGTCGGCTAATGTCATGACCAGCATACGCGAATTCACTACGCCTTCATTCCCGGTGTACATGTATGATGGGGAGGGGAAGTATACTGTCAAGACTATGGGCGAGGTATGTATTTCCACCAACTAATCACTTCCTATCTCTTACTAATGATTATTATAGTTGCTGCCGGATTCTTTCGGCCCAGATGACTTGCCCAGGTAAGTCAGACGTGACTTACATTGAACGGCCGGAAACCAGAAACCGGCGGTGAAGTAGAGTAGGACCCTAGCTAGTATGGAGAGGAGAAAAAATAATACGCAAGTTTCTTTCAAAGCCATATTCCAATTGATGGTGGTCCTGATCTAAAAACAAGCAAAAGAGAAGAGAAAAAAGAAAAAAAATATAACTCTATATTTTGCGCCCCAAGGCGTCAAAAACTGGCCAAAAGATTGGAAACGGTTGTCTCTGGCGCCAGCAAGTTATGCAAGTCAAGTACATAGACAGAAACGAAAAGAGAAGAAAAGAAAGATCCAAATTCCAAAGAAATTCAGCAGCATACCGCGCTCATAATGTCACATCAAGTAATTTCCAACAAATCTTCGATCCCAAATCTAGATTTCGATCCGATCCCCATATAGCCATTTAGATATCTACGCCTCCTCATCCTCATCAAGATCATCCGCACCAAGCAACTCATCCTCATCATCAACAACATGCGTATAATCCCCTCTCCTCGCCGCAAACGAAGCCCTCGTCGCATAAGGCCGTTGATACCCCCGACTCCTCGCACGCACAAACCCACTAACACTCCGCCAAAGACTCACAGCAAGCATAGGCAAAGCCTGCGCCATAGCGACCGCACCCGCAATAATAATCACAGGAATAGCAACAAGAAGCGAATCCCGGGCAAACAAGCCCTGACCGGACGAAGCACCAGATTCGCCTAGACGGATTTGCCCGAATTTGCCGTCCCAGTGGGTATACACGAAGTAGCCGAATGCGGCGGCGGCAGCGATGGGAGTGACGATTGCGAAGAAGAGGCCAATGCCGGAGATGCCGTGTTTACTTTCGAATTCTTTTTCTTTGTTGGGGCAGGGGTGCGGTTGGAGTTTGTCGAATTCGTGGCCGCCTTGGCAGGTTGTTTGGGGGAGACGCCGGTAGCCGGTTGGTGCCCAGTATTCGATTTGGTTGGGGTCGTCTTTGCAGGTGAGGCTGTGGTCGGGTGGGAGGAAGCCTGGGATGAGACCGCAGCTGCCGTCGCTTTGGATTTCGTAGTTGTAGTCACTAATGATCTTGTTAGAGTCTGATCGTTATCATAATCATGTTATGCTTGCTTGCTCACCATTCAAAGTCTGCGCGAGTACAGGTGCAGTTCGAGCTGTCGACCCGGTGGACATGCGGATCGCGCCAGTTCACCCAGCACTGCTTGTCGGGCCTCTTACGGTGGTACTGCTCCACATGACCGAAGAGACAGTTATCATCCTGCATCGGGTGCTTAGGAGTCCACAGATAGTAATCATCACTAGGCTCCTTGCCATCAGGCGGCGCACACTCGCGATCCCAAATCCCGCTGAAATCAACGGGGATAGTAGCAAAGCGTCCGTCCGACTTGGGCTCCCGAACCCATAAGACAAAGCTCTTGGAGGTATCCGAGGGCACGGTCGAGATGTCCAGGACGGTCACATCAGTCTCCGCGAACTGGAACTCTGCCCAAGTCTTGCCCTCGTCGAGACTATAGAAGACAGACTTGGTAGGCTCCAGTTCACGCACGAGCACGATGACAGATCCAGCATCGCCAAACTCGAACATGTAGCGGCCCTTCTTGACTTGGTTCCAGGTGATACCGCCGTCATTGCTCAGGAAAGTACCGATATCTTCACTGTCAGCACTGGTCAGATATTCACCGACATTACCCACACCAACAAGCACGCCGATAGCAGAACCAGAGTAGAATGTATCGCGCCAGTCACGACGCTCCGTATAACTGTGAAGGTGCAGTGCACAAGACTCGGTGCCCTTACCCTCAGTAACAGAGCAGCCGAACTTCTTGCCCTCGACATCCCGCGTTGGAGGAGGAAGTAAAGCCCATTGACCACCGTCGTTATGAGTAATCACAGAGCGCAGCTTCTTGCTAGAGCCCTTGTTCTTGACATCATCAACATTGCCAACGATATTAGCCAGAGCGACACCTTCCAGGTTAGCGATCTTTTCGAAATCGACATAGCCGCGGTCATCCACATTCACGGCCGGCAGACTCGAGACGAAATAGGTGCCGTTGCTGTTACTCTTGACCAACTGGCCATAGCTGTGACCCTTTTCGGCGCTGATCTCGACAAACAGGAACAGGGCATCGGTCGAACCGGGCAGAACGGTGTATTGCTGGACATCAACATTGATGGGGAAATTGGCCTGCGCAAAGACACGGCCATCCATACTGGTGCTGACATTCAGATACTTGTGCTTCTCGGTGGGGAAGGTCGCCACAACGATAAAGTCGTTCATGGTGACAAAATGGGCAATGTTGTCATTGATAACCTTGCGGTCACCGAACCAGTTATCCTTGGAGTCGCTAGACACAAGCTGACGGTTGTACTTCTTGCTCTCCTTCTCATATTGCTCACAGATAACGAGATTCTCACTATCCTCGCGGCCATGGTGGTTGGCAAAGACACACTGACCAACACCACGCAGGTCGGGTCCTTCCCAGTCAGCACCGCGGTTCTTGGAGAAGTACGCATCAGGGACACAATCGCTGCCCTTGCAATCATCATTACCCATCCAGATCATCCAGTCCATGTATTTCTCATGGAAGGCCAGAGGGTTGGGGCCCTCCTGGTCAAGGTTCGCCAGGGACGTAGGTAGCTTGAACTTCTTGAATGTATCACCGCGGTTGATGGTTGAGTATGCGGTATTACCAGAAGTCAAGAAGTAAGCCCCGTCGCTGTAGTAAGGATGTTGGACCATGCCCACGATCTGCTCGCCCTTGAGTTCCTTGGGCTGGTCCCAGGTCTTGGCGTGGTCGTGCGTGACAAACACTTCATTCTTACCAGAGAGCAAGAAGATAGTCTCGTCATCTCCGGCGCTACTCGTTTGACGCTCCAAATAGAAGTAATCAAGCCTGGCACCTGCAAATTCGTGCGCATTGCCAGCATGAACCTTGCCATCACCACTGCCGATGCCACTACCAGGAGAGCCGGCGGTATCATCACAAGAGCGTTCGATCTCGTCATCGAGGTTCTTCCCATCCGTGCGACGACAGGTATTTCCAGGGATGAGTCGCCAGCCGGAGGGACCCTTGTACTTGTCGCCTTTCTCCTTACACTTACCCGCAGGAGGAGTCAGAGGGACAGCAGGCACGCACTCATTCTCGTCATTGCGCTTAAAGTTGTAGTCGCACTCAAAGTCCTCCTTGGTACAATCGCAAGGTTCAAAGATAGGAGGATCCAGCTTGTCCTCCATGATGAAGCACTCCGCATCGGCCTTGCGGCGTGTGAACTTTTGCTTGTGGCCCATCAGACACTTCGGTTTACGATCTTCATCGAGGAGAGCCCACCAGTGTTCAAGGTCGTCCTTGGTACACTTGCGCTCGTGGAGTCCATCAAAGTCGATAGTGTAGATGATGTAACCCTCTTTCTCACTCTCGCCGACAATCAAGAACTTCAGACTCGTTGCCTCGGGGGTGGTCGTGATATACCGGGGTTTAATCTTATGCTCCAGCTTGATGGGATCTTCCCAGTCTTTGCCATGATTGAGAGAGTATCGCACCTTGTCGGTCTTGTCGTCGCTAATGGCCACAATGACACCGCCCTGGTCACCGAATTTGAAGTGGTGAGGGCCTTTGAGTGCGCGGCGCCAAGTGAGACCCGCATCGTCGGAGACGTAGAGATCGCCATCAGAATATTTCTTGAGATGATCGCCAGTGTTACCCACGCCCATCACGATACCGGGTGCAGGACTGGAGAACATGCGGCCGATGGGAAGCTCCTGCATCGAATCGTAGGATGTCATTGAGTGGAGATGGAGGTTATCTCCATCGGCTTTGAGAGGCTGGAAGGTCCTGCCATCATCGAAACTGATACCACTGACGAGCTTCTTGTCGGCCTTGTCAGACTCCTCAACCTCTTCCCAATTCTTGACCGTGTTCACAATGACAATACCCTGGATATCGGCGACCTTTTCGAAATCAACGAAACCATTGGCGTCTCGGTTGGTGTGTTCGATGTTCGGGGTGAAGTAGGTTCCGTTGGAGTTGGATGAGAACAGCACACCCACACTATTCTTATGCCACGTCGTCTGTACATCCACCTGGATGCTGTAGTTGGTGCTCTCCAAAACGGTGTACGCATCCTGCTCAATGCGATGTCCACGGAACTCAGCACGGTGCCATTCCTTCGAGTCATCACTGATATAGAGCGCCTGTTCCGTGGTACCCTGCGATTGCAACCCAACCACCAGATACTTCTTCACAGAGCGCGCAATGATCTGGCTACCGGTAACAGGCCGTCCACGGTCGAGATTAACCTCAGTCCCATCTATACTGTCCTGGAAGTAATCATCCGAGAAGATCAGACGCTCCGAATGCATAGTGCCCTTCAATCCCGGCACCACGCACAAAATGCGATCTCCAAGCTTCTCCGACAAATCAAGGTCGTGTCCAAACTCGGGGGTACCCGCCGCCCACATACACGAATAGAACAACTCCTGCAGCGGATTCCAAGTCTTAAAGTCATCCGTGGTATACCACGCCTTGGGCATGCAACCCAGGATCCCAGAGCAATCCAGACCCATGAAGATGACCTTCTCCGGGTTCCAACCATTAAAAGCAAGCGGCGGGGTCCCGCGCTCGGTCATCATCGGGCGAGCCTCAATCTCAAAAGACTTCCAAGTCTCCGCCCGATCAGTCGTAACCCAATGCTGACCCTTCTCACCGAGAATGTAGGCGCGCTTCGAATCATACGGGTGCGGCCAGATAACCGCCGCCGCGCCCTCCATCTTTCCATCAGGACCCTTGATGACTTCCCATTTCGAGCCTCCATCAAACGAGACATGGGCAGTGTGTTTCTTAAAATCACGGTAGAGAACGGTTTCACTGCCTTTGAAATAGAACAGGTCGTAGGGCGCATGGTCGAGTGTTTCCGTCGAGAGTTTGGGTTTATCCCCCTTGGCTGTGGCCGGTTGTGCGGACCACGCCAGCAACAAACCGACCACGAGCAGCAACCACCGAGGGATCATGACCGGTGGGATGTCGGCATCTGAAGGGGGGAGGATCGCAGGTGAAGTTGGCGAGGATGTAGTAGCCTAAGCTGCACTAGCGGGCCGGTCAGGGATGCGCGGGTGAATGAGCGTGTTGAGGGAGTGGGAGGAGGGTGTTGAAAGTGAGGTGACACGAGAGGAATTAGATCTACCCCTATAATGTATTAAGCCCGGTCGTGGACAATGTGCTAAGGAGAGAATGGTTGATGGTTATACGAGGGAGCTGCGTGGCCTCAGCCTTGGGGGAGCTCTCCTGTCACGTGAAAGCCGGTCTTATCAGGTTATCGCATCCTGGCAGAATGAACTTGGAACTGCGAGTCTCCGTGCGTTTCCGCTCGGATGAACCATGGTTTGCACTTCCCTCGGATCTACACTGATCCACTTGCTACTAGACTACATACATAAGGAAGATGTAAATAATGACAATGACATCAAAGGTGTTCATATAAGCCCCAAGCAGAGGGCATTGGCCGGCCGCCAAGAAGATATGTACAAAGCGCTGCAACCCAAACAAAATAAAAGTAGATACATGAGAATGTCAGGCATATATAGCCCATGATGAATTGAAATAAAACAAATCGCTGATTTGAAAATGCAGAGTGACCATTCACTCAGAACAAAATTGACGCCTTCAAGAAAAACACACCCCGGATATCACTAAGCGAATGTTTCGCACGCTAAAAGAATGACAGCAATGAGACCCCAGAATGTGGAGGACAAAAGCAACAAAAAGGAAGAAAGGAGATTTTGAACACGATGACAAGCTACCAAAAGCAAGCCTCGTCTAAACTCGCCGACGAAGTCTGCGCCACATCTTTTTGACCACCCCTTTGTCATCCTCATCCTCGTCCCAGATCATCTGGGAACGGTCTGCCGGGGGCAATGCCGCTAGGCGGAGGGGATCCTCCTGGGGGGAGGTCTGAGACGGAGTAGGGGATTCCGTCCGCAAATCTGGGCGAGTGAGGGTCATTTTTAGCGTCATCTCCCGATTTCCTGGTAGCCGATGAGGACCTGTCTTTGAGCCTGGAAGGAAAGATTGACGACGCTGGAGTATGGAGGGAGGGTCCATTGACGGTCGTGGAGTCTCCTTGGGATGGGGGAAACAACACGAGGGGTCGATGGCTCTTCAATTGACCCGCCAGGAGTCCCGACCATCGTCCCATCGTCATCCTCGAAGAAGGTTCCTGCCCAATCGCTAGCCACCGTGGGTGACTTTGGGGAACTGGGGATGTGCTCTGGTGCGACGTTTTCCTTGTCCTGTTCCAAGGAGGGAAAACCAAACTCAATGGCCTCGTCGAATTTTTGCGGCGAGGCGAGGTAGACTCGTAACTTGAGACGGGCGTCGGGATCTTGATAGTATTGTGCGCCGGGGTCGATACTTGAAGTTGAAGACTTGGGGGCATGTTGGATGGTTTGGTGGCGACGAGAGCCCGGGCGAGAGGACGGGCGCTGGTTGGATGCAAGTGGAGAGAGGGCTGGAACGGTGTGTGATGCAGGTAGATTGCGGGTGGGCATCGACGGTGAAGCTCGATGCTGTCTCAAAGCGTGTGTGGAAAAGGAGAGAGACCGGCGAATGGATGGGCGACGCCGAGATTTGGATTTGGAGGCAGCGTCTGCGACATGGGCGTGGTACTCATCCAGAGACAAGTCGAGATCGCCATCCTCGTCGAGCCAGCGAAAGCTGTCGTACATTGACTGATCCATGCTGTCGTCAGACTCGTACTCCGAGTCTGAATCGTAGAAGACGGTGTTTGGCTGAGCTACCGGGAGAGTAGTTTCTGAGGGCAGACTGTCGGTGGATGCACGACGACGAGAGTAAGGGCGACGATAGAAAGCTTCGTCTGCAGCGTCAAGAATGACACTGTTACGATAAGCGTGACGAAGACGCAACCGTTCTTCGGGGGAGAAAAGCTTTTGTTGGATCTTAGCGGGGAGGGAATGAAAGCATTGCGAGTCTGCCTGGGCCGCTAAGTAGGCCTGTTGCAGCGAGCCAGGCTTGCGCAGTTTTCTGGGAGTGGCAGTCGAACGCTTCTCAAGACCACGACGTTTGGCGAGGGACGTGGTCGAGGTGTTGCGCAAAGTACGAGAATGAGAGTGAGAGTGAGAGTAAGGGTGAGAGTGCGAGTGAGGATAATAGTAATGTTGGTGGGAGGGGCCAGATCCACGACGAGCGCTAGGGCGATAAGTCCGGGCGTGATAGTGGTGATGCTTGTGGTGATTGGGGTGCGTGGAGTACACAGGGGAACTGGGATCGCTCTGAGCTAACCGAATGCGCAAGCGCTCGACATTCGAGAAGAACTGTTCCGGGTCAGCGCTTGTCTTTCTACGGAAGACATGCTGTGGATATTCCACTCAATTGAGTGTTTGAGAGTGGAGAATTGCGAGAAAATGGGGAGGTGGGGCCTCGTGAGCCGTGCGCCAAACATTGGAAGAGACTCGAAGAGACTCGAGGGGGAGAGAGAGACAGGCAAACTTGTGAATGCAAAGAGGGGGACAGGCAGACAGGCAGTTTAGGGGGCCACTTGGTTTGGCGCCATCAATTGATAGCGTGGGTGATGGGGCTTGAATGGCGGCGTCCACCCGAGCGGTTCAGGGGGAAAAACCCAACAACGAACACCGTCAATCCAAAGGGCCCGTGATGTGATGGACGATGGCGGGCTGTGTGGACCCTCCTGTGGAGAACCGGCCACAACGGGGAGTCCAGCCTGTTGAACCAGTGCCCATTGGAAGCAAAAAGAAACGCAAACATCGCTGGCAGTTGTGGATGGGGAAGGATGTGCAGGGTTTCCCAAGTGGGGACAGGCTGAAAAGAACAAAGAAAAGATATGGGAATAGACCCGGTGGAGAGAGCTCAATAGCAGGGGAGAGTCTCGTATCGACCAGCCAAATGGCCTAGTTCGACACTATTCAATCGACTATCGACGATCCGCTGCAGCCCCCTCCGGCAAGGAGAAATGAGATGGCCAGTAGACCAGGGCAGTTGGGGACAACAAAGGAAAGACAACCGATAGGCAGATAGCAAGATGGAAAAGACGGCCCTTACCTTTCGTTGCACTGCAGGTGGCAGAGATCTCAGGTCCTCCTCGCTGGCTACAGGTCTCATGGTGGAAGTCCAAAGTGGACTGAAATTGGAGTCGACGAGATGTTGCAAGAGTTGCAAGATCTGGAGGTTTATATCATGGGTCGGTGACCGAGTTGGTAGTTGTATTCGATCTCGGTCGACTAGAAGTATCGAGGACAATGTCGAGGATAGTAGGTATAGTAGTAAATAGTAGAGCGGGAATAGTCGAACAGTTCAAAGGTAGAGACTGGAATAGTCAAGAACAAAGAATTCTCCGAGAAAGGATGCACAGCAAGTATATAGAATGCACCTGGGAATAATAGGATCGTACCAGAAGACTAACAAAAACCTAAGTCTGCTTGTTCATGAAGCGCATCCCAGGACTATAACTTATATTAACAGCCTTAGTCAGAACCCCCGCTGGTCTCTCCTCGCAAGCGCCGTGACCCTCGTTGTCATTACGAGTACGGAGTAAACGAGTGAAAAACAATTACTAAACGTAGGGTATCCCATGTCTCTCTCCATTATTATTCGACATTTTGACGCCAACACATCGAAACAAAGAAAAACCCGGGAAAAAAAGAAAAAACAAATCACGCACGGACCGAGTGGCCTAATACTAATGGGATCGATCTATTTCGAGACCTGTCACTTTCTACCCTCCCCGTCCCCCCCCCCCTAATGGTGATCACTAACCGTCTTGCCCAAAAAAGTGGAGATCAACTCGAAGACATACATAGTACATACATACTGTTAGGTAGAGAGTTTCTGTACTAATAGACAGACAGACAGACAGCAGCGGCACAACGACGATTCCTCCGGACGATCCAGAGCCAGACATGCATCACTGAATATGACCAGTCATGAACCCCCCTCGATGAACCGGTTTGTTAACGAACAATCGAAGATCAGATCCCAGGAAGAACCCCTCGATCCCCCTAACACCAGATCTCCTTTTTGTTTCCATGCTTCCTAGAACTACTGTATTTCGTAGTTGTTCTACCTGGCCATCCTCGACCCGGCAATTCAGTTAGATCCCGCTCCTGTGCAACACTGCGACCCCGGGAACAAACAGAATGCCCAGACAGTAGACGCTCAGTACTCCTCCAGACTCTAACCCTTTGTATCATATTATTATTATTCTCTCGGCTACTCGCACCCAGCCCCTAGCTACCAGCTACCAGCTCCCTAGCAAGGGATGAAAGCCTCAAGCCACTTCTAATCAAGTGATTTCCAAGGTCCAGTCACTCCGTACTTCTGTATGTACGTACATATGCACGGAACCACTAAAAAAACAGCCACCAAACAAACTAGTTTTTGACAGTCCACCCCACAGTGCCACACACACGCACCGTTCTCATTGATTTTTGCGACTGGTCGTATTGCCTTGGGGGCCGTTGCGGTTAGCCTGTTGATCATCTCCGATACTCCGATTTGGGAAGTCTAGCCCCTCCATCATCCATGATGATCGGGATTCGTCCTCCTACGTCTTTCTTCTCGTATCGCTGCCCAAGTCCCGCCTTGTTCCGGTAGGGCTGGGCTGGAGGAGCTGAGAGGGACTGGGACGCCTTTCAGGATTGAAGGATTGAAGGATCACCGCTGGTTCAGCCGTACAAGGTAATTGGACCATACATAATTATGTACGTAGTACAGTCTTCTGAACTGTACAGGTGGTAGGTGGACCGTGGAGGTCATGTACATAAGACGGAGTACTCCGTACAAACTACAATCTTAGTACTTAGCTTATTAGCCCAGTAATCTGGGTCAGCCCTGGATCTTGGATTTGGGATTTTGTAAGGAACTACTACTGGTTTGTGGGCTGGCGCGAACTGAAACGGGTTGCCCCAGCTGAAACGATGAAACTGGCCCTGACCCTTGGGCGCACCTACAGTACATACATCCATACCATGTATGGACTGTACGAACTACAGAGAATGTACTGGGCGGCTACCTACCAGCTAGAGTTCATGTCGGAGATTTCTAGGGTCCAAGGGGTAGTTCCTTTCTAAATCCCGAACGGGTTCTGGGTTCTAGGCTCTAGGTTTCTACAGTAGCTTCGAGGAAGAAAAGGAAAAAGGTCCATGCGGGGGGATTCAATTGTCCTTGTCGTTATTCTCAAGGTCGTACAGACTACAGACTCACAGACTACACCTCCTTAGTCGTACAGTAGATAGTTCGCCTTCCAGAAGATGGCAATATATCTGATCGACGGTGGAAAAAGGAAAAAGCTGTTGAAGAACGGAGCTATGCCGCCAAGCGGTTATGGCAGCCGCTTTGAAGCGAGCGCTTTTGGAACTATTGACTATTAAACTCGAGTATGTATGTGAAAGAAGAAACCATGGTTCTATCAAAGTGTAAAATGGGTTCTGTAGAATTTCCAGGAGATAAAATGTTTACATGTCATATGGATATTCAGTTCAGTGCAGGAGGTGTTTATCTGCCTCGGTCGATGTGAAGGCAACGTTTACCGATGATCCGCACTGGTGGGCTGGGCTGGGTGCCGAAGACGATTTGATCACATCACATCCTTATCTAGTCCTATAGTACCTCGTAATTAGTACAAACTCTAGTACTACTATATACTGTGTATAGTGTGTCTTGAAATATACTTTGCACTACAACCGACGTGAGCTGTCAGACCGTACTAGGTAGACCGCCACCAGATCAGATCCCCCATAATTCGTACTTAACCGAGAAAAGTAAAAGAGCCCCTCTTCTTCCTCTACAAAGTTCAGCCGAACCCAAAGCTGGGACCCAACCATAAAGTCGTCATCCACGACGTAATTTCCACAGTACATACTAACTACAGCCTTGTACGTGTGTAGTATGTACAAACCCCCACCAAGAAGGAACTCGTCACAAACGCAAACTAGACCCAAATTACAGTCTTGCACGATGACGCCTCTCCTCTCCACGCGTGCTCGACTAGATCGATCCCCTCTCGTCTTAATGCAATGCGCGTCAGAAACTGTCAAATGAGATGGATCATCGTAGATGGACCGGACCTATCATGGATGATGGGGCGTATGTACCGTGTCTGGACTTATAAACGCCATCCAATGGATAACCGGGTTCGCGAGGGAATTCGCTAGTTGACCCGGGTGAGGGGTACGCTACTATAGAGCGAAAAATAGATTAAGTAGACGGGACTCATCTACTACGAGTCTACTACAACGTAAACAAGTGTAAGTGCGTTCTTACGGTAAATGAAGAATACCGAGGTAGAGGAAGATCCATAAGAATAGATTGCAAAAGCAGATCCATCATCCATCATCCATTAAGCAAAGCCATGCAAACGAGAATCCCCGACACCAAACGGGCTCCACTATGAAGTATAGTAAATAGAGCAAAAGATAACAGATCAAATCATCAAGTAAACAGTGACAGGAAGACAAACGGCACATATGACCTGTCCCCGGGAAAATCTAGTACTCAACCTGATAACGAGGACAATTCTAGCGAGCATACTCGTAGACAAACCGGAAACTTGCCGAACCGGCCTTTCTCTCTCTTACAAGGCATTCAGAACCTGCTGCATAGCCAAGGTATTCGAGTCCTCCCTCTTCGACACATAAGCCCTTACCTCCACCACACTCAACTTAGCCTCCATCTGCCCACCCGCGCTCCGACCAGGTCCCGTCGAAGCCCCCGTAGCTCCGCTCGCCGCACCACCACGGATCCGTTCCCGGAGCGCCTCAACGCCAATAACGAACAAACTGCCGACTTCAAGTAGCACGTCCAGCGCGCCACCAGGACCCTTGGTGTCGTCGTCAATGTCCCACGACTTGAGCAGGTCGGCATACTGCGTCATGTCCTTGGTTACCATCAGGCCACCGGGTCCACTGACGGCAAACCGTTTGAAATGCTCCAGTAGAAGTCCGCGTGTGCCGAGGGCAATCTCCGTTAGAACCTGGCGGACGTTCGATCCGCTTGAGGGGAGGGAGGCACGGGCGATGTTGTGCAGACGGGTGAGGAACGTGCAGATCGAGGCGCAGGTCTATTGATGGTGGTTGTTAGTTATTTTTTTTGCTTTTTTTTCTTTTGTCTCGTATTGCTTGTGTTTGTTTCTTTGTTTTTTCTTTTCTTTTTTTGCGTCTGCGTCTGCGTCTGCTGGTTTCTTTTCTTTTCTTTCCGCGCTCGTGCTCGGAGGATTTGTGCAGCACAAACAATGTAGATCCAGAAAAACAAACATCAAGAAGAAGCAAATAAAAAAGAGACACGTACCGGCGTTTGCAACATCTCCAACCATGCCGCATTATCGCTCTCCCGAGGTCGGAAATCGTTCTTTCGCTGTCCCGATAACAGACGGCTCACCCATGCCAATGTGGCATCGATCGTCTTCTGCTCTATCGTGTTGATCTTCTCCTCAATACGCGAGCCAGTCTGAGTAGTGCGTTTTTCCATATCGCGGCGAGTCGTGATACTAGCCGTAGCCAAGGGCAATAACACGGCATTAACGCACATCACCATCAAAGTAGTGATACTGATCGTCGTCCGCACAGACATGAGATAACCAAAGTCCGGTTCATTCTTGCCAGATTCCTGTGCGGTCGCCGCTTCCAGCGCAGCGTCGAGACAAACATCGACGTAGCCATCGCCCATGGTGGCCAGTAACAGAGTCAAAAGTGCCGAGACATCTTTATGCGTATCGGTGTTGACGCTCAGCTCTAGTCCACGACCCACAGCCTCTGCGAGCCACTTGAGCATGCGCTTGGCGTCGGTGAGATTGGGCTGGCCATCTTCCTCGGTGATTCTGATTTCTGTCAGTCGCTGAGTCTCGGGGATGTCGCCGACATTAGCTACTTGTAGTAGCATGCGCCGCTGGATGGGAGACATTTCAGGTGAGTCGAGTCGGCTGATGAATGCATCGCGAGTGGTGGACAACACCTCCTCGGTTCCGGGCCGGGCCAGGGAGGCCATGAATGTGGTAGCAGCCTTCTTCCGACGGGCATGGTAAGAAGTAAATTTGAATAGAACTGCCTGGAAGAGCTCTTCCAAGGTGCGCTTTTCTCGTTCAATGTATGAGGACCCGACAAAGTAGGGTACGAAGAGCTCTTCTAATTGTTGGTCCAGCAGCAGTGCTGTTTGAGAAGATATAGGATCTGGATGCTCTGTGAGGCCGTGTGCCTTCAAATCGTCGATCAGCGTGCTGATATATCCCCGAGAGCTCTGTAGGCATCGCAGGAATGCTAATGACGAGACTCCACTGGCCTTTTCCAATACCATCTCCAGGCGCTGCTGGATGGATTGCTGGAACACTCGTTGCAAGAACTTGCCCAATACTTGTTCGTAGTAAGGGAATGCTCGTCGGATAATCGCAGACTCCTCTTGCACCACGACCTTGACTTCATCCAACAAGGACTGTAGACTCGGCTCAACACCGGGCAGCTCGGCATCGGGATCGGCCATTTTCTCCCACGACTCGGCATCACCACCTACTTCCTCCGTAACCAATTGACTCCGGTCAATGAAGAACTGATGCTGATTCACAAACAACGCAATCACACTAGACCCGCCATTGAAATCCTGCAGGACCGTAGCACAATCCTTCATCCCCTCGAAATTAGCTTTGCGGTAGAAATCATCAAACTGCTTCAGCAGATCCTTCTCCAACGTCTCTGAGAACTTTTCAATAATCTCCCGTGTATTCCGGCGCGGCGTGTTATTCCCACTACTCAAGTCTTCCGACGAGGACGAATTACCCCCGTAGTTGCCATTGCTTGGCTTGGACGACTGCTGCCAGCTCTGCGGATCAAGCCGTTGACTGATGCGCAACAGTTGGCGCGCAATATGCGCAGAGCGAACCTTGGCCTCAGCCGTACCAGACCGTCGCAGGTTCTCCAACAACGAGATCTCGCCGCGATTGCACACGCCGTCCCAGCACTCAAGCAAGAAATGAGCATCCAGAGCTCGACGGCGCTGCCGGTCTAGCTCCTCCAATCGCCGACCCGTTTCCACCGCCATGTTCCCCGTACCCCCGGCATTTTCCAATCCCGCGCCATTCAGCGACGTGTCTAGCTGCTGGAACGACTCGATCGTCTGTCGAAGCTTCCGGCCGAGCGTGGTTAGATTCTGCGAATGCTGAGCTTCAGCGCGTCGCACCGCAGCTGACAGCTCATTTTCGCGAATCTCCAAGTCCCCGGAGAGCTCCCCCAGACGACGTTGGGCATGTTCAAAGGTGCGGATGAGGGGTTTCGGATCGAAGGGCTGATTCGGGGCCCCGGTGGTTCCTGCGGCGGAGCGACGGTGGGAGATTGCGGTGTCGGAGAGGGCCTCGATAAATTCCTTGACGATGAAGTCCCGGCTGGAGAAATCCTCGAGGGTGAAGCTGGGGCCCTTGGGAAAGACGGAGCGGGCGGGGTTCGAGGAGACTATGGATGCATTATCGGGCATCATGGTGATGGCGATTGTAGGGGAGTCATATGGGGCCGCCTCGGGACGGGCTTAGGGCGGAATTGACCCGTTCAGATTTGGGAGAAGGGGCGTTGTGAAGCTGGCTGGGGTTCTGGAATTGGAGAAATCCGGGGAAGGCTGGGATGCGCGCAGGTTGTTGGATGAGGTTTCGGAGGTGCGGGTAATTTCCACCGCGTCAGGGGTGCGACAGTATTAATTCCACTGGACATTTACATAGCTAGGAGCTATACACATAGGATTATAGGTAAGTACTTTTTGTTTGTATTATATATTATAGAAGACTGTATTAGGCCAAAAGATCAAGAAGGATAGATTCAAGCTGAAAATCCTATACATTCCTATTTTTGGAGTAACCACTTCGTCATAGCTGGTTGGAACGAACACCTTGGCCACAAGAGGCAGTGCAGTATAGCCAAGGGACAGGCAGCCACATTAGAATATTGAAAGCTATCAAGTTGTATATATTTAATCAACATTCGTGAAAATAGCAACTATTACCACGTACATTACCGATCAAGCGCGGACCTAGGAGCAAGTGAAGTACTCGGGGAGATTTGCATGTGGCCAACATACTAGTAATTAACTCCTCCATACTCCCTCCGTCCTCCCGCCGCAACCGTCAATTTCCTCAACCCACACCAAGATGGTCTCCCAGACCGACCGCGAGATCCTGCGCGCAGAGATCCGTTCTCGCGGCGACAAGCTCAATGCCGCTGACCGCGAGAACCTACTAAAACCCTACCTCCCCGACCCAGCGGACCTAGCACCCGCGAACTCGACAAGCTCAACCTCGCCGCGGCGGTCCCGCGCTGGAACCTCGTCTTCGCAACGGCGCCAAAAGCCTCGCAGAAAGCCTATCCGCACGTTCCTCAAGTCACAGCTGTACCGTCTGACGTATGCAATTACCCATATCTTCTTTGGAATTGTGGTACGTCTGTTGCAGGCTTACCATGCCGTTGTGGATCGGATCTTTGCTATTGTGTACCACCACCATCGCACGCCGGAGTTGATCCGCAAGGATGTTCGGGGTTTGAAGAGGTTGCCGGAACATCTTAGTGTGATATTGACGCTGCATAAGGAGGATGATGCGTTGGCGGCGTTGATGGATGAGGTGGCCGAGTTGGCTGCCTGGAGTGCCTGCGCGGGGATTCCACAGCTCAGTGTGTATGAGAAGTCTGGTAAGGACAGCTGCTTCAATCAACATGGCCGTTCGACATGGCCTAATATGAAGCCGCAAGCTAACTCACTCGCTTCTGCTTTAGGCGTTCTCAAATCCTGCATCCCAGCTCTACACCAGATCATCTCCACCAAATTAGCCTCCTACTTCGGAACACCCTCCCAACAACCCTCCCTCCAACTCTTCGCCCCTCACCACCCCATCCACGGCACTGCACCAAACCACAAGTCCGAAACCCCCTCCCTGACCCTCCTCCTCCTCTCCTCAACAGACGGCCGCGAAACAATCGTCGACCTGACCAAGACCCTGGCCGAAATGTCTCAGAACGGCAAATTGTCACCAGAGGATATCACGCCGGAACTGGTGGATGCAGAGATCAGTGAAATCACCACTCAACCTCTCCGAGCCAGCGGCCGTGGTGTCAGCCCATTGAAGCCCGAACCAGATCTTCTGCTGGTGTTTGGTCCGTTCTTGAAGTTGGATGGGTATCCGCCGTGGCAGATTCGGTTGACGGAGATGTACTGCACTGGGGACCGTAACCATGGTATGACTGGTTATGGGGAGGCTGTGGAGTATCAAGGGTTTATGCGGGGATTGTGGCATTATGCTGGAGCTCAGATGCGATTTGGTCGTTGAGGATGGGACGAAGGGAGTATAGTACGAGGGGTACTGAAAATGGGTTCGAATTGCATGTTGGAATTTCTTATACTGTGTTGTTATACCATATTATATTTGCATCGACGATGCGGTGTGTATTACTCTATATCATTTAAACATTTATGACTTTGCATATGCCAAATGCTGAGGGATTTCATGGGAGAATTGTCATTATACTATATTCAGTTTATATTGTTGGTATCCCGATGCCACGCCATGAAATTGAGAAAAAAGCAGAAAGGCAGAATATTGCCGAGATATAAATGGTATCGCTGTGTTGAAGAAATGGATGAAGAAATGAAAGTCCCCTCGGCGGCAAAAGGGGATATGTAGTGAAAAATGTGAAAAGCAGACCGGGCAGCAAATGCACACACCGAGTCGTGGCCGTCAGAGAAAAGAAGGTGGTATTCAGGGTCCACCAGTGGGGGTCGAGAGTGGAAGAAAGGTCGTAGGGGGGTCATATGGGTCGTTTCTTATACATCATGTGGGTTTCTTGAGATATGGCAGATTGTTATCCGCGCATCATCTCATGATTCATCTCATCTAGCGTCCATCCAGACGCCGAGTTGCCCTGCACACAATCAAGGCACCGAACAATCTCAGTACCGGCCTCTGTAAGTCCCTCAACAGCACAGCTAGAACAGACTTTCCGTCTCCGCTCCATAGCTGCACCATCGAAATCTTCATTAGAAGCGAACAATTCTGACCCGTGTTCCTCGGGGTACGCCGTCCTAGTCGAACCGGGACAATCGAGAGCATCACACTGGCGCATACAGATAAAGCATGCGCGTTCACCACACAGATCACAATCGGCATAAGCGTCCAGGACTTGTCGAGTTGTCGGGCGCCGGTGACAGATATGACATGGTCGGAGGGCGGAGGGGGACGATGAGGGGTAGGCTAGTGGTACGATTGTCTTTGGGGAGACGGGTGGAGAATAGGGGTCTTGCGCGGGGGCATAGACATTTGGTGCAAGAAGAGAGGAGGGCTGATGAGTCGGGAGGGCGAGATATGGAGGCTGGAGGTGTCTGCGTTTGCGAGGGAGACAGCGGGGCCGGAAAGAGAGGTCATTATTTCCTTCTGCAGGGTGTCGGGACAGGGGCAACGGGCAGTTGCCGTCGTAATCGGGACGGTCTACGCGGAAGGGGATGAAGGATGATCTGGACGGAGGTGAAATAAGAATTAGTTCTGAGAGTGAAAGAAGGTCGGGAGGGATATGTATATCGAATCGAGGAATGACTCTGATAGGTAGGGAATGGGGAGATGGAAACACTTACGGGCGAGTCAAGGTGGTTGTGCTTTCTTCATGATCGCGCTTGCGTTTCCTCCAGGTTGCTGCGAAAGAGCCCGTGGGCTCTGAGAAGCTGGGCATCTGAGAGTCCAGGTGAAAAGTAGTCGTCCAGCCTCTATATATATAGTGACCTGGTGAAGAGAGGCCTCAGGGAGTTTGGTTGATATAGGCGGTGTTGATCGAAGATGAGGAAACAACGCAGCAAAGAAAATAAAGCTCGGGCCCCGTTCAAGTCACGGTACCTGGGGGTTACTTCACCGCTAGTGGCTGGAGGCGGTCACTAGTCTCCACTTTAGTCTTTAAAGTGTGTTCATATCTATCGATGTCATTTTTTTTAGGGGTCTGTCATTGAGGTAAATAGAGGAAACCTCAATAATTGAAATGGTATAATATACTGTAGGATTTTTATAATCAACCTGTCTTCGCGAATAGGAAGTATCAGTCCAGTATGTTTTACCCCGAAGATGGATTGAAGGGTTCTTGATGCCTTGATGCCTTGATGCCTTGAATCGGAAGGTGGACCACAACTCGGCACTCGATTGGATTAAAGTTTCTACAGACTGGACACTGTAGGTATACCGAAGCCTCAGGAAAGGAAAAGATTACAAAATCGGTTGAGTTACTGGGATACGACTCAAATCGTGTATCCTTTCCAGTACCCCTGAGGTGTCATTGCTTTTTACGTAAGCTAAACAGCCTGCCTAAAGCTCTCAACACTACCATTCAACCTTAGGTGCCAGTGGGCCTAATAGTACAACAGTATTGGGAGGTTGTCTGCAAACTTCCAAAAATGTATGCTCAAAGCATAGGCATTGGCCAAACTGAATTTTAATCATATCTTGATCTAGGCTTACTTCTGTGCATTTGGTCTATACACGGATCTTGGATCTAGCGGGGTCGTGCGTTCCACGAAATATCCGACAACGCCAGACAAGAAGTACAGTACCAGCCTTTAGATAAATTAAAATATGAATCCCTTGATGTTTACATAGACGCTTTCAAATCCTGTTTTGATTATTTCTTGCCTTGAGAGGCAACAGAATGTTACTACATGCAAAGTTGGGGCTGAGTATTGCGTACGATACTCTAGTATGGTTTTGAGCGGCAAAGGTCTTATCCCGGCAGCGTCACCTAAAATTAAGTTGGAACTAAGACACGTGAGTTGGCCGCGGCCAGGTGGATATGTGCATTTTGATTGGGATCCGATCGAATTTCACATTTACACATTGTGCTTCCTCGATATAAATCATTATAATTAACTTTTTAATCTAGCTTTATACTCCCTTCGGGTATTCGGGTTTAGACCGGCAGCTGCGGCATCTTTCCGCTGGTCTTCGGCGTCCATTCCGAAAGGAAAAGGAACACCAGTGACCCACGGAGGGTGAAATCGGGGAAGACATCGGGTTGTATGGAGTAGTCCGTCAGGAATCGGGATGCCGGGTTCCTCTGGGTGTAAGGGGGTCCCGCTGTTTCCCCTAGACCGAGAACTGCCCCCCGTAGTCCGTAAAGTGTTCTGTTTTTAGATGGGCGATCAAGTGGTGCGCGTTGTCTTGAAACGGGTGGGCGGGATGAGTTATACATAGCAATTGATGGGGCAGTCTAGTGATTTATATATTATTGTATATTATTGAATACAGGTGATGAGAGAAAGAGAAAGGGGGAGGGACAAAGCCAAATTGCCGATGTCGGCAGTTGGAGGCTCAAGCTAATTCAGGGAAATGTGGACAATAATGGACATGAAGCAGTATTCTACTTTTACGGACTACTCCATTTGCCGAAGTGCTCCCGAGAGGAGTATACGAACTATAGTCGTATTGTATTTCACTCATTCCGATTATTCTCAGCTTAGAAGGGTGAATTGCTTTTGTAAATAGCTATAAGAATACATTGTCTAAAATCAATGTTAGTAATTGTTCATATTTCTCAATTTAGGGGCAATAATAAAGCTCCCACGTCCCGCCAGTCTCGTGTCTCTTCCCACGTCGTGGGGACGTGGGGAAGGGCCCCGACCGGTTGGACCGTCACCACCTCCCGAAACTTTGCTCCGACATCTTTTTGGCGATACCGCTCTCTCTCTGCCTCGGGAGCTATTCTGTCTCTTCTCTTTTTTCTCTGTTCATTTTACTCCCACATAGCAATCCCTCCAAAGAAACAACAGTGTGGATTCCCTGTCTACCAGTGACTAAGCGATTCGTTGGGTCTGGCTGGCCCTGATCGCCTCTACCCGTTGCGTATTCCATCTGGCCCTTCCGATTGCGTCTCGACCTGTCTTGAATGCTCGGACATGCGACGCGATCTTCGACACTGCACAACTAACTGCGACATCGCACTCTGAACCAATTTCTCCGGACTACCTCTAATAATCTTGACCGGCTTAATTACCAACAAGAGACTCTGCAGATCGCCAGCCTGGATACTCCTGTCCTGACTGTACTTGACATGCGACATTGCTCAAACTAACCCTTTTCATGGATGAGGGCTCCGATAAGGCCCCTCGGCGGAAGAGGGTGTCGAGGGCCTGCGACCGGTGTCGCAGTAAAAAGGTGAGTGAGCAGTCCCGTTTGCGCGCCTCAGTCCGTTTCTCAAGCTGACCTGCGTCCCCGTTCCAAAACCCCAGGATAAATGCGATGGAATCCGTCCCACTTGCTCCGCATGTCAAGCATCCGGTCAGCCCTGCTCATACGACCCCCATGCAAAGAAGCGCGGTCTACCAGAGGGATATGTGCGAGGGTTAGAGAAACTATGGGCGCTCTCAATGTGTAATATCGACGGATTCGAGGATACCATGCTGGCCATGCTGGGAACCACTGCAGAGTCGGCAGGCCGTCGGGAAAAACTAATGTCGGTGTGGTCGGATGACAGCTCATCAGAGAGCTTGCATGAAACCTGGAAGACGAGCCGTCTATATAGCGCATTAGAGAAAATGCTATCCAACTCGGAAGCACCTCTCACCACGGGCAAACGATCGCGCAATCCCCATGATGATCAGCTGGAGGGTTCCGATGGCCAATGGGGATTTCGCGTGGCTCGAGATTCGACACCATTGGGCCCTGAAGCGCCGCGGATCGTCGGACCAGCAATTGGCTCGCCAAATGCGAAACGAGCCCGGATGTCACAAACATCAAACGGTCGGGACGTGTCGCAGTCCGGGACTGGTTCTCATGCTCTACAGTTACCCCCGCAGACATCCCAACTACTCGATATCTACTTCGCCACAACTCACTCGTGGTTCCCCATAGTCGCAAAACACAACATCCTTCGCGCGTCCTACCTCTATGCCAATGCTCCCTTCTCCGTTGCGACCACCTCCCCAGGGTCTGGGGATCATGCTGCCTTGTGGGCAATCCTCAGCTATACCATCACCCAATCTTCAGCCACGACCCGCGTGAATCCCACTGGAAATGTGTCTCTAGCAAAAGAGTACTACACCGTTTCTCGAAACCTCATCCCTTTGGAAAAAGAACGCTACGAACTTGGCCATATTCAGGCATTGCTCTTACTGAGCTTGGTAAACATTGGTCTTGAAGATTGGACAGCTGCATGGCTGCTGAGCGGCCAAGCAGTGCGCATGGCCATTGCAATGGGCTTGGGTGCCTTTGCTGACACGCGCCGCTCCGATGAACTGCGACAGGGTAAAGCAGTTTTCTTAGGCTGCTTTGTGATCGACTCTTTGCTGTCCTTCCGACTTTCTCGTTGTCCTGCCATGTCTTCGAACGATCTGGCAAATGTTGGCTTGCTGGAAGAAGATGGACTGGAGGAGTGGAACTCATGGGTGGATGTGCTTCCCCCAACGGGAGTTCCACACGGTAAGAATCCTCCGCGAAGAGGACCACTATTGTCTCTCAGCTGCTTTAATCGCTTAGTCGAATTAGCGAGTGTACTCAACAAGACCTCCCGAAATTTGTCCATGGGATACAAGGCGCCCAACTTTGCCCAGCAGTTGGTCATGGACCTGAAGCAGTGGGATGATGGCTTGCCGCTAGGATGTCGACTGATCGGGCCGGAGAGTATTTACCCTGAGCGGCATTCGGCTCTCCTACCACACCAGACCTATCTGGGATTGACCTATGTCGCTACCCTGCTGTGGCTGTACCTACGCCTCATTCCTGGAGAGCAGGGCCTGCATCGATCACAGCGTCCTGCAACAGAAGGTGCAAAGAAACTCCTCTACCGAGGACTCTCGATGATCTCCCAGCATCTGGAAAACTTCCCCATGTGCGGGCTCCCACCTATTTTCGAGTTTGGGCTACGCACGATCTCCGAGCAAGCGCTTTCGTTGCGACAAACCGTGGACTCGTCGGATACTTTCCCCTTCACTCGCTGGGCTGAAGAGTTCCGTCAGAAAACGACCGTCTTGATCTCAAGTTGGCCGGTATATGGGTCATTGGTATCTTCGATGGAGCGCTTGCAGAAGCCCAACAACCTCCCTGTAGCACCGCAGTCATACCCTGGGAACGCCGCTTCTTTGGCCACCTCCATGCACGGAGTCATGCAGCCTCCAGTTGTTGCCCACGGCATACCCCCGCCTGATCAGGGCAGCTATGCATCATCTATCCTGGGCATCAGCATCCCCGCTGATGGTCAATCTTTGACACCCAAGGATACGGTCATGGAGAATACCGAGATGGCCATGATGGATCCATCCGTGCAGCAGCCGATCCGCCCCGTAGACAAGGTGACGCCGTGCAGTGGACCAGACCAGCTGTTTGCACCTGCACAACCTCATACCCCCGACTCCTCTATCTCCAATCCTATGATGGCCAGTAACGCGCCTACCAGTGAGCACTCGGTCTCGACCAACGACCACATGCATTTCAATCCCGCTGGCCCGGGTGATCTGGACGCAATTTTCAAGGATTTGGCATACCTGGACACGACCGAGTGGTCCAACAACCGCGAGGCTGGCCTCAAGGACTTTGGGTTCTTGGATGATAGTACTTTCCAAGCCTTCTGTCATGATCCCGACCGTCTCGTGGGATCGCAGCCGTTGGTGCATCCGCCTTCGATTGCGGATATTTGGCCACCTCCTGGATTCTTCCCGGAAACTTTCCAAGAGGTCCCCGAGAAAGCGATGAACGGATGATCAAAGTTAAGGATGATCGTCTCGGTGACATAATTATCGAATTGAGTTGGGGTTTTGTCCTTTCTCACGGGCTCAGTGACCATCCTCCCACAAGCTCCATCCGACCCACCGTGGCTGTACTGCTCCGCTACGGTGTTTCAGGTGTCCCTCGGGAAGCCGGGGCGCTATGAGCTGTCAGACACAAGCCACCCATCAGCCATGGCTGTCACACAAGGAATCAATGATGAGATCTTGTTTCTTTCTTGTGTGGTCAAGTGCTGGATTCATTATCTTTCTGCTTCCTTTGTTATGAATACAACTGAAAGACTGCCGATGCTTCGAAGCCTTGACTGAACTACAGTTCAAAATCCCGCTGATCTACACCACGAGGAAAAGCATTGGTACAATTAGGCAGCATTCTTTTGCTCCACGGCCATTCTCCCGTCTCTGATTTGACTTTTGATCGACCTGACTAAATAGTGGGTTATTGGTTGATCCGAGCAATTACTTATCATTTTACTGTACCAGTGCACTCTGTTTGAAAATGTACGGAGTACCAATGTACCAATATACCCGGGCACTTTATCTGAGAAAAATGTGACTTTAATCTAAAACAATTGACACGCTGTTAATAAGAGCACTATATTATCTGTCTCATCTCCCTGGCAATGTTACCCCTTGAGGGCTATTGTGTATTTATTTTTCAATAATACTCACCCTTGATGTTTGCCTGAGTCTCCGGGCATCTGTACTTTTTTAGCGATCGGCGATCGGCGGTTCGCTTCCGTGGTGCAATGTGAAATTCCCCTAAACTTCCTAAACTTGGGGTCCAACTGGTCCCTTGTCATCTCATGAACGGCACAGCCTCGGCTTGTTAAACAAAAGACTCAAGATCTTCCTAACCTTAGGTCCCAATTATCATTGATGAATATCACCAGCTGCACTTGTTCAAGTCCCTACCTATGTATTCCCCCCTCGATCGCCAGGGGCGGTTGCCACATTCCCCTAATAGCCGAACCTGACCAGTGCACTTCCACTATGGGGTCGTGTGTACTCCACTCATCGTCACTTTCCACCAGTCCGCCAGGACGATCCCTTCCCTCCTGTCCATCCTAAAACCCGCAAGCGATGACGCCGACCCGTGGGGCCCTGCGGGTTTCTCTAACTTGTCTCTTCCCAAGTTTGAACTACCGCCCAAGTTCTAACTGGCTCTAAACTCCTCGTTGGCTCACTGGCCCGCGTGGTCGATGATCTATGTATTCCCAACGGCCCCCGGCCCCTCGGCGGTTAGCCTATCATCCTCGCGCTTCAGGTGCATTGATCGAATCAGAGGTGCATGTTTTGCCGGGATCGTCAGGTTGGAAGATGCAGTATGGGGTACGGCACAATAATGAACGAACGAACCCCCCCGTTTGTGTTATCCCATGATGATCATTGCCTCTCGTTTCACCAGGCGCCGTTGCTGGTGGTGGTAGTGGTAGTTTGATTTATCCCTTCTTCTATCTTTTTATCCCCCCTCCTCCTTCTTGCTCTTCTCAATTCATTATTATTGTTCATGGCTACTTCGACTTCGACTTTTGTCTATTAACTACCTACTCTTCTTTCTTGACATTCCTTTTTTCTTTCATTAATTCCAAACTTTCTTTCTTTTCCCACTGCTATCGCTTATCTCATTCCTTATCGATATCGAAATAGACCCTCAAGTGGGCTGGCGACGAAACATGTTGACCTCCCCGCGACGATGGATCTTCATCGTCTCTCCATTCATTACTCTAACATTGGTCTATTACCTCTTCCTCTCACCAAATACCGACCCCATCACATTAAATTTCCGAGGCCAATGGACACATTCGGACCAAGAACCCATGATCCTCGAGGGAACACGCCCTCTCTCAGGAGCAGGATCCGACAAGTCGAATCAGCAGCAAATCTCCGATGATTGGTTCGAGGAGGACCGATGTGGGAAATTGCGCAAGGACATGGATGATGTCTTTGTCGTCTTGAAGACTGGTGCGACAGAAGCCCGCGACAAAGTTCCGGTACAATTGCGCACGACACTCCAGTGTGTCCCGCATTATGCTGTTTTCTCCGACTACGAGGAGACCATCAATGGCGTGCGCACTTACGATGTTCTACAGAATATCACCGAATCAACCATGAACGAGGCGCCCGAGTTTGAAATCTACCACCGATTACAAGAAGTCGGGCCTGACGGTCTAACAGACGAAGAAATGGGCGATGACTCGAACGGCCCCTTCGGCAAAACCAACAACCCAGGCTGGAAGCTCGACAAATGGAAGTTCCTCCCCATGATCGCCGGCGCACTCGAGATGCAACCCCAAGCAAAATGGTACATTTTCATCGAAGCCGACACCTACATGGTCTGGCCCAACCTAGTAAACTGGCTCGCCCATCTAGACCACCGCCAGAACTACTACCTCGGCAGCCCCATGCAAATCGGCGACGTCCTCTTCGGCTACGGCGGCGCAGGAATCATCCTCTCCAGCCGAACGGCCTATCACCTGCACAACTACCGGTCCAAGCACCAACAAGAACTCGAACACATGACCAGTCAAGAATGGGCCGGCGACTGCGCCCTCGCCCAAGCCCTCAAAGAAGTCCACGTCGAACTCACCTGGGCCTGGCCTATGATGATGACATCCCGACCACACGAGATCGATCATTTCTCCGAAGCATACGGCCGCCAACCATGGTGTTACCCGGCCGTGTCATACCACCACATGAGTCCGCGCGATATCGAGGAAATGTGGCGGTTTGACCGGGGCTGGTTTAAGAGTGGGAAGAATGCGCTCTTATTGCATGGTGATGTTTATCGTGAGCTTGTGCATAATCGTTCGCTTGCTGAACGGCCTGATTGGGATAATCTTTCGCCGGCGGTTATTGATTTTGATCCCCCGACGCAGCCGTCGAGTGAGGCTTGTGCGGATGCGTGTTCGCAGAATAGCGAGTGTTTGCAGTTCTCGTTCAATCATGAGATGCAGGCTTGTAAACATGCTTCGACTACTTTTGGGGGTGTTGCTACGAATGGGACTGATTCAGGGTGGATGACGCATCGTGTTCAGAAATTGCTGAATAACTTTCAGTCTTCGTGTCCGGAGGTGCAGTACATTTTTGAATGATGATGACACTGAACTGAACTGGATCATCAGCCCTCCATCTCTCTTTGACGCTATCCTGTCAAGGATTTCTCATCCCCGCCCCTCTTTCACACGTTTGTGCTTGTATATATCCCACCCCCGCACATATTTTCTTCCCTTCCCTTCTCTCTTTTCATCTTGGTTTCCCTGGGCGCGATTCAGATCATTGGCGAGGCGTTCTGTCATACTATCTTGGGGGCGTCATTTTTCTTTCGTTACATTCTGTGTGATCTGGTCTGCTGGACGGATTAGTAACCCACGATCTTGGTCTTTGTCTTTGGATCGATCATGCACTCACTCGCTGCCAAGCATCTATTCTATATACAGTTACTTCACTGCTGCCTGGAGCTCTCTGGGGCCTATCTATAGAGATAGAGGTCAATCAATATCATGATATTTAGAAGATTTTGTATGATAGAAAGTAATAAATCCGATTCAAAATATATACGACATGTCCAGCCTCGAAAAAATACACTTGAGAAAAAAAGAAGAAAAAAAGATCCACAAAGCCTCCAACCAGCAAAAGCCCAGCTCGTCAACATATACAAAAGAACACCACATGACCCTCGTTCCTATCTACAATCCTCCATCTTAAGCCGCAGTAACAGCAACACTCTTCCTCCTCTCCCTAATCAAAACCGGCACAATACACAACACAACCGACACACTCACAACAATAGCCTGGATACCAAATACCAACCCAAGTCCATTCCGAGCAATCCACGCAGGCTGGAAATATCCAACTGCGAAACCGCCGCAGGTACGCCACATGTTTAGGATGGCGGAGACGACGGTGGATTGGTCGGGGTATTTTTCGAGGGCGTAGGCTGTTACGGCGCTATAGAGAATGAATGTGTTAGCGGTGTTCAATCCATCATTGAATGTTATTCTCTTTTCGGGAGAGGTAGACTCCTGGGAAGGGTTTGCAAGACAACTTACACAACAGTCCCCACCATACCGATATTAACCATAATCCAACCAAAGGCAATACCAATCCAGTGCTTGCCAAAGTTCATGGTTAGACCGTACGTAAGCAGGCCGCAGACCATGCTGGCGAGGGGGAACCAGACGCCGTGGAGACGGTATTCGGTCTGCCAGTTTGTGCGGTGGCGTTTGAAGATCCAGTCGTTGAAGATGAAGCCGACGAGCCAGCCTGGAAGGTACCATTGTATTAGGATCTTACTAGGAGACGAAGAAAAAGAAAATCTAGAGAGGAGCTGGTGAGGGGAGGAAAACATACCGCCGAGGGCACCGATAACACCGGCGAAACGCATGGATGATGCTTCGATTGTGTCGAAGTTATATGGTGGGCTGTGGAGGAAGCTGTCGATTGTGGTTGTGATTCCTGCAAAGTCGTATATTAGCATAATTTCATCCCCAACGCAGTCTATCTTCTTAGGCTGCTATACATACCAATCGGCCAAGTAAACGTCACCAAAATAGCAATACCCGTCATCAACAACGGGAACTTGAACACATAGAGCACCATAACCTTGCACCAGTGCCACAAGGTCGAGCCCTTAGGCATCTTGGTATTTCCAAAGCCAAAATACGAACCAACGCGCGAAGTAGGCGCTTTACCGGGGTTATAATAAGTTTCAGCACCAAAGACGAGAACCGTTAATGTGGATAAGCCGTAGATAGCTGTAAGCACGCCAAAGGAGTCGCGCCAGTTTGTGCCTGCGCCGATATAACCAGCGAGTGCGGGACCAAGGAAAGGGCCGACCATGAATGTCGTGCCCCAGATATTGATCATGCGAGGCCATTCTACGAGGCATATTAGTATTGTGTTTAAAGTTGGGTGTTGTGTTCCGTACCTTCTGGGCTGTACATATCGTGAATGATAGGTAGACCGATGACTTGCGGGACTGTGCCGAAGAGACCCTGTAGCGAGCGGAAGGCTGTGAAGGTAGACCAGTCGTGGGAGAGGGTCGCACCCAGGACCATGAACATGGTGATAACCTGTGGCCAGATCCAAACGGGGAATCTTGACGGGAGATACGGATTAGCTAGATCGTACTTACAAATTCGTAGATATTGCTCATATCTTGCTCAGTTGGTCTTGTCGCTCAATTGGCTGGTCTACTTACCGACCATAGGCTTCAATTAGTGGAACTGCAAACATGCCACCAAAACCTTGTAGCAGAATGCCGTAGTTCATACTCGTTGCCGAGTGCGTGATACTTATACCCCATTCCATTGCCTGCGGCGTAACGAGTGTGCCACCCCAGACCATCGCTCTGCATTTACCGAAAAATATCTCGTCAGCCAGTTATTCAAAGCTTCAATTGACATTGTGCTTGACACCCCACTCAAGATCAAGACTATCTTGATCGTGATTGCGATTCAAATTCCAACAGGCATTCAACTTACCCATCAGCCAATAACGAACTCCCCATCAACGACACAAACAGCAAAGTCTTGCGCGTCCGACTCCAATTCTGCGGATTCTTCATATCCGACGGATCAGCATTCTTCAATTCGCGATCTGGTGCCATTTCCTGCGATTGCGAGAGCGAAGGACTGCTACTCGCCCCGTCAATCTCAATCTCAACTTCGCGCATGTTATCGATAGTCGTGGGTTTCTCCATGACGATCCGCGAGATTAACCGTGATCAGCACGAATTCTCCGATATACAATGGCACTGCACAAGGGGCAATGTCGTGCAGGTTTTGCGTGGGAGGTAACCGGCAAGGGGGGAGGTGAGCCAAGGGGGTAGAGGAAGATACTAGAAGGGGGTGAGGAGAAATAAAAAAGCAAAGGAATAAAGAGAAAGTGTAGTATGTATCGGGAGTCGGGTGAGGGCGAGGGGGCCGGCAGTGGGCAGGGGAGAAGGTTTTATGGTTGTATGCAGAAGAAGTTTAGATCGGATAGACTGGGTCTGGGTCTCGCGTGGCTTCTGTTGCGCAGAGAGATTGGGGACTGGTCTCGTTTCGAAGTTCAGAGTATGTTATTAGGACGACGAAGTACACGTCTAGAATTTTTCTTTTGCTTGTAGGAGTGGCACGGCAGGATTGGAGCTATCAGGACTATTCAACGGGCTGTTCTCCTTGGGTGATTCATCAATACGCCACGAACCCGCCAGAAACCGGACACAGACCAGAATCAAACAGTGAGTTACGTGCAAAAATCAAGCACAATCACTGCAGCAGCGACTATCGTCGAAACAGGGGCTTTACAATAGTCCCTCCCCCTCCAAAGTGCTAGTACAGCAAATACGAAGTGCAAGGCCTTCGAATAACAAATTCCCACCACTATGGCTCGGTTATTCCGAATCTGGAACACAAACCTGGTCATTTTGAAAGTAGTTCTCCTTAACAACTTCATAGTAACCAACTATACTTCGTAAGTTGATTGAAGTCGGCTCCTTTATGACGTTCGGACCCAGGTTCCCCCACTTAAGCCACCTGGCTCCCGAATCTACGGACCACCAGAGCCACCAGAACCAACGATCCAGCAAAAGCCTCTGGATTGGTAGCCCTTCTGGCCAAAATATCGCGCATATCCCTGTACGCCCCCGCCCCAAGGGGGTCTCTCCCATGCTCGCGTCTTCGGAGACGGCCCCTCCCCCTCCGGATGGACAAGCGATCGGTCAATTAGTGGCGTAGAGTTGTCGCTTTTGGCCGCTAAGCTACGGTAGATCAAATATACATGACTCTAATGCTCAAGTAAATAATCAGCTTTTACACGTAGGACGGCATTGCAGTGAACGTATTCGTAGCTCTAAATGAATACACTGCAAACACGATTCTATCAATGATTTATTAATGTGCCCGGTACTTTGCCAGGACAATATGTAAGACTATGAATCAGGCTGTGGGACAGGTGCTAAAGTAAATTATCTGCGGAAAGCCTCTTTAGTCCACTAAAGTGCCCAAGTTCGGCGCTAAGATGCGCCAACGCAGGGCCCCTTGCACATCAGGGCTGTCTGATTCGTGTGATGTATTAGATCGGATCCTTTTCTTTTCTTTTCTTTTCTTTTTTTTGCTTCTTCTGCTCTTTTTATCCCTCTCTTTTGTCTGATTTTGAGTTTTCTGGCATTCGATTAATCGGTAATTATTCCGTACAGTAGCTACAATTAGAGACCCAAACTGGATTCAGATCTATGAGAGATAGTTGACTGTACCGACTCATCATACCATCAAGCAACCAGCAAGCCAAGACAAACTAATTCGACATTTAAATCGCCCCGCTACGAGCTATGTATGGTACCAGGGTTCACATTAGCGGCATCCGGCTAGTCCGATTTCACAACTACATACGCGGTCATTATAATAACTACTATACTGTACCATGGTTATTTTTACTACTTATCTTCATGGATCTAAGTATCATCCCTGTCACTTTTCGCTTTTTATTCCGTATAGAGTACTTGACCAAACGAATATTCCGTCCGCCGTTATCGCAGCATACTAGAATTAAAAATGCAACAGTCTTGAACTGGGCATAATAAATATTTGCATTCATATTAGTCGCTTTGGGCTACATACCACCATCGGTCTCAATCTACATAAGACACCTTTCAAGGCTCGGCATACACACCAGGCTAGACTATCGACGTTCCAGTCAAAGTAACTGGGCACCGCAACAACTACTTCGTGTACCGTTCAGGACTTCCGTCCCATTTCCAAGACTTGCTCTTAGTTCCCCATTAGGGGGTTTTCGGCGTCAATCATGTCTTTACTCAACCGTCTGGCCAGCCTCACGCCCGCGGTGCCACCAGGAGCGGCACTGGCAGGTACCGTTACGATAGTAAGTGAAAGAAAGAGTTAAAGACTGGGTCTTGAATTCCCAACTGATGAGCGAATAGCCAGCATCATTAGGATTTGTCCCCGTTGCCGTACACTTTGATCTCTTTGGGGCATTGGTTCGTCATGGAGGCCCAGCAAGTGCAGAGGATATCGCCCGGACAATCAACAAAGCCATTCAGACAGAAGGAGAAAACAAACCAGAGATCTGTAGGTGAAACCCCTCCTTTGTTCTGCAAACAATGCCCTTTCATCATATTTCCCGCCCCCTGCCAGACTACCATCCTCGATTCCTCCCAATTGCTTTGCTCTGCAGCTAATCCCAGCCTTACAGCGGTCCTTCTTGCAGGTATGCCGTCCCTAACTCTGGTCCCAACCGCCCCTGGTCCATATGGCGCCAAACCCTACCGGAGCCTCGGCGACTTCAGGATTTCTCAATGTACTAATTAATTATCATTCTTGGCATGCAGCCGATACGCTCTACATCATGGCTGGTCTCGGGCTGGTTGAACGTGTGGACGAAGACCGCTTCGTGGCCAATGCTATTACTCGCCACATGGTCGATATGCCATCGGCGCAGCATGGCGCCGTACACTTGTAAGTGTTTTGTCCTCGTTATATCCCTGTCTGGAACAAGGCTTGCCAAACAAGGCTTGCACTCTTGGCACTCGTTCTCGTAAAATAACTCTCCCTCTTCTGGGTACTAGTTGCACCGAAGGAATGATGGCGGGCGCATTTTTGATGAAGAAACTCCAGGATACCAACTTTGCCTACCCCTTTGCTGAATGCGACGGGCCCTTTCAGTACGCGTATCAATTGATGGGCCAAGAGGAGCTCGCCAAGCAACATACGTACTCCATCATGGAGGCCCAAGGCCGTATGGACAGCTTTAATCAGTTCATGGTGGGCAAGTTTCTCAAATTCGGGACCTTTCCCGAACGCGTGGCAGCCGCAGGCTACGATCTGGGAGCCACACTAGGCGTTGATGCTGAAAGTTTCAGTTCCAGCTCTGCTCTCCGCGACGACGAAGTCGCCATGGTCGACATTGGCGGTGGTCGCGGCGAACTCCTCCTCGAAGTCCAAGCCCATTACCCAAGCCTCCAAGCATCACAACTAATTGTGCAAGAATTCAACGCAGCCATCAATGACGTCCCCGGTGTACGGCTGATGGAGTGGAACTACAAGATCTCTTCGGAACAGCCGATCCGGGGTGCGCGGGTATACAGCCTCCAGCATATCTTACACAACCTGCCAGACCTGGATGCCGTGGCGTTGGTGCAGAAATTGGCGCGAGCTATGGGTCCGGAATCACGGCTGCTGATTATTGAGTACGCGAAGAACCTGACCTATACGAATTTGCACTCGAGTATGATTGCGTTGTATGGGGGCCGTGAGCGCAGTTCAGCGGAGTGGCGGAAGTTGGCGGGGGTTTGTGGATTGAGGGTGAGTTTTGAGAAGTATGAGATTGCGGGAGAGTCGCTGGTGGAGATGCGATTGGCGTAGGAATTGTTAGTGTATAGAATGATACTTTCTCGTTGCACGTCAGTTCCTGGAAAGAAGAGTTAGACAAACTTGGAAAGGATGGACAATCAAGCGGAGTCGCGAAGGTTCGGGCGGATCGCCGGCCACAGACCCGAACTCCATCACTTCGTCACTGTATCATTTCCTGACTGACAACCTTGGAATAAAATGCGATACATCTTCTATGATATGTGATTTGTGACAGCAGATCGAGTTCTCCTACCAGATAGAGTTATCGACGTGTTCGTGGTCACGGCATGAACCATCTCAGCTGCTCGGCCCCGCCTCTGATCTCCTTGGATCAGTCACATTCGGTACTGCGAATCACAACTTTCAAGACCAGCGGAGTCAATTGCAGACAACATTGACATTTAATTTTGAGCCTCCCCTCCTTTCCGAACCTCACCGAGTCCACCAAGCGATCCAAGAACAAAGTCCAGTGGAGCCATTTGGGGGCCAGGCTGGAGTCCCTAGTCTAGCGTCAGCCCACCACAAAGCCACTGCGAGTCCGATCACCCGCCAAATCTTATTCTTTGACGGATGAAAAAAAGGAAACCATGATCTCAATTTGGGATCTGCAGTTTGTGGTTTGTGTTTATGCACGCCAAGTTGGCGGATCCGGCTATTGAATGCAATTGCATGCAAGAGCCGATGTTGACTTTGACCTTTTGCTTTTCCCCCGTCACACCCCTTGCGCAGCGGCGCATGGCTATTGCGTGGTGGTCATTCGCCGCGAGCTCTCTCCACCAATGGCTGTCTCTGGAATGTCGCTTCTGGGCTGCTTTCTGCTCACGCGTCCTCAAGGAAGGGGTCTCTGTACAGTACAGTATGGAGTCCACATGGACGCTGGCAGGGGACTGACACCTTGACCTTGTGCTTCGAAGAATGGGCGGACTTTCCCCGTATCGTCGGTGCAGATTGGCCCTCGCCAAGTCCCGAATCTATTGATTTGGGATGTACCTGGCCCTGTTCTCTGGGTTAACTGACTCGTAATATTATCATCTCATAGGCTAGGAACTTCCAATTCTTGTAACGCACGCGGAGGATCTTGGTACTATGTTTTTCGTTTCACGTGGACACAATCTCCCGATGCCATATGGAACTGCAACCAAATTCTGGGTGGAATTGAGAGGAAATCATACATGGGAGACAACCGTGCTTCAATTCAGTCGTTGATGAGTGAGTTAATGTCAGTGAGTTGATCGTCGAGACTAACCGTACCCAGAACGGACTTCATCCAAAATGGAGCGCTCCCTTCGACGCCAAATCTTATGTGTACTTCATATAATCAAAAGTAATAATTCTCTTATCAGTCATCCAGTAGGATGAGACTAACAGGGATATGCAAATATCACCCGTGAAGTCGTTGGCCATAATTGAACCCCACTGTGTCCTTCTCTGGATCGCATGTATCATTCTTTACCTTTTTTAGGCGACAGAGCCTTTGTCAATTAATATCGCGCAAGTGAATCTTGATTTTTTGAAGGGAAACCCCTTCTGGCCCCCAGGGCTGGTCTGGACAAATTAGGTACTCGGTACTTTATCCAACACAGCAAACCTTCGGCCGAAGGATGGCGATCCTCGTCTTCTACTTTTATTAGCCTTTCAAATGCGAGGCTCTGACTTTTCTAGGGGCTTGATACCCTGATTAGTTATTGTATTTGTATTACTTGTTAACCTTTTCGAGGTCACCCGGAGTAAACATCCATCCCTTGTTAGAGCCTGTCCGCCTTCTAGCCTAATAATAATTCTCCTCCGTACGCCACAACATTGAGCGACATTGAGCGACACTGAGACGATAGAACGAGAAAGTCAAAAGGGACAGCTTTATCTCTCTTGAACTTGTGGACCAGCCTTGACCTGACCTGTCAAGCGTTCGCCAAAACCAGAGTTTATCGGGCTTTACCTCCCTTCCGAAGGGCCCCGTTTTACCGGTTGGTCCACACAGCTCAGTGAAAGCTTGGACAGGGCGATCGGATCGTCTTTCTGATTTATGAAAGCACATCCGCTCTGCAAATCAATTGAATCTCCTTGTGATTCAATGAGATTGTGTCTGGGACATTGGAAATTCTGCCCCTCTTTTATTCCGTCTCTCATTCACTGGACAATACCCAATGTGATTGAAAGTACTTGAATTGCACTCCCCCACTTGTGCTGCAGCTGGACGAAGATCGAGATCGAGATTGATTTGCGCGCCTGTATCACTGCCACCGCCCTATCCTTGACCTTTCTTTTTAATCACTTGTTTTTATTGTGAATCGGTTGTTTGTTACGGCCTTACCTTCTTTGTCTTTGCCACTATGGACGGTATTCCACGGCCCAAGGAGGGTGATGTTGATATTGGTGCGTCGATCTCAGCATGATGCATCTACTTTGATGATATATTCGCGACTGATATTAATTGACAGGAACGGGCACGTTTGTTGCTTGCTGGGTATGCTATATCCCAATTTATGCAGGCGGTTTAACAGGATTGAAATTTACAAATGAGCATCTACCAATAGGTCCTTACTGGTGTTGTGGGCTTGACACTTGTATTCCGCTACGCAGTGAAGTGCTGGGTTCGTTTCGCATTGCCTCAGGTCACTGCCCCCGAGCGTGTCTGGGGCTTCGAGGATCTATTCTTCCTCGCGGGATACACTCTCGACATTGCGCATATGAGTATGATTCAACTTAGGTGAGAATACAAACTTACAGCCGGACATGGCATTGAATTGGCATTCTACGCAATGGCTCAATATGATGATCGACTAACAGTTCCCTTCGTCAGTTCACAATGGGGCTTGGGACGGCATTTTTACTACTTGTCAGGGGTGCAGCGCTTTACATCCATGAAGTATGACTTTTACTCACAGCCACTCGCCGTTTCCGCAGCCATGGTCTCACGAACAGGCATGATGTGGTTCCTGTTGACGTGCTTTGCGGCGAGCGACAAGAAGATTCGCATTTCAATTTTTGTTTGTGCCATTGTGCAGATTATCGCCAATATGGTGACGATTCTACAAATTATCTTACAGTGTGGGCCAAATCCCTACCACGTGGTTAGTATTCCCTCCTTGAATCAAGAACTCTTTCCCTTCCTTTGACTAACTCACTCTAGACGAATCGCGTGGCCTACTTCAAGTATATGTGGACTCCGCTACCCAGTGATGGATCTGTCGTTTGCCAATCTCCCAATGTCCAGACTACTGTTGGCTTTGTTCAAGGAGGTACGTCGAATGCTTGATGCAAATCGACCACGAAGTCAGAACTAATTCATTGTAGGCTTCAACACGGTCATTGACTTTATTTTGGCGGTTATTGCCGGTGTCGAGCTGTGGCAGTTCTTCCTTCGCACCCTTCACCGTGAGAACCTCTCCTTTTGGTCACAGTTCAGAAAGATCAACAGCACCGTGCGATCTCGTCGTCTGTGGCAAACCATTACTCTGTGCGGACCGCTGGTTCTCTCCGGTGCGGCCTCGATTGTAAAAACATATGTAAGTCTCCAGCCGCGATGACAAGACTTTCAAGATGTAGAGTCGCTAAATCAACGTTTTTACTTTTTAGAAGTTGAAGTCTCTCGGCGATAGACTTGACTTTACGTACAACATCGTTTCATTCATTCTCTGGGTGAAGTAAGTCAAGCCAAGTGCACACCTTCATCCCATCTATCATATCCACAAACTAACAAACCCCACAGGATTGAAAACTACAGCATCCTCCTCGCCTCCTGCGCCCCAGTCGCCCGACTCTTCCTCCGAACGATCGTCGACGCCCGACACGGCGGCCGCCTCGGCTACTGGTCCAAATCCAACTCAAACAACAACTACCCCGCCAACGACACAGAGCTCAAGAACCAACAGAGTCGAAGCAAAACCGGGTGGATGGACTCAGCAACTGCGACAGCTACGGCAACGACACAATGGCAAGACGAGGAAAGCCAGCACGCGAGTTGGGAAATTCGTCCAGAGAGGTCCTTGAACCGGAGTTCGAAAGGGTATGGGTATGGGCAGGGCAATGAGATGGAGGGTACAGATGATGGGGGTGTGACGGTAAAGACGGATATTGTGGTGCAGGTCGATGATGGGCGGTCGACGTCGAGTGGGGATGCGAGGCTTTTGCCTGGTGGTGGGGAGATGCCGGGTGGGAGAGAGGAGTATGGGTATCATGCGAGGTGAAGTATAGGGTATAAGGATGTAATAATGGTGAATATAGCTGTGGTTGATATTTCGTATATACATTGTATAGGGATCGTGGGTTTTGAGCGAGCGAAATCAGAATTTCTCCTGTGTCGATTCGTTTTTGAGTGGTATACTGAGCTTTCTAGAGGTCCCTGAGTATTAGTATCGTAGACATTCTGCTCTTGATTAAACAGCATCAAAGTTTTGTCAAAGTTATCAAGCGAAAAGCCTACCAAGAAATAACCTTTGGAGTACCCGAGGATAGATTCGACGTAAGACTAATCTGCCAATCGAATATCAAGAACGAGTATGACATCTTAGTCTCAAAATGGCAATCCAAGTAAGCTAGACGAGACTGACTTGGTAGTTGTAACCTTTGAGACTTGACATTCAAGGCCGTGAAAAGCTGAGCCTACTCGATGCACGACCGAAAAATACTTATGGGGACCATTCAAAGATGATGGTAATATTCCGCACGAAAAAATAATATACTCTTGCCAATGCTGCAAGGCGACCTAGATGGGTAAATCCTCCTAACCTCAAGATAAACAATATAGACAAGACTCCAGCAATGCAACACGAAGCAGCTCCATGAAAATGCACCCAGCTAAGTATTTTAATCCCACTCCAATCCATCAAGCATATCCCATACCCTTCCTCCACCAATTCCACACTCCACGCTTCTCCATGAAGTTCCCAAACTCCTTCACACTCCCCACCTCCGCCACCCCTATATCCAACTCTTTCTGTTCCTTCTCCTTCTCCTCTCCTAGCCCATCCTCCGGTTCCAACGCGCTAGGCCTTGTAACGAGCTGGAAATCCTTATATCGCAGTTTCCGCACAACCCCAACCCACCCCTCAACCTGCACTTTATCTCGGCCCTCGACGTACATGATGCCTGGACAGCCCCCGGAGCGCAAGAGCACGTAGCATTGGTGAACGTCAGCGGCACGTTTGAGGGCGGCAACTTTCTTGCGTGAGGTTATGTGGTGGGTGCGGATTAGGGCATTGTAGAGCATCGTCAGGTCGTGGGTGGTTGAGAGGCATTGCTAGTCGTGAGTCCGTTTGTTATTGGAAGGAGAAAGTTGGTGTGGCTTGGATGTGGCACCAGACGAGCACCGACATCCGATGACTAATCTCTACACGGTCCGGGGGCAGGTGCCCGTTGCCCGATTCCTCCACATGGTGGAGGCGAGTTCAAGTTAAAAAGTATTGATAACTTCCTTATGGGTGATGTCACCAATGTGAAGGTTAAAAAATTAGCTAAGGACGAAATTCCATCACATTGAGTTACCTTCTAATCATGTAATTATCTGTAGCAAATCTCTTCGATCAAAGGTCCGTATACCGCCATCCCTTCATTAGCAGACGGCTATTCCAAGCTTGAATGAGTCTAGGTCTCTGGGAGCCCCGTATCAACTGAAATTAAACACTTATAGTTGTTGACATGATTTGATAGAACTACATCTTGGTTGTGATCATCATTTAATATTTAGTAGAATGAGGACGTAACTGCTCTATCAGCATCTATAACCCATAGTCCGCATTGGCTATCTCACGCCCTGCAGGATTCATAAGGATCAATATGGAAAATTGCAAACCGAAAGCAGGATGAAATACTCCGAATATCTAGAAGAGTAAAAGCTGCATGACTCGAGGCCGATGCTAAGCCGATGACAAAAATCCTTGGATTTTCCTACAACTTGAGGCTCATTAGAAGGCGATCGAATCCAAACCACTTTATTGAAGATTTTGTCGACTTAGTGCAGTTGCCAAATCGAGAAGGAACATGGGGAGCGAGGGTCTGATGGCTGCACAGGCTAAACCTGAATTGGAATAAGCTACGGCTCGGACGTCATCAGCCCGGGCGCCAAACGAGTGGCATCACCCATTTGCTGATTATTAATGTCTTGGCTCTACACACATCAATATAGGACTGCATACAAGCCGCGAATTGATTTCAAAGCGCGGCGAATGGTGCAACTATATAAGTAGCTAAAATTTCCTAGGTCAAGAGGCTCATTCTATATAACTACAATTCAACAACAGTCACTTCCAAGTGTCCTCAAATTCGCAATCTCAAATTCTCAAATTCTGAATCAAATCGTCCTGAAATGGCTGCTTTCCCTACCCTCGTCTTCGGTGGAGCCACCATCACGGCCGAAGATGGAAGTTTTTCAAACGCCGAAGAGGTTTCGACTCTGCTTGAGACCCTTAAAGCTGAAGGAATTATACAGCTTGACACTGCGCAGTCCTATGGTGGTGGTACCAGTGAACAACTCATTGGCCAGGGCATGGCCAAGGGATTGTCAGACTTCCTTGTTGATACCAAGCATGTCGGAGGATGGGCTCCAGGAAGCTCATCTCGAAAGGAGATTTTTGATCGAGCAACTGCCAGCCTAGAAAGACTAAGAGTTGAGAAAGTGAGTCTAACCCAAAGAAAGAAGTAGACATTGCCTTAACCCAACCTAACCCAAACCTGTCTTTGGGTTGGGTTCAGGTCCGAAACTTCGACCCAAAGTTGGAGGCTGGCGATGTCTAGATAGGCGACTTCACGTACTAACCTTTATAGGTGAACAACTTCTATATTCATGCCCCTGATCACAAGGTGCCCCTTGAGGAAACTCTTGCTGGGATCAACGATCTCTACGAAGCAGGAAAATTCAACAACTTTGGACTATCTAACTTCAACGCCGAGGAGATCAAAGACGTTGTGCGCGTTGCGAAGGAGAATAATTATGTTCTTCCTACAGTCTACCAAGGAAACTACAGCGCCGTTGCTCGCCAGCTGGATAGTGATATCCTGCCCACTTTGCGCGAGAATGGAATTGCATTCTATGCCTACAGTCCTATTGCTGGCGGATTCCTCACCAAGACGACCGCCCAGTTGACTTCCGCCTCTGGTACTAAGGGAGAGGGCCGTTGGGACCCCAAGTCAGCGATGGGATCATTCTATCACGCTCTATACGGAAAACCTACTTTCTTTGAAGCATTGGACAAGTGGAATGCCATTTCTGAGGCGGCCGGGATCCCCAAGGCTGCGCTTGCATATCGCTGGGTTGCGTTCCATTCGGCTCTTGATGCACGACTTGGGGATGCTCTTGTCATTGGAGCTAGTAGTTTGAACCAGGTGAAACAGACAGCTGCCGCGCTTAAAGCTGGACCTCTGCCTGATGAGGTGGCTGCGCAGATCTCAGGCCTGTGGGAGATTGTGAAGAACGATGCGGTTGCTAACAACTTTGATGTCATGAGATCAACCTAGAGGTGGCTACGCTTTGTGGATGGATGGTCTTGGATCTCATGCCTTGTATATATACATTAGCATAAGCCTTTTCTTTCATTATAATCTGTATTGTCATTTTCTTCGGTAGTTACTGTTGGGAATTACGAGTACCTGTATTCTGTGGGGCAATCAATGTCGAACTAGGTCACCGCCAAGTCTATACTGTAGAAACGAAGGGTATGATGAAGCTCAAATTATTGAATTGGTACGATGTAAATTTTTCTTGTGTTGAGGAGAGCTCTCACGAACTATATATTCTGTCTCAAAGGATCCGCTTGTGGTGGGTGTTAGCGGGAATATTTGGTTGCCGAGTGATATACCTCATCAGGTAAGGAAAAAAGAAAACAATCGCATGACTGGAAATACTAAGGTTAATAGGATCGTTAAGTTGTTTGAGTACATCGGCGCCTTGTTGGCGTAATGGGCGTGTCTGCCTGAGGCCTCCAGGATGGATAACGACGGCGGCTGTCAGTTGGTCTTTGCTTCTTTTCTATTCTCCGCTCAACTCCAAAACCCATCAACTGGCAGTCTTTGAGACAGCATGGGATGACCGATGAAAAAGACTTGATATGTCATTCGATGAAACACAAATGACCATGTCTTCACAAAGAGCGGTTTTCGATGCCTTCTCGCCTGGTATTTGACCTCTGCACTATTGCACTCGCTTTTGCACCCCGCCCTGTGCATCATGGTTTTAAAATGAGCTTGACGAGTTAGCCGCCGCATTGGCCACTCCTCGCCACCAGCCATATGGTCATGGGCATGGCTATCATCGCCGGGCCTGTCAGCCCTGTCAAAGCGACATGGTTTAGTGGTTCCGATCCGCCATCCCCGCTTATCTCGACTGAAGTTTGGCTCGGTTGTGGATCTTCTCCTCTTGGCTTCCCGATTCTGCAAATCTCGCGCCACGGTGCCCGCGGGACGCGCGCACTTTCAGGATTATTACCTGCTTGTCTGCGCTTCGAAGTTCTCATGAATCGCGCTAAATAGAGACGATTTCCTGAATTGGAGAAACAATCGCAGCCGCATGGGTCTCCCAGGCCGGGACCTCGTGGCCCTCACTAACCCATGCTGCTGATTGGCTACACTCTTGAATCCGTGGGCGATGGGATGTTTAAAATCCCCCGTCATAGGTCCACTGGGTCTCTCGGTTTTTTGCAGCCTGCTTGTTGCTGCTTTTGGATTGGCTGAATTTGTTGAAGAGTCATGCGCACCGCTTGGCTTCCTTTCTGAGGTCTGGATGAATCTCGGCGGTTGGGTTTGTATAAAACTCGGTTTATCCGGCAGCCACCACTTTCGCTTTATTCTTCATATAGCAAAAGGATGCACTATCCTGTGTCTGTCTAAACCCTCCGATATCACATCCATTCCAGGGTGAAATATGCCCGCTCCTCTTCACTCCCACCCTCACACTTCCTCATTTGCTCCCACCCAGGGAGTAGTGCAATCCTCTGGGGACAATGGTCCACAGGTGCATGTTTGCCACGAGGATGAGGATGCCATCGCAGATATCCACCGGACTCTGACTGTCCAGGAGGAATATTCAGAGCCTCATTCATCATTTGACAGGTTCCTCGAGCAGGAGGTCCAAGGAGGCAAGAAGCGCTCTAACCTAGGCGTATGCTTCCAGTCAGTATCGACGTGGGGCGAAGGTGACGGTCATACCGATGTGAAAACTCTAGGAACGGCTCTCTGGCGCACATTGACGTTCCGAGATATCTATGAGTGGACTGTTCAGCCATTGATAACAACAAAAGATCCGCAGAAGGCGCAGAGGGGTCGCCAACTCATTCGAGATTTCTCTGGTGTGGTTCAGAGTGGTGAGATGATGCTGTAAGTCAAAATCCTTCCCGGGATTAGAGTATTGCAAACATTTCTGATTGATGCCAGTGTTCTCGGCCGCCCAGGAGCTGGCTGTTCAACCTTTCTTCGCACTATTGCAGGCCATCATTCCTCTTTCCTAGGGGTATCGGGCTCGATCGATTATTCTGGCTTATGTCCAGATGAAGTGAGAAAACACTATCGCAGTGCTGTCGCTTATGTCCCTGAGGATGACGTGCATTTCCCTACACTCAACGTGCGCCAAACGCTCGAATTCGCGCTCCAAAGCAAGACCCCAAAACGCTACCAGGATCGGATCCCGAAGTACTTGGAGATCTACGGACGAGTATTCGGCATGACTCACACCATGAATACACTCGTCGGCAATGAGTATATTAGAGGTGTTTCTGGTGGTGAACGCAAACGAATCTCAATCATCGAGTCGTTAGCAACTGATTCATCAGTGACTTGTTGGGATAATTCAACCCGGGGCCTCGACGCTTCATCTGCGCTAGACTACGCGCGCAGCTTACGGATTATGACCGACACCTGTGGCAAGGCTACGCTTCTCACGCTTTATCAGGCATCGGATGCTATTTACGAGTTGATGGACAAAGTTCTCCTGATCGATGAAGGTCGCATGCTCTTCCAAGGCCCCGCTAAAGAGGCTAAGGAGTACTTTGAGGATCTAGGATACGAGTTTGCCAACATGCAGACTACATCCGATTTTCTGACTAGTATCACGATCCCCGAGCGGCGGAGGTTCCGACCTGGCTGGGAAAATCGGGCTCCCAAAGGGCCCATTGAGCTTGAATATGCCTTCCGACAAAGTCAAGCGTTCAAGAAAATTGAAGCTTCGGTCGAGCAGTACGAAGACAGGGGACGCTCAACATACCCAACTGATTCGGAGTGTGGCAGCGTGGAAGAATTCAAACGCACCATGCAGGGCGATAAATCTCGCTTCGTATCGTCCAAGTCTCCCTACACAATCTCCTTATTCCGCCAAATTGTTCTGTGTTCTCAACGTCAAATGTGGCAGTTGAAAGGCCACATGGGGCCTTTGTACATCAAGCTAATTTCTGCCGTCGTGTACGGGCTACTGGTGGGCTCAATGTTCTACAAGCAGCCCCAGACTACTGATGGGATGTACTCGCGAGGCGGCGTCCTCTTCTACTCGTCTATCTTGCTTGCATGGCTACAGATGTCAGAGTTGGAAGATGCTATGCAAGGTCGTGATATTCTCAGTCGCCAGAAGAAGTTTGCATTCGTGCGGCCTAGTGCGGTTTGTCTCGCTCGAGTCATGCAAGATATACTCGTGACTTTTATCTTGACCTTCCTTTATCTGATCGTGCTATACTTCCTTTCTGGACTACGCCCTGAGGTAGGCCGCTGGATTCGATGACTCTTATGCAAGCGTTCTAACATTTTCCATACAGGCCGGTCCATTTTTCATTGACTTCCTGTTTATCTACACATGTACAGTCTGTCTGACATCTCAGTTCCGTGTGTTCGCTGCTATGTCTGGGAATTTCGAGGTCGCATTGCGTTACTGCGGTGTGTCTGTGCTGTTCTGCATTGTCTTCGGTGGATATGTTCTGTCAGTGGACAAGATGATCCAGGACGTTCCGTGGGTTGGATGGCTCGCCGTAAGTTTGGATTCCAATCTATAGGAAGGATTTTTTAACAACTCGACTAGTATACGACCCCTGCGCTATACACTTACGAATCTGTGATGGCTGCCGAATTCCACAATATGAATTTCACCTGTGCTGCATCTTCAATTGTCCCATCAGGCTCAAACTACACGAATGTTGCATATCAATCCTGCGCATATGCGGGAAGCAAGATTGGTAGCATTGTGGTCAACGGCGATGACTATCTAGCGGCGCAGTTTGGATTCTACTATAGCCATGTCTGGCGAAACTTTGGTACGTGACTCCCCAACGGGAGCGAAAAACAATCTTAATAACATGATCTGTAGGTATTCTCTGTCTTTTCATCGTCGTCTTTATTGGTCTCACTTGCTGGCTGAGCGAGGTCATGGAGTGGGAGCTGGACAGCGCAGGCCCGATTCAGTACAAGCCTACCAAAGGCTGGTTCAAGCGGAACAAGACGGTCGACAAGGACGACGAAGAGAGGAGCCCTGTTCCTGCAGACCCACGGGCAGCTCCAGCCGGCCTCACAGAAAATAGTCCTCAGCAGTTTTTGGCAGTGACAGAATCCACATTCACATGGGCCGACTTGGAACTGAACGTGCAGATCGGGAAGGAGACTCGGAAGCTGCTGGATGGAGTGTGCGGATATTGCAAACCCGGTTCTCTGACAGCCCTTGTTGGTGCATCGGGAGCTGGAAAGTCGACGTGTACGTCTATACAGAAACTGTATGCTAAGGATGATGGCTAACGATACATGCGGTCTAGTGCTGACTGCCCTCACACAACGGCAGAGTGCGGGAGTCTTGACAGGCTCTCAGTATGTTGATGGCAAACCTATTGATGGATCTTTCAACCGACAGATTGGGTACTGCCAACAAATGGATATCCATGACGAAAGTAGCACTATCCGCGAAGCCTTTGAATTCTCAGCCTTGCTCCGACAAAGCCATGACACCCCAAAGGAAGATAAGCTGGTATACGTGGAAACCGTGTTACAAACACTGGATCTAGTTGAGCTGCAGAATGCGGTCATTGGATCGTTGGATATTGAAAAGAAGAAGCGTGTCACGATTGGGGTGGAGCTTTGTGCCCGGCCCAAGCTGCTACTCTTCTTGGACGAACCAACCAGCGGACTGGATAGCCAGGGTGCGACTAGCATCGTGGCTTTGCTTCGGCGACTGGCAAATCAAGGTCTAGCTGTGCTGTGCACGATTCACCAGGCGAATCAGCAGCAGTTTGAAGAGTTCGACCGTGTCCTGGCCCTGAGTCCCGGCGGAAAAACTTATTACTTCGGACCCGTCGGTGAATCTGGAGCAGTGATTTTCCATTACTTCAAGAAGAATGGCCATGTTCCGCAAAACGTCACTAATGCTGCCGACTTCCTCATTGAGGTGGTTGTCGGCGGCATGAAGGCCTCTAGTGACAAGATCGACTGGGCCTCGGTCTGGCGCAACTCACAAGAAGCTGAAGATGTCAAGAACGAAATCGCCAAAATTCGCTCTCACGACAGGCATGAAGCTCTGGCCGCTCCACGCCTGCCGCCTCTGTATCAGCAGATAGTCCTCCTCACCCAGCGAACGTGTCGCCAATTTTGGAGAACGGCCGAGTACCCGTACTCGCGACTGTATTCGTCGTTCTTGCACGCTCTCATCAACGGACTTACATATCTCCAAATCGGGAACAGCACAACCGATTTACAATCTAAGGCCTTCTCTTGTTTCCTGGTTCTCATGCTGGTGCCCGAATTCATCAACGCCATCTCTATGAGATTCATCATGAACCGCGATATCTGGCTGGCAAGAGAAGGGCCCAGTGGAGTGTACGACTGGATTGCGTTCAGCACCGCGCAGATCATCTCTGAGATTCCGTATACAATTGTCGGCGGAGTCATCTTCTACGTGTTGTATTACTTCATGGTCGGGCTGCCGTTAGGTTTCGCGGCTGGGTATAGTTTCCTGATGTTCTTCATGTTCTTCCTTTTCGCTACATCGTGGGGACAGTGGATTGCTGCTTTGAGGTAAGTACTTTTAAAGTTCCTTCTATTAAGTTTTGCACACTTACAACATGCCCAGCTCCGACTCCATGGTCGCCGCAACCCTGATGCCATTCTTCATCATCATGTGTGAGCTTTTTAACGGCATACTTCGACATCATGACCAGATGCCCGCTTTCTGGAAGTACACCATGTATTACGCCACGCCTTTCACGTACTGGATCGGCGGTGTGCTAGCAGCCGTCCTCGGTGGCACACCCGTGATCTGTAGTGAGAGCGAATTGACCCTCTTCGAAAGCCCGCCGAACATGACCTGCGGCGAGTACGCTGGCCCATGGCTCTCGAAACAGGGTGTGGGGTATCTGTCCAATGAGAACAGTACTGGCACTTGTGGATACTGCCCGTACAGCTGGGGCGATGACTACTTGTCCGGCATCGGGCTGGATGACTCGAAGATCTGGCCATACTTTGGCATTTTCCTCGCCTTCACGGTCACCAACTATTTGATGGTGTATTTGCTTGTTTATGTTCGATCGGTCATGAAGCCATTCTGGCGATCGAAGTGAGAAGTTCATCAGCTACGTTACATATGACTCACCTAGATAGTGCAATCTATGTTTGGCCTTGGCATCAGTAATTCCCCGAGCTGAAAGTTGTCCGGGAAGGATACATAAAGCCATGGGTACTCAATACATGGCTGGCTGAGCCCCCAATCTGGTAAAACATAAGGCCCTAGTGTAAGCCCGAAATAATAGTAACCTCATAATAGACAAACATCCTTAGCCTCATTTACCAATCCGGTAACTTCTTATGGCGCAAACCCGTGTTTGCCCCCACCAGAATCTTCAGCCCAAGGCTGCCTGAAGTTCGGGAGGCGCTATACTGAGAAGGTTCTTCCCGTCTGCGGGGAAGCGGGGGCCACTAACCTTGCACCAACCACGTAGTGCACCAAGGTGTTTTTCTGAATTCTAGTACCTTTTTCCTGTGGTCGGTCGTTACTTCATTAGTTGGAATTTATCACCTGATGAAGCGGAAACCCTCCTGCAATGATCCTGGGTACATCACTTTCTGCTGCAGATTAGAGGGACTTTTCAGCTGGCCACCATATAAGCTTTATACTTCATATTTAGAAATCGACTGCAGAGCTGAAAGTGACAGATGCGTGATAGAAACCGGCTTAATAACATTCTGCTTTTCAAGTTTTTGCCTCCCCAAAACACAACGTTCGATTAAAGTCAATGTGGGACAAGGTAGTACGAGTAATATGGTAGGTAGTTCCACTATGAAAGAGTGTGCTTTGAACCTTTGCGGTAAGTTCCGGATGTATATACAAAGAAGTGAGATGAGAGAGATCCAGGGGTATTCCTGCAATGCTACGTTATGTAGCAAGCCAATCCGGGACAAGAAATTGGTCGGTTCTAGCCAATTTGAGCTACAGAATAGACAGGGGGAGCAGTGTGCTGACCTCGTGTTTAATGTAGTTGCGTGAGTCTCAAAGTACTTGCAGATCATAATCCATAACCTATAGGTGTCCCCTTTATTGTGGGGAGAGGGTAATATTGCATCTAGGCTGCCACCGGTCTTCCGAATAATCCTATCTTGCTAAGCCCGGGGCCTGGCTTTGCTACCAAGGCTTAAGTCAAACCTATTGAGGATGTCCATTTTAAATATACCAAAGGCTGATGGTCTATCAAGATAGGATCTGGATAGCTTAGCTACTGGACATTACCTCCAGGCTTCAATTTTCAGTTCTTCTGTCCTGATAGCCAAGATTTAGGTCCATTGAGTGGATTACGAGCGGGGATATAACTTCTATTCGGCGGAAATGGCCTCCCTGGTATCGGTCAAGTCCGGCGTCATGCAACTCTGTCACAAGAGTATCACAACCCGTTTGTTTGTTCGAGTGTCAAATCCTCTTTGATTCTATTTGTATCGCTGCACAGTAGGTGTATACGAGCGACGCTAACGCAGCTTATTCACATATACAGGCAGCCACAATCAGGCCAGGCCACTGGAGTTCCAACTTTGAGTTGGAGACGACAAGGACAACGAGCTCGCGAAACTATTTAAGGATCACTCATTCAACCTCTCGAGCAACCAGGAAATCACAGACATTCTCTTCCCAACAAGATTATTCATACAACCACCGAACAGATATGTTCAGATACGCGCACCTTTTTGTCCTTGCGGTTGCTGTCATGGCTGCTGCTATTCCAATCTCCGATGCGCTCAATGCGAGAGCAGCAACGTCCTCTCTCAACCTACCCTTAAGCATTGTCCCCTGGCGGCGTGCCTATAACCCATCTATTCAGGACCATTTCTACACTCCCGATCTCAATGAGTGGAACAACGCTGTCAACACCCTCGGGTACTCAGCTGAAGGCATAGCATGTCAAATCCATTCTACTCAGCAATGGGACACCGTCCCATTCTATAGGATGTACAATCCGTCAATTACCGATCATTTCTACACCACATCGGAACCAGAGCGAGAGAATGCAATTCAGAATTTGGGATATTCGGATGAAGGCATCACGGGCTACATCTACCCAGAGCCTTGCGCATTTACAGTCCCACTGTACCGTCTCTACAACCCGTCAATTACCGATCATTTCTACACTATATCCGAGGCGGAGAGAGATAACGCTGCTACAAACTTGGGGTACTCCAAAGAGGGTATTGCGGGTTACGTATTCCGTCCAAACTAGCCAAGGCTATGTTTTTGCTGTGAGGGAAGTGGAGAATCTATGAACTATTGCTGAGATAGGAGGAACCTGGTAGTTATGGTTCCCTAGGGGAAGTCATTTGGGTTCTCTAGGCCATTTGAATTGTGTTGAAATGAACTGTCTACATTCTCAGAAACTGTTTTCTACGCCGGAACCGAGACATTTGATTCGTTAAAATGTCTAATTCGTATTGTAGCTGTGAAGGGCTGAAGTTAATTTGATTCGATATAGCTAGGCCACGAACTATTTACAGTAACTTTGCAAACAAAGCCCAGGGAAAGCGGTCATCCCCAAGAGACCTGTTATGGTGGCCCGCATAGCATAGCTCCGAGAATTTGGGACTTATAGATCCGACTTTTCAATCCCCTATTGACTTACTGTTGAATCTTATAATGGCAGAGGACTTCTTTAAGTATGTACTTTTGGTGCATTCATTCAAGCTACTGTGATAACATAAACCATACATAATTAGTAATTGAGTACCTCACTTGTCGTACATATCAATACACACAACCAAAACCAGCAATCTATTTCCCACAACAGCCGTTTAGTACGCATAACGGAAGGAAGGATTCTCGCGATCCGTGAGACCAGCCCACTTGGTCTCATCTACCATAGCCTCATTAACGGGACCCTTGACCTGATCCCTGCGACGGTTCTCCCACTTATAATATAAGAAGAGCACAACCGAAAGCACAGCCGCGGCAGCTTGAGTTGCGAGAACCGCAATCTTAGCAGGTCTGTACTGCGGAGCATCACGCGCCTGGAAGGTCTGGGGGCCGATGATATTGCCAATGGAAAAGGAGCCGGCGACGAGGGCACTGGCGAAGGCACGTTTAGTGTGGCCTGCAGTGTTTGCCATGGTCCACTGGTAAAGGATGGGAAGCGTGGCGACGATCGCGTTGACCAGATAAATGCCAATCAGCACACCAGCCTTGTTGTTCTTTGGCAGGAAAGAGAGCAGACCTCCACCGATGATACCGGGAATTGTGCAGAGAACATTCCAGGCCCAGCGGTGCGAAGTCTTGCGGATACCGAAGCCGACGAGGAGAGTAAAGAAGATGCTCACAATACCGGCGGGGGTGTTAAGGAGGGCGGAAATAGGACCCGAGAAACCGAAGCCGGAGATCAAGGTTGCGGAGTAGGTAGTCACGACACCACTCGATACAGAGATCTGTGGAGAGATTAGCTCTAGTGCCGTTCAATTTGATGGAGAAGAGGGTGCGAACCAGAATAGTTGTTAAGGTCAAGAGCCAGAGCTGGACATCGCAAACAGCGTCCAAGATTTGCTTCAGATTCAGGGTGGTGCTCCACACGCCAGTCTGGTTCTCGCTGACGTGCTGCAGGAGAGCGACCTTCTCGTCCTCCGATAGCCACTTAGCCTTGATGGGGGTGTCGGGAATGAAGAAGAAGGTCAAGGTGCCCACCACGGCAGTGATCAGTCCCAGAACGAGGAACATGATACGCCATCCCTCCAGAGACGCATGGTGAACGTGCTGGAAGGCGAACGAGATGATACCACCCAAGATCTGTGCAACACCCAGACCCATGTACCAGAAGGTAAATCGAGGAGCCTGTTCACTGCGTGTATAATACTGACTGCTCAGCAGCATCAAGGATGGACCAATGGTGGCCTCAAAGATACCGAGGAAGACTCGGGCGACCAGCAAACTGCGGTAGTCGCTAGCGCCAGCAGAGGCAGCCGCAGCGACACCCCAGAGGAAGACGTTTCCTCCCAGCCATTTAGCTGCGGGGACTTTCTGGAGACAGTAGACTATAAGCTGGGTCAGTTTCTGGCAATCACCGCGGTTGTAGAAACATCTTTTCCTTGCTAGAGAAGGGGGTGATACGAACCATTAGGGACCTCGGCGATCAGGTACGCGATGAAGAACCATGTCGCAGTGTTGGAGAACTCGTTGCCGACCAGCTTAAGGTCCTTCTTGATTCCCATCACCGCGGCATACTATAGAAACGAGCAAGGGTCCCATGTCAGCAAATTCTCTTCAATCAAAACAAGATCATTGGTTCAGAGCCGGAGGAGCCGCAAAACACGTACATTCAGCATGACCTTATCCAGGAACTGCAGCACATAGCAGCAGAACATGTAGGGCAACAACCGCCGATCGATCTTGCGGCGCAGAGCCACCAGATCCACGTTGGGGCGCACATCACTATGGCCCTCGAGATACACCACAGCATCATCATGTCGATCGGCGTCCCCCATATGGGTCACGGCTTCGGTCTGTTTCTCGCCCATCACCACAGAATAATAATAAGCTCTAGTCGCGAAAGAACAAAGGAAAGAAGGGGGGGGAAAGCAGAACAAAAGGCACAGAAAACCAAAGTCAACAAGACTAGAAACTGGAATGAGACAACAAAGTTAAAGTCTCAAGAAAATAAATAAATAAAATAGCACTAAAGCGAAGAGAGAAGGAGACACGGAGACAGATTTGGGGGCGGAGTGGAAATAGCTTGGCTGCAACGTGCATTTAACGTGCAACAACCAATTTTGAAACATAACCCACTCAGCCAACCAGCCAGCCAAGATTCACCACGGAAGTACAGCAGGAACATACTAACTACTACATGTATATTAATGAGCTCCGCTGACAGATAAGAAAGGCCCAGATGGAATCCTTCCGTGGCTGGAGTCACATCGCTCGGTTAAGTCTTGCCAGAGTGGGGGAGTAGTCAGGAATAGGGTTTTAGCGATGCGATAGATGCAGGAGTCGTCCTTAGTTCGCTGCATCTCGACCCCATGTCCCGATTCGTCGCGGCCACTCGCCAGAACAAAACTGGGTTCATCTCGCGTATCAGGAGCTGGCCGGGCATATTCCAGAACCGGGGATTGCCGCGAGATAACTGATCGAAAGGATGAGTGGCCAGCCAGAGATTGCAGAGACGAATCCTGCCTACGGCAAGGGGGAAAAGGAACTAGTAGAACTTTCCAAGTGCCTCTCTATCGCTTACAGTGGTTAATTGGCTTATTTCCATTCATCCGGAGAACCAGATAGACGGGCCCAGTGGATGAGCCATATTCCCGAAAACGAATTATCTCCTTAACCTAGGAAGAAAGAATCACCGTCAAGGCGACAGACTTTTCCTCAAACGTACTTCTCATATCCACTCTGTCTTACTTTAGAACATGGTCAAATTATACTTACTTCACCAGATCAACCACGCAGAATATTAATGCAGCCGGGGTGTTTTCCACGTGGAATCCTGGTTCTGCTTTCAATGTTCTAATCCTTCCCTGTCACCTTGACGAACGTCGCTCTTGACATCTCCCCGCGACAATGGGTTGGGTGTATAATGCCTCGCCTGAGGTCGAGGCGGCGTCGCAGTACCCAGTGATTCTCGGCGTCTGCATAAGTCTGACAATCTTGATGATTATCACAGTCTGTCTGCGTTTGTACGTGCGGGCACAGGCTAGTCGACTGGGGTCTGCAGACTATGTGATGGTCGTTAGCATGGTAGGTGAATTCTGGATCAGACGACGACTATACAGTGTGTGGCAGCAGTGACTAACGGTAACTGCGGGTCAGATTTTCAGTATAATCTACAGTTCATTATGCATTGGTCGTGAGTATTGTTCGGGCATTTCTTGTGATACATCGTTCTAACTCTACCATCAGAAAGTCGATATGGACTCGGATTACCGGTGTTACTGCGGCCGAAGCCTGACCTTGCTACCTATACCAAAGTAAGAAGACATGATCTATTGCTCGTATGCCAGACACGAACTAATGAACCCAGCTCAACTATGCAGGTCGACCATTTTACCAGCTCGGTATCGCCGGATTCAAGGCCTCCCTTTGCCTCAGTTACCTGCGCCTCATCTCAGGCACCTCGATGAACATGTATCGGATACTGATATGGGCGGTTATCGTGCTGTGTACACTTGGCCACATAGCAGGTGCTCTGGTTCTGATCTTCAACTGCACGCCGGTATGAGACGCGACATCTACACCTACGCATCAATGATGCTTGATACTAACATTCCATTTGAATCAAATAGGTCAGACGTGCATGGGATTTCTCAGTGCATGGCCATTGTCTCCCCGTTGGCCCTACATTTTACGGTCTCGCCATTTTCACGATCGTCTGCGATGTCGTGATCATATTCCTTCCAATCCCGCTACTCCTTCACCTGAGCATCAAACCCGCCCAAAAGGCAGGTGTCGTGTGTCTATTCCTGCTCGGCCTGTTCACGACGATTTGTTCCATTCTCCGGCTCACCCAGATCCACCGGGTAGCCTTTGGCGATGGAAATTCTACGATGCTGGTTCTCTGGGGAACTATTGAATTCAATATCGGGGTAAGTTTCCAGACGATCCCCAAGCACCACCAGCACATGCAAAAAAAAGCAAACCTGCCAAACCTAATCGGGGCCAATCCTTGACTGACACAAATTTCTTAGAACATCGTGACCTGTGTTCCCTATCTTGCCCCTCTTCTTCGAGGCTTTGTTCGCGACTTCCGATCGACCAGCGGCCCGAAGTACTACGATACCCAAGGAAGAAGCTATGCCATGGAGAATTGGTCCAAGGATCCGCGCTCGCATCTGCAGTCGAATGCATCTGGGCCGCCCGTGCCACGGCGATCCCCGAGCGAGGAACTGATTCTGTCGAGCCGTGAGCCATCGCATGGTGGGATTGAAATGACGGTCGAGTATTCAGTATCATTAGAGAATGAGCCGGAGAAGACTCCCAGGTTACGGTGAGCGTGCGTATGTGTGTATAGTCGGTTGTCAATATACAGGACAGGATATCAAAAATTGTGCATAATATTGGGTTAATTTTGGCAGCGTTTCATTCATTGTTTCCTTCGATCTATCCCGCGGCGTTCGTTCCAGTCTCCCAGCGCTCTCGATCGCATCGGCGTGGCATTTATCCAAGAGCGAGTGGTAATAGGGGTGCAGGAAGCATATCTTCGAAGTATACTCCGTATTTCACAACCAAACCTTCGGAGGAGACACCCTTTCTCCTCCACTTTTCCGTCGTGAACATAGAATAACGCAAAGCGGGAAATGCTCGGCAACCAGCAAATCCAAGGGAATTTCTCCGTGCAGGGATTATTATTCCCTCACAAAACTCTGTCGGATTCCCGAAATCCCAATGCATACATAATGTACGATCCTTCACGACGCTAGACAAGGATATCGCGCCACGCCAAACTCTCGTTCGGGTGTGCAGCTCCGGTGAGCGTACCCATTCGGGTGGGTCCGGGAGATCCTCCAGCAGCGCCATTGATATGCGATGCAGGGTGACTGGACGAGCTGGAAATTGGGTTGGCGCCGTCGGAAGGATGGAGTCGATCTTAGTTGCTTCGGGCCGGGTGGGTTTCAGGGCGGCGGAGTCCGCGGGTTGATGGTTAGGAGGGGCTGTTCTAGTTTGCGACGAGAATCGTTTCTATTGTCAGAACTCAATTTGAGAAGCCTTGGTAATAGATGCTAGACGAATTATGATCAGGATAGAATTTGGAATTGTATTGGTCTTTGGAAAGATCTCCTTTGTGGGTTGGCAAGAAGCTTGCATTAACCGCGTCGGCACACTAATTTTGGCCGAGCCTAGCCTGTGGTCCCTGATTGAGACATAATCTGCACTAGTTTACGCCTAATTCTGCCCAGTAATACCGTTGAATATGACTAACGCCTGGGCTGGCTAAGCTGACTTCTTGGTGGATGGTGTATTTCTATGTGTGATTAGGCGCCAGAGTTCCTTCTGAACTCGCTAAGTGCATCCGAAATTTCGAATCCTCTGAACCAAAGTCCTACGCAAGCTTAACTACGCTACCCTCCGATGCTGAAGCTTTTTTGCACAAGTGACAATAAGATGATGACACCGTAACGAAGTATTTTGCAATCATTTAGTGAATCCTTCAGGCGCCACGTATTTATTTTTCCGAGACATGCTCTAGAGTGTTCGGGATATTGGGAAAACGAGTACGGAGTATCCTGGTCAATATTACCCGCTACAGACTGCAGAAGAACAAGGGGGTTGAAGATACAACATTCCAGAAGACCTGCCTCACGTTGATTCGCCCGGGTTTCGGTCGCAGGATACGAGGTTATACTACCTGACAAGCCCACTGAAAAAGCCACAAGCGATCCCGAGTCCCTGTCCCAAGCTTCTCCTTGTCGCACACTGCCCGCCATGTCTGACACCCCAGTTCTGATCGTTGGCGCTGGGATCAGCGGACTTGTTTTGGCTCAGTACCTCCAGAGTCAAGAAGTGCGGTTTGAGATCTTCGAGAGCGACTCCGCCCTTGATGCTCGCACGGGCGGATGGGGACTTACTCTGCATTGGGCACTGCCTGCCCTGCGCGCGCTTCTCCCGCCACAGGTGGTGGAGCGTTTCCCGGATACTTTTGTGAATAAGGAGGCCTCTGCACGCGGGGACGTGGGGAGCTTTCAGTTTTTCAACCTTAAATCTGGAGAGTCGCTGTTTAGTGTACCTGCAGAGGAGCGCATTCGTGTGAATCGGGGACGGCTGCGAGAGCTGCTCACCTCTGGAATTGACGTTCGAGTACGGTTCCACTCTATGATGATGTGATATATGTGTAACGAGGTCAAATACTAACATCGCCACAGTGGGATAAGAAATTGAAGAACATTGAATCAACTGCCGACAATATCACTGCTCATTTCGAGGATGGCTCATCCTATACCGGCCGCCTGTTGGTCGCGTCTGACGGAGCTCGATCGCGCGCCCGCCAGATCTTGTATCCAGATGGATGCCAGATGAATTCACTCCCGGTACAGCTTCTGGGAGCGTCACCTCTGTACACTGCAGAGGATATGGGTGGAGCGCAGTCCATCGACCCCTACATCTTCCAAGGGTCGCATCCTGATACGAATGTGTTTCTTTTCTTTAGTTGTATGTTTTCGTGAAGAGAGGTTCCACGATCGGAGTTCTGACAAAGTTACAGTCCTGGATACTCCCAACAACTTTGATGAAAGCAGCAAGGACCGGTATCATGCTCAGATCATCGTCTCGTGGGCCGATTCAAAGGGCATCGCTGTGCCAAAGGAGAATGCCGAACGCATTGCCCTTATGAAGCAACTGACTGATAACTGGGCTGAACCATTCCGATCCCTGGTCCAAAAGCTTCCAGAGGACGCGGAAGCACGCTCTATCCGTATCGAAGACTGGATGTTCACTCCCAGTCACACTCATGATCACCCTCGTGCAGTACTGATGGGGGATTCCGCGCATACCATGACCATGTGTAAGTTTGGCAAAGCAAACAAACTCTTTTCGAGAGCAAAGGTGATGCTGACCAGTGGGTAAATATACCTAGTCCGTGGTGAAGGTGCCAACAATGCTATTGTTGACGTTCAGGATCTGATCAAGCATGTGGATTTGAAGAACCCCGAGTAAGAGTTTGTAAAAGACAGGAAACGAGGTGCTATGTTCTAACAAGGCTAACAGATCCTTCAACTCCGATGCACTGTCAAGATCCCTTGCCGCATACAAAGAAGATATCTTCACTCGCGTTGAGCCTAGCTTCCTTAATTCTCGCCAGGCATGCCTAGATGCCCATGACTTTTCAAAGATTCTGGCAGGAAGTCCACTTGTTGCAGCAAGAGTGCTGAAAAAGGAGAAAGAATAATTGCAACAAAGGGTTCGGACATTCGGCTTACGTTCATGTTGTAGCATTCCGTATACATCTTGATCTCGACATTAGCCACATCCATACAAGCTGATTCATTCACCATTAGAAAAGTATACCAGAATATCATCCCAGAAGTCCATTTCTACTGTGCTCCACAATGATCCTGGACGAAGAAGAGCCATGCCAGAGCCATCCTCCCAGTGCAGCTGGTGTGTTGGAGAACCTGCACGAGCCGCAATAGCCTGATCCAACGCGGCTGGGTTCGAAAAGCTTCACCAGCCGCAACAGGCAGCCTCCACCGCCGCTTAGTCGTGCTTAGTCGTCGCCCCCCTCCTTCTTCATGAGGCTTCTGTTGCTTTCGCGATTGTTGACGTGTCTTCCATTCTCCCATCCTCTTCTCACCTCCCATCTTCCTACTCTTCACCTCGACATAAATTTGTCTCATGAACACCCCGCTGTCCTCATCAACCTCCACCATGACGACTCGACTCTCCATCGAGGACGTGGCCGAGGAAGTCTTCACCTCTGAGATCGCCAAATACACCGAATATGGCATTCCCGTAGGAACTTACGTTCCTGACTCTGAGCTTGCCCCCTCTCGTGCAACCAGTAAGGTCATCCTTCGCCACCGCCGCCTGGTTTTCTTCACCTTCGACGAGCTGGGAAATCCCAAATGGGAATCCCGCGAGATCAACTACCTTGGCGAGCCGATGCGCGATATCTGTCCAGGAGTCATCTTCAGTGCGCGCAACTGCCGCCAGAACAGGAACACCGATCTGTTCGTCGAATTCAGGGACCTGAAGGGCGAGGCCTTCGAGCGCGCTGCCTTCAAGTACCTGGCAAAGAAGCACCACCTCAACGAGGACTGGAATTGGCCTTCTTACAACATCATGCGTGCTGAACCATACCGCCGTGTCCTGCGCCAGATTCAGGCCAACCGCCTGGAACAAGGTCAATACCCCGTCCCGACCTTCAAGCGCCATGGTGTCGACGATGTCCAGGGCCGAGAGGAATTCATGAAGCGTCTGGAAAGTATCAGGGATTGGGAGATGGAGAACCAATACCTGATTACAACTCGATGTGACGCCAACAGCCTCGAGTATTCCCAGGAGCGCTTCCTGCTCGCCTCCCGAACCGTCGACCTGATCCAGAAGCTGCTGCACGACACCCAGATTGCGTGCATTTCAGGCCTCAACGACCCTCCTCCTTATGCCACACCTAGCCCAACCAAGCCCGGCAATCCAGAGGAGACTCCGAAATCCATTGTCTCACCATTCACGACTCCAAACGTCCCATTCTCGACTTTGGTTAATAATCAGCAACCCGTGTCAACTCCGACCCTGAAACGAACCCTTCAACGCGCGTTTGGAATGGATGTTTCCGCCAGTGACCATACGCAGTCACTTCAACAGCCCAGCGAGGCTGCTCAACCAGTCCAAGGATTCCCCGGACGCACTCTGAACTATGGCACTGGATCCCTCGGAGGCGAAATGGCATGGATGGCTCAACCCACCTCCGGTTCCCAGATGGCTGCCACACCATACTGGCCCCAACCCAGCCCTGTGGACCAGACGGCCATGGCTCCGTGGCACCCTGCCCACCACAGCACTGGATATCCTGGAAGCTCGGTGAGCATGTTCATGCGCGGTGCTACCATCAACCCTCAGGATGTCCATAACCGAGCCGAGAGCTCGCACGTGTCGAGCATCGTCATTCCCATTGATGAGAATCAGCGGATTCACATCGACGTCTCTCGAGAGGGAGTCTCGCCTCTGGATAGTATGTATCCGGGGGAGCCCAGTCTGTAGTCACTGCCGTTTTTGTGGCTTGTCTTGAGGACTGAGTGATTCGTGAGCAGATGGCTTTTCATAATGTAGGATCGAAAAAGAAAGGCCTTACTTGTGTGAATATTGTCAGATTCTGAAAGGAAATGTGGAGGAGTCTCATTTAGATGGCAGTCAGCAGATAGTAGTCAGAAGACGGCAGTCAAGAGACAGCTGTCAGAATGAGATATCTTCTTGATTATTTCCGGATTTACAACTGTAGACAAACATACATAGGGTGAAGTGTAATTTGAAAGAAAACGCCTGCGGATATACAAACGATTCATGCGCCCATTGAAGAATTGCTAACAGTGTCATGCCTCACAGAGCAGTCTTTATCTCAATCGCGGTCTCTCAGTGGTAGCATTTTCAAGGCACTTGGTTCTGGATTCTCTGCTTCTCATATAGCGCAAACTGCCTTTGGGCTAGCCTCTTAGTGACAAGAAGATTCGTGCAGGATTGAAACATGCCAATGACACCTGCCAGCAGAACCATAATCAAGGGTCCTAGTATTGCAAAAATGGTAAACCCCCATGATGCATTTTGAAAAGATTCATTCGCACCCAGGTGACTAGTTGCTAATCCAACCTGCATCGCTGTCAAGACTAGCGCAATATAGATGGTTGCCGCAGTTAGCGGGCCGAGGTAATCGAGGAATAGCTCCCCGGATGTCTGATAGGTGAGCTGATAGGCTCTTAGAGGACTTCTGTAGATGAAGGAGTAGATGAAGTTGAGCTCTGACAACCTCAGTTCGCCATAGAGATACCGGGGATTGATGTTGGCTAGGTTTGTGGCTCCGGAATCTAGCAGTTCGTGTGTTAACCGAAGCCATTTCTCCCAGGTGATATCCTTTGGAAGGAGGTGATGATCATGGGCAATAGCCAGATCACACTCAAAGCGAACCAGAGAGACATAAGAGTACAGAAGCCCATGTGCACACTTGTAAATGTCCTTGGTACATTTCGTGGTTGGGTCACTGGCGACATGATTGCCCTGGTCGTTTCCACAACACGGTCCTTCGCAGGTCATCAAATGTTCGACCCAGAAATCAACATCCAAAAGATATCGTGGAAGAGGCTTAACATGCAACCGTTGAGAACTTTCCCAGACTAAGTGCATGTCAATTCTCTGGTCGGCGACGATCTGACGGGATGTAGCGAGTTGATAATTCAGGGGCTTAGGAGGCATCGGTCGGCCTGCCAGCCATAGGTATTGGTGAATATGATTGAGCCTGTCTATACATAGATCCTTTTTCAAAAAGTTTGGAATGTCATCTGCGGGACGAATGAGAAGATGTTGTGATGTTTGGGAGGAGGCTGGTAAGAGACGAGATGCGGGGTCGAGATCATGTGTGGAGGTGAAGGTCTCCTTGCTGAAAGGTAAGGCTGGTGACATTATCAAGATGATGACCAAAGTATTCTTTTAGCACGAGACTGGCTTTTAGAGGTATATAGAAGGTAAGGGGAGAGAATAGCATGCTGATTGACCGTGGCTGGATCGGCTTCCCACCTCGTATTCGGCACGTGCTTGACAAAAAGGCATAAACTTAAACTAAGACTAGCATCTCCTCACAACTCCAATGATAATGAAATAAACTTAACGTATGGTGCTAGCATCGTGGTGCTAGTATCGGTGGTTGGTGATGATCGAACAAGTTAGATAGCCCGTGTGTCTGGAATGCGTGTTTGGACACAGTCCCGGGCCTCAGGCACCAATGTGTGAATAACCTCATGTTGAGGTATATTATAACAATCCATCCTATTCGGGAAAATTATGCAAAAATATAAGCTTGGCGGGACTCCCATAGGCGAACTAAGGGACTTGGTCCCGTGGAAGTGGGACTAAATTTTACTAGTCCCGTAGGAGATGTCAATGTCTATTGCTGGGTAGATTCCCATAGAGCTTTCTCGTGTACCGCGCTGGTAGGCCACCGTCTATCTTTCGTAGGTGAGCACCCTTAGTGCTTGTCTTACACTCTTATCCCCACTAGGCATAGCTTGTGCTACTGACAGTGCCCACGGCACTGCTGGCACAGGAAGCGAAGAGAGAAGAGGGAGTCTGAGTCAATTGGTCTATCTAGAACAGGATGACGAAGACGACTAAGAGAAGAAGAAGAAGAAGAAGAAGAAGAAGAAGAAGAAGAAGAAGAAGAAGAAGAAGAAGAAGACAGGAAAGGAGGAAGGCCTATAAAGGCCTAAAGCACAAAGGGAACGAAAAGGCCTGGACCTGGCAGGAAATCCCCGGCCTGCTTAATACAGGGCCAAAGAAGACGACAAACCCTGCAAACCCTCGAGGTCAAAGGGATCGAATCATCAGCTACGGACAAACGCGTTCTCCCTTGATAGTAGCGGTCGGAAGGGGTGGGTACGGCGGACTTTTGGGTTGACCCTGCCATAACGCTATTTATCAATCAAGTCGGTTCACCTCTTCCGTTGCTGCCCTGGCCGCCCTGCTTATCGAATATTTCTCTCTTGTTAGTCCCCGAATCCCTGATGCACCCTAATCTCCCTAAGCCACACCGACCATCATTCAGTATGGCTTACTGCAGGCTCGTCACAGACACGCTGGCAATCTCTTCTGCAGCGTCATTTACTAGTGTTATGCATACTAAAGCGGCATTTTCGAGGGTCGTCACACTGTGACTTTCGAGGCTTGGCCGAGCGGGAGCGGAGGAGGATCTGTGGAGTCGTGGGTATCGTGGGTATTTTAATCAATCATCCCTATTCCATTACTATCAATACTATATCACTTTCTGATTTTTGATTTACCCAGTAAAGATGGTACGCCCTCAGCTTGATTTAAATCCTTTTAAGGATGTGATTACTGCTCTTTTCCATCAGCAAAAGACTGTCGATACTATCTGTCACGAGCTTACCCAGTGATATTCAACCAATCTCTCCTGCAGGACCCTCGCACGGCGCCTACAGAATGGGGTCTACACCGTCTATCCCCAAAGACGGTCGACAGTGAGGCCTTATGCCAGCGTATTCAGTCACTTGTTCGCGATAATCTCTCTGATGCAGAGATACTACGAAGTCTACATAACGAGGGGTTCCAAATCGCCCATGATACTCCAAAAAAAGCGACGACAACAGCTTCGTCTTCCTCGTCGTACGGATAATCCTGAGGCCCTTAGGATACAAGAAGCACATATGCAATTAGCGATCAGGCAGGAGATTCATAATGGAAAGATCGAAGGGTACAGTAGAGGCCTTCTCCATACCCATATCCGTCAAATGGGCCATCTCCTCCCTCGGTAAGTGAATATCTTTTCTCTCACCTTCGTTATGATTTTGAGTGTATTATTCTAGTATATGCTGATTAAATCTCAGCGATCGGCTCTTCTCAATCTATCGCTAGGAACGCCCAGATGCTCTTCGCCGCAGAACGCTTGATCTTCAGCGGCAGCGCTAGGGGTATCATTCACCTGGTCCAAACTATGTTTGGCATATAGATGGCTATATGAAGCTCTCAAGATATGGCATTGAGATATATGCTGCAATTGACGGATACTCACGCTATATCCTCTGGATCTACGTTGGTATTTCTATACGAACAGCGATCAGCGTCTACAAGCAATATGTCAATGCAGTTTCAAGCTTTGGGTATATACCGCGGATCATTCGCACAGCAATATATTGTTCAGTCTGGTCAGGCTAGAGATCACCTGTCTTACACGCCATATATCTTTCTCCAACCATTAAAAAAAAAGAAATACCTACATGACCATACAAGCCCCAGAAAAGTGCGAAGCGATCGATCGATTTAAAGAGCGAATGGAGCGAGACTTGCTATCGCATTGCGACATATCCCCCCTCTAGATTTATGCACAGCCGGAGAAGCGCTGGTTTCTCGATGAATTTCGTAGCCACAGAGCTTAGCAGTATTCGGATCGAGCTACCAAAGATGCCGTTCCTTTACGTGATGGGAGGACCAAGATAACCATTAATCCCACAGACCAGCGTACCAACCCCAGATTCACTTCTTAATTCCCTTCGATTCCCCTCAGTCTTGGGCAGTCATTCAGCACGTGGGTGACTGTTTCTTACCCGTCGCACATGCCCTGATTATCGAAGACTGTTTTGTATGCTGGCCTTGTAGACTGAAAGAGACGGGGAGAGAAACTCCAAGCTGAATTATCTGGGGGGTCCTGTCAACGGGTCACATGACCTCACCAATAGTGGTGCAGAGACACATTGTAATTAAAAACCACCATGAATGACCATCTTGTCTAGATTTTTTTTCCATGCATTTCAGGGTCCACGCATGGTCTCCCTTCCTCGTCGGGCTTTTTTTCTATGATAAACCCTCTAATCAATTACCATTACACGTATATCCAGTGATGTCTTCTTACTGTAATGTAAGATACACATCACAGTCTAGAAATGCGATCTGGAAAGCCGGCTTTACGTTCTATATTATTATTGGCCAGTGACTTTAAGCTCGGTGGAGCCTGTCAGTCTTTGTGGGGCCTGTATCGCGGTAATGAAGGTTGCAATCCATAGAGCGGAATCCGAGAAGTCGAGGACCATGGTTGAGTAATTGGGCTCTTTTCTTGTCCCTGGCTCACGCAAGAACTTTTTTTATAAATCAGGCGAGCGACCGCCAAAGGTTGAATTTCAGCTTTACTAATCATATGAGTCAATAAGTTAAATGGTTCCGATTGAGTTTGTTGAACTTAATCCCACTGTTGTATGACAAGCTTCTGCATAATTGATCTATAATTCGTTATACCTCGTGGTTTGAGGCTTGCGCACATATGGGCTGCCCACAATGGATTTCACTCTATTGTAATGATTTACTTATCCGTTAGACTGCTATATCTTCTCGAGATAATCTAAGCTCGGGCTATCGGATTCCCTCCCTCAAATGTGTCTCCCCTACGCAACACCTTTCGAAATCTTCAACTGCCATATTTCTTCACCCGCCATATTTGGAAAGTTCGCGACAAGGTCTGTCAGCTATGACGGTTATTTTGAGAGGAGCCCCATTGGGTAAACTGATACGATTCCTCAGTCGCAACACTATTCTTCCATATCCTGAGGAATTGACTGGTTTTAAATACCTAGCGATATCCGATGCTGCTCTCAGCTTGCCAAAACTTCGGCAAGGTGCTATCACTACCACGACGGCCACAAATAAACGGACACAATTACCGAACCGAACGAGTTGTGAACGAACAATTGCATCCCCAGGGAGCCTTGTATCCGAGCAGAATATAGTCCAGCAACGTTTGCGCGATCATGATCTAGAAGACCTGCATCTCAGCCGCCCAAAGAGCCGTCTAGAAACTGCGCCCTACTCTGAAGAGCGATTGGAAATCGAAGCGGAACTTGCTCTTGAACGGACGCAGACAACATCAATCATTCCACGGAAGTCCTCGGATTGTTCCATTCTCGTGGACTGGTATACCTACGATAATGAAGCAAATCCTCAGAAGTTGTCCAACAGAAAGCGCTTTTTGGTGTCGTTAATAATTTGTTTATACACCTTTGTTGTATAGACCGGCTCTGCCATCTACACTTCGAGCGAACAGGGTGTTATAGAAAATTTCAACGTCGGACCCACAGCCGCATCACTCCCTCTATCCCTCTACGTTCTGGGTTACGGTATTAGCCCTCTCCTCTGGTCTCCATTATCGGAGATTCCAGTAATTGGGAGATCTCCAGTTTACGCTACAACAATGGCGTTATTAACCATTCTATCCCTTCCCACTGCGCTTGTTGATAACTTTGCTGGCTTTTTGCTTCTGCGGTTTTTTCAAGGATTCTTTGGGAGCCCTTGCCTGGCAATTGGGCGGCCACGATGCAGGATATATACTCGCTTCTCCACATGTTACGCACTGTGAGTACCACCTATTCTTAGCCCGTAAAAAGTCTCAGCAGCTTCCTGTGGACCGGCTATTGGGCCCCTTCTCTCTGGATTTGCGGTCACCTCCAAGGGATGGCGCTAGTCATTGCGGGAAATCCTCCGGGCAGGGGCCCCATCTTCCTTGCCATGTTCATGCTCCTTCCTGAAACCTCCCACCCCAACATCCTCCTACGCCGCGCCCATCGTCTCCGGAACGTAACGGGGGACAAGCGACTTCTGGCAAAGTCTGAAATTGACCAAAAAAAACTTTCGGCCGTCAGCTGTCCTTCTAGATGCCATCATAAAGCCGTTGGAGATCACTGTAAAGGATCCAGCCATTGCATTCGTGAATATAGATATGGCTCTGGTTTACGGGATTTATTACAGGTTCTTTGAGGTGTTCCCGCTAGTTTATCCAGTCTACTATGGGTTCCACTGGGCATGATTGGTTTCGTCTTCACTTGCGTGCTTATTGCCTGCCTGACTGGTGTTACTATCTACTGCCTGTATCTTTATTTCATACTCGTTCCAGACATCAAGGAGCACGGCCTGCACACGCAGGAACCTCGCCTGTTGCCTGCCGTCTATGCCTACTTTGGCCCTACCATTGGGCTTTTTATATTCGGCTGGACCGCTCGCGCCGACATCCATTGGATCGCGCCAACCGTCTGTATCACTATCTGCGCTACCAGCGTCTTCATTGTCATGCAGTGTATCTTCGTCTACGTGCCCCTCTCGTACCCTCAATACGCTGCATCAATTTTTGCTGCGAATGATTTTCTGAGAAGTGCCCTGGCTTGCCGGAGTATCTTGTTCGCAAGGCCACTCTTCATCAACCTTGGTATCGCTAAAGGTGTTAGTGTACTGGGCGGATGAAGTGTGATTTTTTTTTTCGGCATGTTAGGCCTTTGGACGTTCGGCGCGAAAATGAGAGCGAGGTCGAAATTTGCGATTGCATAAATATAGGCCGCGCCAAAGTCTGTTGTTTTTCTTTCATTAGATAAAGTAGCCTCTCTCCCAACCTGGTCCTTAGCCAATTGCGCCGGCTGCTTATCCTCTACAATTTTGCATAACCGCATTCGCACCATCTTTCTACGTCATCTTCCGTTTCACATTGGTAGGCCAGAGCGCTAGCAGACGTACTTAAAAAATAGTCCTGCGACTTAATGAAAGCTTTGCGACAGTATTGTGGTCGAGAGACTTCTTATTTCCTTCAATACCGTCATCGCAGATTTCAAGCTGCTGGACCAATAGAGTACATGCATGTGTGTATCGCTAGATATGCCGTCGTATGCGCTAAAATAGAGAGCCTCGTCCCTTGGGGTCCTGAACTGGCTTGTAATCCAGCCTTTGAACTGGCTGAATTGTACTTGGTGGTGATTTCATCGCTGAACTGAGGATCTCTGACACTGGTGAAAGTATATCAATTTGACGAATTACTTTACTACTTTCTTATTTTGACGATCTGGGCGCGTAAAGGAGTAAGAGATTCGATAGAGAAATTCCTCAATTTAATGGGCATTATTTCGATTGCACTATATTAGCCCAATATGACTTATTAATGAACATGACATAGAAGGGCTGCTGTATTATGTAGTAGTAGGAGTGGCAGCAGTTGGAAACGTCGTCAGTTCCCACGATTCTTCTCCAGTCCCCCAGAAACAAAGAAAAACCTTTGGAAAACTCTACGGTCTATGTTCCTGTACCACCAGTGATTCGCGCACCCAGGCACGTTGCACCTGCTTTCCACGTAGTTTCACAAATTAATACCCCCCGATAAATAATAATAACAGAATTAAAAGTGGCGGCAGGATTATTCCCTATTAGTTTAAATAAAGCCTAATCATCCCCATATCTGAAGGAGTCGAGGTCCGTATATAAATGACAGTTGGCCATAGTTAATTCAGGAGCGCATAATCAGTCACTGCTCCTGTTCGTTTACTTCCTGAATCCTTGAAGGGCGATCATGACTAAGGCTTGTGTCATGCCAAACATGCAAAGGAGGTTCACCCCGAGTTCCTCACCAATGATTTGTCGACTCAAGCAGACTTTGGCAACCTTGAACGACCCACGGCCATTTCTGCGCAAAGTCTGGAGAGACTTCCCAGCCATGCGGGTCCCACGACTGTCCCCATACGGTGACTCCTCCCCTTCCGTGAGCCACTTGCTGAAACCCTCTCATATCGCGACAAAGTTGGGCTGCATCGTATGAGTCTGAGCTCCGGCGAAGAAGATTGTTGCGGAGCTCGGGTACAGGTAAGAGATCGATCCACGGGTGGTGGGGAATGGTGAGCTGAAAAATGGTTGGCTGCAGACTTGGGGGCAAAGATTCGATAAATGTGGCTTCAACGCCCGTGGATGCAAAACGAGATCGGGCTTGCCGAGACATGCGTCTCGTTGTGAGGCCGAGGGTCTTCGCATTTGTCACCAGCGCGCGTGTTATGTTAAACTGGACCAGGCTTAGCAGGGTTTCTGTGCGCGGTGAGCCTCTGAGATATTCTCCATGGACCCATGTGGAAAAATGACGAATGAAATTCTCAGTCAGTTCAGAGTCAGGTTTGCAAGCTGTGAAAGAGCTGATATCCATGAACTTCGGTTTGCAAGAGCAGATGGCAAGATGGGAGCCAGACTGAGGCCATGGAACATTCTGTTCGCCCGGTGGCTCATAGGGAACCATCTCTGCATTTGCCGAAACTCTTGATGTGTGCAAGACACACTCTCGCTGCCAGTATCCAGCCCTCTTTCGTTGTCCTTCAAGCCAATAACACCAAGTTAACAGTCAGCCAATGCCATTTGCCAGCGAGAACGGTGAAGAAACTAACGAAGGATCCGTTGGTTGATTCGATCTTGAAGCTTCTTCCTCTCCTTCGGATCAGACTTCCCAGTCCAATCATCTTCTGGCCTAGCGACCACTTGCTGAGTTGTCGGTTGTACTAGAATGTGATGTTGACTCATTGTTGGAATAGGTGACACAATGAACGTTCTGGGAAATCGGGGAATATGCGGTTGTGGCCTTTTGCCCTTGGTTTCCTTTCCAATTTGTCCTAAGTTCTTGTTCTGCGACGACTAGAATTTATAATCCCTGTGGCAATCGCAGATGATCAATGCAGGTACTCGCCAGTGGCGAATACCCACTGGCACCAGATCACGGGATCGAACCAAAATATCACCTGACCTCACTGACCTACATTACTGCTCAGTGCACGGTGTACGGAACCGTACAAACTACACCATACTGTAGGTGTTGGTACTACTGTATCCAGTACCCACCCGTACCTAATCTTTTACTTTTTCTAAGTATTATAATACAATCATGTGACCCTTGCCTCGAATCATCATGAGTGACTTATTGGCTAGGTAACTGGGCCGGGAATTGATACGGACACAACAGATTCTGTTAACGTAATCCACGGCCAACCCGATCACACGGTCAACCCGATTACCTCTGCACACCATACAAGTACGTTTTTTCAGGTCACGGTATGTCAACAACCAGAAGCAATTTTTTTTAATTTTTAGGAGCATATAACCTCTTAGTATTAGAAACAGTGTAGCATAACTAGAATACCCTATAAAAGATTATTTACTTATATCACCAAAAAATATGCTCCGATCAAGCGAGGTATATATGACAGCGCCCACGGCACTGCTGGCACAGGAAGCGAGAAAAGAACAGGGAGACTGAGTCAAATTGGTCTATCTAGAGCATGAAGACGAAGACGACTAGGGAAAAAGGAAGAAGAAGAAGCAGAAGGGAACAGAACAGGGTCTATAAGGCCCTGAAGCACAAAGAAAAGGAACAAGGCCTGGTCCTGACAGGAAAACCCTGGCCTGCTTCATGCAGGGCCAAAGAAGACGACAAACCCTGCAAATCCTATCGAGGTCAAAGGGATCGAGTCATCAATAAATATATAGGGTCAGGTTAATGGCACTACATGAACGTTACTCGCACTACATACTAAACCTTTTTGGGTTAGTACCCGCCTTGGCAACTTTTCACCACCACAAAGGTACATCCGACACCTAAAAAAACAACTACGGTCTACCAAGGCTTCTGTCTAGATATTTCTATGAATAATAAGCCCTTTTTTGCGGTCGCTCTTAGGGTCAGTATTTACTTCGAGCACGTCACTATATGTTTACCTATTATTCGATAATTATTATGGCTATTTATCATAAGAACCAGAGGAATATGACTACACATAAAGAGCGATATTTCTGTAGGTCTTAAATGTACCTTTTGGTGGTGGGGCGGACGTTAACCGAAAAGGGCCTAGTTTGTAGTGCGAGTAACGTTCATGAAGTGCCATTAACCTCACCCTATATATATATATCAACCTTATCACACCTTAAAATATGTGCCAACCTAATAGAAATACTTAGCATGATATATCAAACAATAAGATACCCCATGACCATATCTCTCGCCTTAGGGGTCAAAATATGATGTTATGAAAAATCGCATTTAGTATAGTGTTTTAGGGTGATCGGGTTGGCCGTGGATTACGTTGACAGAATCCGTTGTGTCCGTAGTTAGTAAATTAGGTGAAGAAGGAGTTTGGTGCTTATATAACACTCAGGGGCGCGCTTAGTTTTACTGAGTTAAAAGCGGCAAGGGGTGAGCACTAAAGCGGAAAGGGAAAGCCATCTCACGCAACCTCAAATTCGGTGTATATGTGTTGGAATTAGTAGCCATCAATTACAATAGCTCGCAAAGAAAGGAGATGGAAATAGCCAAAAACTCAGCAATCTCTTTGTTTCAGCGATGGTTGCTTGAGGTGTAATATCATGATGAAATACCAAATCGGACTTTAGAATAGAAGAAGCATAAGTTTCCCTACTGGAGTTCCAAGTTTTATGACCCTTTGTGTTGTCGATAACATCCTATAGCTCATAGTGCATGGAGTTAGTAATGCACTAATTCTCTGGTAATTTCACATCTTGTATGTACAGTACAAGTACCGCACTGTGCGAAGGGCCATTTTATTGTACGACATAGTTACTCGCTTTCGGAGACAAGAATAAACGACTGCAAATCACAAAATCGTTCATCTTCCCCTACAGGTATCACGTTTGTCTCCCAGCTGCTTCACTCATTTGACAAGCAAACTTAATACCGTAAGCCGCGGATAAACTAGAATAACTTCGTGTACATAAGGATTAATTGTGAATATTTTGGGAAGATAAATATCTATACAAGAATTAGCATGAGCAAACAAGAAAAAAGAATACCGACTTGTTAACTTGCGAATACATAAATCCTTGCTCATTTTCCAAGTCAATAGTTGACTTTTCAGCCTCAAAGAACACTCTATTTGATTCGTGAAATCATCTGCTTTGTACATCATTCTCACAACCAACTTTTTGATACATCTTGAAATACAAAGGCTGTCAAGTCGTGAACTGACCTTTCTATTTAATTGCTCACTTAGTACACGTTGGAGTGGCAAGTCGCAGGTCAGTTGGTCAATTTATCTGGCAAGAAGTTACCGGTCTTCAGTCTCACAATGATTTCTGCCACCAGTTACAGATACACAATTGCCCAACACGACATCTTACATCAGACGAAAAAAAGAACAGATCGTAGAGTTAGTCAAGTAGAATATAATTTGCATTTAGTATAATTGCAATCTAGAAATGAGATCGAAACTCGAGACTCGGAATTCAATATGTAACTTGACTCGTTCTGTCCAAGCCTTGACTTGACTTGACAGTGTTCCACCGTCTTCCGATAGTAACTCCGGGATGTAATATTGTCAGCCAGAGACACGCAATTGATACCATGGCTCCATCTAGCACCATTAAAGCAGGCTCGTCATTAGCCAGACTACTGTGAAATCCACCGTTCAGCTCGAAAACTCTGAAGAAAGATCGAATAAAAATAGTGACGGTAGCGGTAGGGATGCCTGTGAATACCAATTGTTAGCATGATTGTCTTGTCGATTCTTCTCGTGTCATAACTCACAAATTAGAAACAATCCCCATCCTCGACTTGCCCTGATGGCGATAAATTCTGGGTCAGGTAATTTGCGCACTTCATTCGCTTTGAGCCTCACTGATCGCATATTTGACCTGATTAAGAAATCTATACCAAAAGCCATGAAAATACCCAGAGCGGCAACTTGAAACGCAAGACCTGCGATCATGATATTGACGCCCTCGTTGCGAAACGCACCGTCCTCGGCAGATGACGTGATCGCCCCTCCAGCTGCTTGCAATACCAAAGATATAACATCGCAGGTCACAAATATAACCGTGTAATTCCGCGGTTTCAGGCGGGATATGTTCTCGCCCTCATGGATAATGATTATTCGACTTAGACACAGATAGATCGCAGCTCCGAAGAAGGCTGGTGCGATCGTGAGACAAACGAGGTAACTGGTGGATTGCAATTGCATCAATGGTAGAGCTTTTTATGTCGCGCCAATCCGTGTAAAATAGCAATGTGTCTTACAGTAGAAAATTCGTAAATCCAAATGGATCATAGTGTAGTTTTATTCGCCCGATATATCCTAGCACCTCCAGAATAAGACCGCATATCATGGTAGCAGAGAAAGCCCATGCGCGAAAGTGTATTAGAGATATCACTTGCACAAGCAAAAGAATTGAAAAAAGGGCCAAATAGAATGCGTTTCCGGCGATAGAAGGCAGATATTGAATATATGCAAGGTTGAGAGAGCACGTCTGGAGCGTACACGGATTGGCAGTAGACATGATGAATTGCAGAGTCTGCACGGTAGGAGGGAAGTAAACACTTGACATTCATATGTATCTGCGACAGAATATTTCTTCCTTTTATTCCTTTTGCTCGGCCATTAAATACTATAAAAGGCTTGGACTCCATCTCATCTAGTTACTCGGACGCGATTAGTTATATTACCGTGTTACGTAACCGGTTGCCAAAACACCGAGAGCCCGAGAACGGCGGATTAGTAATCATTTTCCCGGAACCGAAAAGGTGCCTTGCCAGCCCACAGAACTTAGATTCTACACAAATTCGGCCCTTTGCACGGTCCCACGTTATTGATTGTATCTTAAAAGCCGGTCCTGTATTGCGAGGGACTAAGTTCGGCCTAGGACTTTAGGCTTCAATCCAAGTGCTCATGCCGACGTCTCGGATAAGCAAGTCGTGCGACCAATGTCGGAATCGTAAAGTCCGATGTCTTGGTATGGTCATCTACCCTCGATCCAGAACAGAGAAAGTCATTACAGGATGCTTATTTAATTACAGTTCCAGCTACGTCTTCGGGAGAACCTGTAGCGTGCACTCACTGCGTTGTAAATGCTGTGAAATGAAATACGCCCAAACAGCGACTAAGTTATTACTTTACAGAAACGAAATGAGACCTGCAGATTCGGAAACGTGAAGGAAAGGCCTGTAAGGAGGACCGGTATGATTTCTTGCTGGTTGCACTCCTTCCAGCCTTTTCTTCAATCTCATGAATTCGCTGACTTAAACAGTTAAGTTGGATACCTATGCACCACCAATAGTGTGTTCATAGATCGTTTGTTCGAAAATCCATCAGAAGAGGCACCTCTGTATGATGAATTCTCCGTCCTAAGGGTATGTTGATTATTGCAGACCCTTGGACAACCTAATTAATGACTGCAATAGGCCGATGATGGACGCGGTCTGTTACCTTGCGGGGACTATACAAATTTAATTTTGATTAACTGACTATATTCCCAGTTCCAAGCTCCGGACTTGCATTTTTCTCAGACAAAAAGGTTGAATCGCTTGTGAACAGATTAGGGAACAGTGAAATCAGAGACCTTGTCCATCAAATTGACAACGCAATCAGAATGCGCTTGCTGGCTAGCTCTAACAACGATACAACCTTCGTGAATATTGTGCGACCCCTGGCCTCCGGGCTGCCTTCACCAGCTAAGTTTAAAAGCTATGCGAACAGTTGGTTCAACCATGCCGTGAATTTAAAATTGAAACTTATCAACTTTCAGGTTACTTTGAAATTGTCCATCCTGTGTTTCCCTTTTTGGATCGATCGGACTTTGAGGGAATGATAAATGATGTCCAGTTGCCTCAAGTTTTGAATACGGATTCCGCGTTTTCTGCCCTTTTTTATGCCGTGATGGCCCTGGGATGCCAGTATCATGGGTGCGGTTCATTTCAGGCGGGCGTCGGGGAAGCCTGGAAGCTTTTTCAAACATCCTTCAGCTGTGTACCTCGTGTTATCACAAGCCAGGAATCTCTGCCCACTCTCCAGGTTAGCCTTTCGCTAGTTAACTGTTTTTTACCCGCTGACTATTATCCAGGCTCTCATTGCAATGGTGTGTCATCTTCTTACTCATAATTACCTGAATTGCGTTATGAACTCTAACTTTTTCAAGGCAATTTTTGCCATGAATACGTGCTCACTACAGATTGCAAACTTCCTTATAGGAGAGGCCAGCCGCACTGTTCTTGCACTTAGGTATCACAAGTCCATCCTTATCGATGCCAACGCTGCTGCGTGCCACCGAGCATTTTGGGTGGTTTATCATATAGAAAAGCAGTACAGCTTTCAAGCGAGAAGTAGTTCGGTACGTTACTTCCATACCTTGAAGAACCACAACAGGAAATAACTTCTCAGGCAATCATCGATCTTGATGTCGGATGTCGAATTCCGCCAGTTCCAGAATCTATTGTCAAAGGCTACAATTGGTTCATAGCCTCCATCCGCATCAGTCGAATATTTTCCATCGCTTATGATTCTCTGTTTTCAGTGACTGCGTCCACTCAACCCGCGGCGTCCCTGCTTTCGGCAGTTGACCATATTCAGAGACTGTTAGAAGATTGGAGACAATCAATTCCTCTTGTTTACAGACCTAAAGAGGCTTTACAAAGACCTTTTCTTGCTGATATGGGCACAAAAGAGATCACCATCCGAACTCACTTTTATTATTTCCACCTCACTATCGCACTTGAGCGAATGAGGCTTCACCTCAGCCCAGAAAAACAGAAAGCAGATGATAGTCTACAGATCATGCTCGGTGCGGCAACAACGGTAGTTGAGCTCACTCGCTTCATTGACGTGGAGCCCTATACGCCTGTCTTGTAAGTATTACACGTTTCCAATTGACATGGCTTAGATCTTTGTGTTAAACTCATATACTAGCATCCTGGCTATCATGCCACTGTCTGCTCTCTTCATACTCTTTGATTTCGTGATCCACTGCCCTGCTCACCCGGACATCCGGAAAAATCTGATTCTGCTAGATATTGTGTCTGGCCATTTCAGCCTCCTTGAGCACGCGTCTCGCGGATCATTACCCGGGAATTATCTATCTCGCTTTGCGCATATTGCAAGACAACATGTTGAAAATGTCGCAAGACAACCAGTTGACAATACCAGGACCGATTCCACCGCGATGGTTGAGGGGGAGGAACATCATCAAGATACGTCTTCCAGAGCAGATGTCTCAGTCGGCCACAGTACAGAATTGAACGGAGTATGTGTCGCACGAGCAAATTCCATCCATGGCAAACTAGCGTGGCTGATGAGCAATTCCACAGACCGCTACGTCGAGATATCACTACGCCAACGATGGGTTTAACCAAGAGCTCAATACTGGATTCGATGCCTATGGTGATCCGGCTACCGAAAACGCCTCACCCCATAGTACCAGTATATGGCCGATTCCTCTGCAAATAGAAAACGAAGCTGGATTAAGCGCCCTCTTTGCGTCGGCAGTATCATGGGAAGATTTAATGGAATCAACAAGCACACATACGGGGGAAAACAATGGCGCTTCTGATGAATTAGAGTTCGTCTAAAGGCCGCGAAGATCAATGGGTTAGCGAGGACCGAATAATCTGAACTTTTAAGTCGTAAAACAAACATGGGCAGTTGACAACTATGAGTACAAAATGAACTTGCTCAAAAATTTTATACAGGTAAAATAGGAAGACATGATGTCCTTTTCACTCTAATGCATCTACCTTGAGATCGTTGCACAGTCTTGCACAGAGCAAGTCCAAATGTAGAGAGAGCGTATCATCATATCACAAAACTGTACCCAGATTAGAGAATTAATACAAAGTGGACCCGAAGTCCGAGTTCAACGCCCAGTAAATTTGAAAAGGAAGTCTGGGCAGCATAGCGTGGGTCTCCGAAAAAAAAATGCTAATCCCCGGGTTCGGTGCCGAGATTTCCGTTCTACTAGCACACTATTTCGGCACTAGTTGGATTTTGTGCCGAATAGGTTAGCTGCCTGCACCTATTAAAAGGAATAGAGGCGCTAGAAGTCAGAAAGATCCTACATTCACTTGTGGCATTTTTTTCAACTCCCCTTTTGTACGTCAGGTAGTTCTGGTATCAGCCTCCTAAGGTCGCAATGAGCGTGACCTCACACCAGGCTTTATCCATTGTCATTATCATTTATTTTTTACCTGCATTCTTTGTTTCGGTGTGGATCTGTCGCTGCCACGGGTTTGGCAAACAGCTAGGCTGGGGTTACATGGCGCTGCTTTGCCTGGTGCGTGTTGTGGGATCAGCCTTACAAATTGCCAGTGAGATCAATCATGACTCCAGCCTTCATACTGCGGCCAATGTGATTGCTTCCGTTGGAATCATGGCTTTGCTGCTTGGAATGCTGGAAATTATCGATCGGTTGTGAGTTCAGAAACTGTTGAAGTTTGTACTCATTGATTTATTACATACGCTGACTACTCTTTAGCGAATCGACACTCCAATACAAGCCTGTTCATAATAGAGCGTGGACATTCCTTCATATCGCCCAATATGCCGCCTTCATACTCTACGCCGTAGGAATTGGCATGGGAAGAACGGACCTCAACAGAGCGGCTTCTATTATCGTGGTATTTGTCTTTGTCTTCCAGGTAGCGATATGTGTTGTCTTGTTCCGCCATAAGCACGAGCTAGTAAGGGACAACAGATTACTCTTCGTTGCAATTACGAGCATACCGTTCCTGGCAGTGCGTGTCGCCTATGGGCTTTCAACAGTGTCCGTAGCCAGTGAAAGTGCCTTTATCACAGGGTTAACAAATGTCCTCCCCAGTGCATTTTTACAGTACTTGATGGAGTTCGTTGTCGCAACACTCTTTCTCTATGCGGGTGTTGTTTTCTTACCCCCAAAACAGGTTGAATCTAATGAGGTTGGAATAATATTGATCGACGATACCGAAATCGATGGGAACCATACCGAACTGCCCCCTAGTCGTTGAGTTTTGAGGACCGGGATTGCTGGCATCAACGAAATGATTGTATTTTAATCAACTCAGGTTTTCAGTTTGGCTGTCGGATAGCACAAATATGAAGGCAGATTCGGAAAAAATATTGAAAAGAAGCAATATGGGCTTGCAACATATAGGTCAAGGCCGTATCGTCATAAGAGCACAGACCCTCCGCAAATCTTTACTACTGGCTTCATTTCCTACCTGAGGGTATGGAAAGAGGAGTGCATCATAGGATTCAATCGCTGATGGAATGAGTTCTGCAAATTTGCCGCCATTGAATTCGAGGGTCGATTCTGAACCTGTATTCCTTTTCACTTGCCTTACTAGCTGTTCCAGAAAGTCTTTGCATTTACGTCGAGCTTAGCCTTCCCGTCGTTACCCTAATTGAGCCAAACCGGAGAACCACACTGAGATATTCTCATATACTTCTTGTCAATGCATATCGTCGATCTCGATTAAAACAGTATCTTTTCAACCAATAGATCATGTTCAGTTCACCAAAGCGTGTTAAATGGCAACTACAAAGTAGGCCACCACAAGTTGAACCCTGCACTAGTTCTAACATCACTCGTCCTGGAACCCGAAAAGATTTCGTAATATGAGTGAATGCAGCGGTCGTGATAGAATCCTCAAGAACTAAATTACTACCTTGTAAATGAGTTAGACGATCATGACTCAAGCGATACTAATGTCACTTTAGCTTTCTCCCAATTGTGTCCTTCCTGAACCCGCTACGTTAATATGTTCTAAGGGTGTGGAGACCAGCTCCACCAAAAGAAAGTCACATGATTTCACCCGAACACCGAGCGTCAAAGCCCAAATCTTTGGAAACTTAAAACGCCTCGGCCCGAGTCCAAGCATAATGATGCGCCGGCCGGTTCGTTTGGTGAACACAACTGCGGCGCACCGCCAAGTTTTGAATAGAGCATGTACGCCGCTATACAAGAAATCTCGCCCGATTTTTCCACCTTTACTGGCGATAAATTTGATCATCGCATTTTGAATACGTCAGTTGACCATAATACTATGGAAATCACAAGTTCATACCGCGCAATGGCCAGTGCAGGAATACAGTTTGTCTATAGCACGCTCGGCAACCTTGAGAGGCCCCCTGCAAATGCTCTTCCGTCTTTGGAATTAGGACAAGGCGTCAAATGGCTGTTCAATATTACCTCGAAGGTATGGTCCCAGTTTGTTGAGACACCCTCCGAGGACATTGAGAAATGTGGAAGATACTTGGTTAGACATCTCGGTTCCAACCTGCGTATCATTGCAATCAATACGAATCTATATGACAGATTTGATTTTTTGACGTATCAAGTGATGGATGGTCATGATCCTGATAACCAGCTTTAATGACTCGTTAATGAATTGGATTAGGCCGAAAGACACGGAGAGCGTGTTTACATCATTGGTCACATGACTCGGACAGCTTCCATGACGCATCCAATTATTTCGACCGGATCATTAATCGTTACAAATCGACCATTTCCGCAACTTTCTTCGGTATCGAATTCATTTCGTTTGATAGCCGTCACCGTGAAGATCTTTCAGCTAACCTCATAAATAGGGCACACTCATTTGGACCAGTTCCAGATCAGCTATTCCGATTATCAAGCCCACGGTGCTAAAAATGCTGTATCAGTGTCGCATATGTCGCCTTCAATAGCGTCTTTTTCCGGAATGCCAGAATTTCAAATTTACACAGTTGACTCGATAAAATTTGGCATTCTGGACATTGAAACTTATACAGCTGATATGGTCAAAGAGGGATTCCAAAATCAACCAGTCTGGACCAAAAGCTACTCGGTCAGGGAGGCGTACGGTTCTCTGACCTTTCCCCGATTTCAGAGCTGACTCCAGAGTTCTTTCATAATCTTACCATCATGCTTGAGTCGGACGATAATGGCTTCCATGATTATTGGGCCCGTCGAATTCGAGGGTGGAATGTGCAGCCTTGTGACTCAGAATGCCGAAAACAGGAAATATGCCAGCTTCGAGCTGCTGGAAGCCGGGACAATTGCCACAATCCCACAGTAAATAACTTATTTGGAGCTCGATGTCAGCCTGAAGCTCCAAGTGCCCAGTGGGCTGGGGAATGTCGTCAGGAAAGCGCTATTTGCATTTCTAAAGATCCTGAGAAGACTATAGAAAGATATATTTATTGCGTAATCACCCGACCCTTTATTAATATGAAAATTTACTCAACTATTGTTGAATAACAGTAACAAATATAATGTGGATCTTTTCCGCTCTACTAAAAAAGGGTTATAGCTTTGACTTTTTCTATATGGACAGTATTGATAAAGATTCACCGAACTCAATTAGGAAGCTTCTCTGTATGTTTGTTCCACGTTTTTACATCTTATTCCGCTCCATTGTACCTCATGAGTAATAACTTTCATAAAAATGAACGTCGATTTCAAGACCTCAAATGTGGCAGCAGAACTTGACTTATACACTATCGGGGAAACCGGCTAGAAAGTACTGAATGACGTTCAGTCATTTGTGTGGTAGCTAGGCTGACGGGCGTGGATCGATCTTGTCTTCAGGATACAGCCTATCAGATTTCCACAGTGAAATAAAAAAGCAGTCAAGCGTAAGCATCCGTTTGTATTTTGCCCGTTGCCCCCAAAAAAATCAAAATCCAAGTTTTCGATCGGCTTCATGTAGGTCCTTCAACTTGTGACTATGAAGGAAAGCTTCGAGATTGACTGGCTGCACGTGAGGATATTTGTGATTATCCAGATCATCTCCAAGATATGCCTTTCCACTGGTGCACCAATAAGCAAAGCATCTAGATCACAAAATTAGTATTGGTTACTAAAAACTTTGTAGAGCATATCCAGGCTTACTGTGGTGCCCACTTGGAAATATCGTCACGATTCTTAGCAAACTCAGCTTGTACGGTATTGAAGAGATCATCAATAGACCCAAGTCGATCAAGGCGAAGTTCAGAATGGTAGACATTCTCGAAGATTTCCTTGATCTCGGAGGCGCTTTTATGATCGCCCAAAACTAATATCGTAAGTTGAATGCCATGAGAGCTTATTAGAGGAAGGAATTGCCGGGAAAGGAAAAGCTTACAGCGGAAGACACCAACGGCGCTTGGGTCCATTGTAACAGCAGCTGTGTACGCTGCTGCAGTCTTATAAGAGGTAAGGTCCCACGCATCGTTGCCTGATCCCCAGACGGCCATGGATTGGGTTTCAGGATCCCAGATCTGGAAGAATTCACTCCAGAACGTCTCCATAAGACCACCGACAAGAATGTGCACTCCGTCCACCTTTTTCGAACTCAGATACTCCATGATAATCTTGGTTGACTCCTTCGGAAACAGCGTACCGGTGGGGATTTTAGTAAAGTCAACAGCGAAGTCGCTCGGAACATATCGAGGAACTCCCGCTTCTTCACATGCATCAACCAGAAGCATTTGGCCTCGAGTCATGACATCTGGGCTTCCAAAATAGCAGCAGATCACGATATCCGTTCCCCGGACAAACTTTTGGATAGAGTTTTTGTCATCGTAGTCGCCTTTGATAACCTCAATTCCGTACTCTTTCAAGACAGATTGTGGGAGTTTGTCGGGACTTCTGCAATAACCTCGGATAGTCACGTCGGTATAAGCTTGTAATTCCTGTGCCACACATTGTGCAAACTTCCCCGTAAATCCAGCAATTCCTACTACGGTAGGCATTTGGAATGACGGGATGTAAAAAAGAAGGTTGAGAAAAAGGTATTGAATGTAGTCAATCGGTAAAATCTTATTCAGCGATAAGTGGGATGCTGTCGCCCATTTATAAACCCACGTTTATCCGTCGTCCGGCATTGAAATCTATTTCTACGACGTCAAGTTCGAGGTGCTGATAAATCCGCCGGATGAAACGGATTTAATGGCCTTAGAGCCGTTCTAGTACAGTGCTAAATATTCTTAGTGTTAGCCTATTAATCTGAAGGTAAACCTGGCGAAGCTCATGCCTTGCGCGTAAGTAATAACCTAGTACTGTAACTGTAGTCCCTTTCCCCCACCCAAGTAATAAATTGATATATTTTTAAGCTTCACCGGTGTGGAAGCTAACTGGATTACACCATTCTTTATACAAAGTTCCATTGGGAAGAATCAGGATCGTTTCATTAATTTCATTGATGCAAGAAACTGATGAAGTTGCAGCTAGTGCGAAATCATGGATGGCTTTTGCGGACTTCAAGAGGCTTGTGTTCGCCAAAAACAGGTTTAACCAGATCATTTTCAACGATCCGCAAATACCACTCTGAAGTCAAGGGGTACTTTGAAGACATCTCTCTGTCAATGACCTGCGCAAATCCCCAGTATAGCCCCGCAGCAACAGAAAGGTCAGCCAAACTCAGCTGGTTTGTTGCCATATATTGGCGACCACCCAAATGCTTCTCTAACGCATCTAGAGAAATATTCAGACGCTCAAGTGACGATTTCTCCTGGTCTTCATTGTAGGCACCCATGCCGTACCGCCAAAGAATCAAGGGCGTGATTGGCCCGAACAGCTCATTGTCAGCGAAATCAATCCACTGCCTGATAAGGGCACGCTCTTCGGCAGTATTTCCTAGCAACTGGCCACTTGCCGGTCCGCTTTCAGCCACGAACTGAGAAATCGCGCCGGACTCAAAAAGTTTGAGGCCCTTCGTGCTCTTGAAAACTGGAACTTTACCCAGCGGGAAATCAGAAAGAAATTCAGCAGATTTGTTGGTCTTGCCCATAACGAAGTCTGGTGCAATCTCAAGAGTTCGACCGTTCAGTGCCGCCACTGCTTGAACCTAACCATCCATAAGCAAATGATTGTTAACTGAGAAGAGGCAAGATACGAACGCACCTTCATTGCCCGAGGGTTTCCGGGGTAAGTAAACATCAATCCGAGAGACGCCATTGTGATAGATTAGGGAGGATGAATTTTGGAAGTGGTTGTGTATGGTGCTGGTGTAGGTTTAGATATAAACATAGCGCTGAACCAGTTAACTCCGCGAGGGCCCGAAAGTTCCGCCATCAATTACAAACCATTGCTTGCGGGTGTCTTCTAAAGAAGGTTTTTGATGTTCTAAGGATAATTTAATGGTCCAGTGACAACTCCGTGAATGATTTGTGGCAATTCCTGCTCATGCCTTAGATTACCCAGTCAACAGAAGCAAGGGCGAATGTCAGTATGGCATTAGCGCCTTTGGCAAAGTCTTAACCACTATATTAAGTTAGTGGAGAACGTCAGTAGGTTGCACTAGCGCATTTGTATTTCCTTGGCTCCGACCCGCAATCGCTAGGATGTAAGTACTGTCAAAGCGAGCTGAATCGGTATAGACTAGTATGCATATTGATGAATGAGAACTACCGGAACCATCAGGTAAAGATTGATTGATTGAAGAAGGAAAACTAGAACGAATGGAAAAGGGGCAGGCTGAGCTGTCCCATGGCGGTGTAACCGAGTATTCGAGTGACATTATCGATTTCGAGGTGTTACCCGCATATTACATACAAACACATAGGAAATGTGGGTTGGATTTGGACCAATCCCATGTCACTGTAATAAATCTCTCCACTTTTCCACGACAAGTACGTAATGGCACGTTTCCCATGTGTAACATACCAAACTATTACAGGGATGATTCTTTCGGTACAAATAAAACCGTTCTCATCTAAATAAACAGGCTAAGCGGGCGTCTTCAAAAGAATTAACGCCATCATGCATGAGTTTAAAACGTACTTTACTTGACCATGAGCACGGAACCGTCATTAAATGTTTGTTGTATTACTAATACTGAAAATGTGTAGCTTACAGCCCTCCTGATTGCAGCAATTTTCTAGAGAGAGAAGTTATAGAAATTTTTAGCTATCAGGTGATTAATTTCCCATCAAAGAGTGACCACGACCTTTTTCGCGGAAACACCCCTCTTCTGAATGTCAAGCGCATTCTGGATATCCTTGAGGCCAGTGCCTACAACGAAAGGATCTGGCTTAGCTTGTAGTCTTCCATTTGCCAGTGCTTCAGGGACAAATTTGCCCCAAATCCATTCGCCAACATGGTGGTTTGGCTCTTGGATGATAGCATATGCGAGAACTATACGCAGAACTGTTAGCGTCACCAAAAATAGAAGATTTTACTTTGTCAATGAGATCTCACCATATTTAGGAGCAAAGGTTGCAGTAGGCTTATCATATGGCAAAACACTAGCCACTGGGATAGAGATATTCAGTGTTTCCACGAGATCAGCCAAAGCCGCAAAGCTCTTTTCCTCGGCAATGGAGTCATAAATTCCCACGAATTTAGTGCCTCTAAGCGCAGTAGCTATGTCCTGGACTACGGTAGAGGATCGATAATCAAAGACGATATCAGCGCCAAGAGACTTCACAAATCCGTGATTCCCCGTAGAAGCAGTTGTCACAACGGTTAAGCCAGAAGCAGCTGCAAGTTGAATGGCGGTTGCTCCAACAGATGAGGCACCGCCCCAGATCAAGACTGTCTGGCCAGTAGGCTCTGCCTTGTTGGCGGAGGGAAGAGGGAGATTGAGGTACTCCTTTTGGTAAAGTCCTGCGCAAGCAGTGGAGATCGCGAGTGGCAAAACGACAGCCTGCTCAAAACTCAAGTTCTCCGGGATTGCTGCAGCGAGGGCTTCCGTCACCACGGGGTAAAGCTGGAAACCCGAGTTGGACGGGTTGCCTGTCATAAGGCCGTGACAGTGTCTAGGAGTCATTTTCACTGGGTCAGCCTTTCACGAGGGAGATATTATAGCAAAGGGACTTACGCAACCACTCTCTGGCCTTTAGTGAAGCGCGTTACTCCGGAACCAACAGCCTCCACAACACCAACTGCATCTTCACCCAAGATAAATGGGTATGTACTCAGGTAGCGACCATGGGTTCTGTAAAGTTAGTATTTGTGAGATGGAAACGAGAGGAACACAAACTGGATTTTCCAGTCGACGGGATTCTGCGATTAGAATTAGCAAGGGAAAATACGACCTTATACAAAAGCCCTCACTATGGCCACAGCTGCATTCTTGATGACGATTTCGCTAGGGCCGGGTGTCGGCCGGGGTCCGTCCTTAACAGCAAAGGGATAAGCACCTGCCCCAGTGAGCCACGCAGCTTGGTTTTTCCCCATTTCTTTTCGGTTCGTGTTGAAGAAAGCGTCAATTCGAGACTGGGAAAGATAAGCTACAAGTTTGAGCTCGACCGCGGCACAGGAATCAAAGGTATTTATAGCGCAGACCATCGGGTCATTACTAACAGATTACGAAGAAACGTAATTTAAGGAATCTGCGTAATTTACGAGCCCGGACTTAAAATGATTTATATCCACTTACATCCGATCGACCGACTTCTAAAGTGGGTTTTATAGATCATAGATGCGGCCAGAAGAAAGCCAGATGAGTAATACCCCTCAGGTTTGAAAGAAGAACCAAAGCCAAATAGAAGTCATTTAGAGATCGCATTTCCTTCATCTGAAGGACCTCATATTTGTTCTGTCTTAGACTCCTACCCACTGCAGCTCGTAACTCTTCTACTTCCTCAAATTCTTTTCTGCCTACTTCAGAATGCCTTTTATCACGAATAACACAGTTCTTGTGATAGGCGGTTCGTCGGGTATCGGCTACGCGGTTGCAGAAAAGTGACTCGCACAGGGCGCAAAGGTTCACATCGCTTCGTCGTCTTCGTCGCGCGTCAATGCAAGCGCTTTCTCTTTGAAACACGATTCCCTAATGGGGAAATTTCTGGTCATTGTTGTGATCTTGCTGATCACAACGTGGAGCAAAACCTCGAAAAGCTCCTAGAAGCTGCGAAGCCCCTTGATCATATTGTGTTCACCGCTGGTGATGCATTTGCCATCAAACCTCTGGCAACAATTGACCTCGATGCCATCCAACGGACTGGACACATTCGTTTCGCTGTTCTTCTTCTGGTTGCTAAGCTCGAAACCCTTTCTAAAACCCTGGTTTCCAATCTTCTTATACCCTGACCAGCAGTGCCGGTTCGCAAAAGCCGTTCCTCAACTAGTCCAATGATCTCTGATTATTTGTCGGGACTTCATGGAATAACTCGTAACCTGGCTTTTGATCTTAAGCCACTTAGAGCGAACTTGGCGAGCACCGGCGTTATTACTACACCTCTCTAGGGCTCTAATGGGTTCCAGAAGAAATGAATCAACATACAACTTTGGGAAAGGTTGGCGCACCTGAAGAAGTTGCAGAGGCATATTTTTACCTAATGAGAGACACAAATGCCACTGGTAGCTGTATTAGCACCGATGGAGGGTTGATCTTGCTTTAATGGACTTAGTTGGTCTATTGCCTGTCTACCAACACCCATCTAATAAATCAATCATTCAACCAATGAGACATGTTGATCCTCCGATTGGCGAGGAGGAGCCTTCGGGTTCTGGGTAGTTAGTTCAGTGCCCGCCAAAGATTCAATCAATCACGATTAGAAAAATTACTGTTAAGCACGCAAAAGCCGAGGCATTGGGACTGTCTCTTACCTCCAACAGGAATCTTAATGCCTGCTTCTCCGAAAGGATTTTCCTCGGTGGGTATGCCGTGAATATGTAGCCATTTTCGTGAATTAATATTGATATTGAGTTTTTGGTATTCTTCCATCATAGTAAAATATTCGAAACCCTTTTCGTATTAATTGATATAACAATCAGTTTTATATACTACTCGGAATTTAAGACTCCCGTCTGCCTTTGAACATTCAAGTCCCCATTTTCTGCCGGTTGCTTTGCTGCTTACAGCATAATCACGAGCTTTTTTGCAGAAACACCAGCCTTTTGAAGATCAAGACCTTTCTGCAGTTCCTCCAGTCCATGTCCAACTATAATAGGGTCAGGCTTGGCCTGTAGCTTGCCGCTTGCAAGTGCATTGGGTACGAAATCACCCCAGATCTTTTCCCCTACATTCTCGTTGGGTGGGTAGGCAATGCCGTATGAAGTAACTAGCAGTTTAATAAGCTCCTGTTTGGTAGAATCAAGATAAAACATTATAGATAGACTTACTGAACTTTGGGTTGAAATTTTCCGAGGGTTTGTTACAAGGCAGGACACTGGCAATCTTGACCGGTCCATGGAGATATTTCACAATAGCTCGGAGTGGCTCAAAACTGCGCTCTTCGCCAATTGCATCGTATATGGCAATGGAATTAGAGTTCTTAAGGTTGTTCGATATATCCTCAACAACAGATTCAGACTTGTAGTCAAACACTGCATCGGCTCCAAGGGATTGAAGAAGACAATGATTAGAAGTAGAAGCAGTGGTAACTACCTTCAAACCTGAGGCAACTGCTAGCTGAATTACAGCCATACCGACAGAGGAGGCACCTCCCCAAACAAGAAGAGTCTCAGATGTTGTCTTCAACTCGCTTGATGGCAGAGGTAGACCCAGATATCCGGGAAGATAGAGACCAGCCGCGGCCGTTGAGATAGAAAGGGGTAGGACGGAAGCTTGTTCGAAGCTCAGAGAGGCAGGAATCGCCGCAGTCAGGCGCTCAGAGGCGACAGGGTACAGTTGAAAAGACGAGTTCGCATATTCTCCTGTCTTTGGACTATGGAGGTGCCTAACAAACAAACATGAGTGCGTTCACTTATATATTACCGAATATCCAGGTAACTCACGCCATGACACGTTGTCCTTTATGGAACCTAGTGACCCCTTCCCCTATATCTTCTATTGTTCCTGCGGCATTTCGTCCAAGAATGAACGGATATGCCTTCTGATATGTGCCATTCTCCCTGCAATCCCATTAAGTTTGATGCACAACAAAAGGGAAGGTGCCGGGCACCTACTGGTTTTTCCAGTCGATCGGATTCTAATTGCATGGGTCAATAAGAGGTGTATGAATGATGCCATGGATATTTCGTATCACGTACCACTGCAACCGCATGGTTCTTGATTAGCACTTCTCCAGCTTTCGGTTTATAAGACGGGGCCTCTGCAATCAAGAAAGAATTGGTTCCTGGAGAGAGAATCCAGGCGGCACGGTTTTTCGCCATTTCGTGAGGTAGTAAAGGTGCGAGATTCAATCGATGCAAGTAGGCGTACAAGGTTAGGTACGAATAGAAACCAACAAGAAATTAAAATATTGCCTGTAAGACTTTTCCGTTCATTTCAGGGTTGCATGCGTGGCTCCACTTCCGCGTGATATTTTCCATAATGTTTCGTTGGCCAATTCCCCTTAATACTGCTAAGTCTCATGGTAATAGATATGCTCCTGTTCAGTAAGCTATGGTTGGTCATTAGAAGAATGTGTCGACCTGAGGGGTGATAAATTACCACCAGGAGTCGTACTGTTCAATGGATACCCGCTGCTTCACTAGAAAACCACCCTTTAACAGCGGTCATCTGAACACATTAATCACTCAACACACTCCTTGGAACCTCTGACCATGGCTAGCCTATACACCATTCCACATATCCCACATAAAGCTTAACGGCTGCTGAAGAAAATCCGTAAAAGTAGTTGATTCTGAGAACTATAGTACGCATTAACATGCGAATAGGGCCAATGGGGTAATAAAGACTGAAATTGAGATGTTTCCTCTTTAATCCCAGGATCGCACAGAATATTACGGTCCTTGTGGTGCGGTATCATTTCGGGTCGTAGGATATTGGTACGCGCTAGCACTGAGGGAACCAACCATGAGACTGTTAGTTGATTGATTAAACTAGTAGACCACTGTTGAGGGGATCTGTGCCTATTCGGCATTAAACCCCTCTCAATTGGGCTATCTCCGTTCTTTAGTAATATCCAGACGGGCAGATTTTTCGGTCTGAATCAGTATTCGCCTCCCCCTTCTGAATTTTGACTTCGGATTTACACATTGGCTTGCTTAACTCTAGCTTCCATCGCGTAGTTAAGCTCGATACTGAAAAATATCGCTGGCGAGTTGCCGGTCCCACAGGATAGAGTTCAAGCTAATGCCTCTTCCTGCCCGCCGATCCCCACCAACTGGTGAACGGGTTTTTCGTCTCCTGTGATTGGACAGTATGACCCTTCTGACCCATTTTCCCAGTACAGTAGCAACCCAAGCAATGGTGGTAATCGGAACGCTAATGCAGCCAACTGACAGCCCCACCTGAGCTTAAACTGGCCGCCCAATCGGGCCGAGCAAAGGGCAATCCGAACGGAGACCTGTCAATTTCTGACGTTTCCATTATGCGTGATTCGCAGGAGTATCCTTACGTATTCGGTGTACCGTGGCGGTATTGAGACGATTCTTGAGACCCCAGGGTCAGCCAAAGCGTCGGCCATAGCCCGTCAAAAGTACATATTTTGCAAGGCCGTTCGAGGGATTTTCAATTGCAACAGAACATCTTCGTATGATGACTTCCGGGAAGAAGAGCCAAAGAAATGAACTAAGAGCTAACTTTTTTTGGTAATTGTAGAAGAGACACCACTGTTTGTGATAGCGTTGATGACTTGATCGGTGGCAAAAACAGCTTGAGTTTCTCAAGAGGAATTCAAAGCCGTGCGCGGAGAGTACAATCATCTTCCAGAGCCCATCAAAAACTTGGGCTACATCATCGTTCTCCACGGGGAGGTCGTATTGACCCTTCAAAATGGCAGCCAGGTCACGCTCCGCCAAGGAGAGACTACCGTTCAGCAAGGTACGACGCACAGCTGGGCAAACCCATCGAATGAGTGGGCTAGATTACTTTCAGTCATGCTTCCTGCGAAAGCGATTCTCGTAGACGATAAGGAATTGGAGTCATATTAGCCTTTTAATTAGTGGGCTATATTGCAATCGAAGATGATCAAAAAAGTACCTCGTGCTGGGTCTCTGTCAATCGTCGGGGGGTTATCACTATCATTAGACAGTGTGAATGCAAGGAGCTCTACTCTCAGCCACGCATGCCATTGACTACCGTGATCACGATGCAGGTTGTGTCTCAGTGTTTGAAATGCGGTCGTTGGGGCAACGCTGGATCGTGAACAGATCACGTTGTGAGAACGGGGAAACCTGAAAATCTCCGGGCATTTGGTGACAGAATGGATTTTGCTGAGGCCCGATATATCCGCGAATGATTTGTTTGTACACCAATGTGCCTTCAACGACCTTCAACGACGGTGTCTCCATAGACCTGACACCACTATCCTAGTACGGAGTGGAAGTCATGTCTCGTTGATTTACCAGAATCTGCACTGAATTGTGGCTCACCATGGCATTAATTGAGCCACCTTCCAACATGTCTCACTTTGAGCAGATAACCTCACCAGTGAATAACCGATTCTATACTGTGCTGACAGGATAGATGCTGCGATCGACCCGACCTATATGCATTGAACAGGCACATCTGAGCGCAACGAGCATTTCACAATCACCTACCAGGCCAGCATCAATTGCTAGCCGAGATCACTTATCGGCCACTATATTATGTGAGCCAGTAATGCTCCCTCAGAACTAGTAGCTAATATCTGGCAGAACTTGCCTCAGAGCGAACCCCGAGCGTCCGATCATCATGAAAGCCCCAGACGCAAGTTACAAATCCATTTCGTGGATACCTCCATCTTCAAATCTACGCACATGTCGTCACTGCCTCCCATGATTCGGAGACTCTGAGGGCGTGCCAACATCAAGACTACAGGTGCGCTCCGCCATGGCTTGTTGACTGAAACCCCATACCACCGCTCCAGTTATCTTGCATGAGGGTGATTCGTCGGCAATCAGGTACGTCTGCCAAGTGCCATTGGTCCAGGACCAAGTGGTGTAGGATTTGCCGATTCTTTGTGGCATCGTGTACACCCTATGACATGTATATTGTGATATGAGTCTGGTGCAGATCAGGAACCAAGTCGAACCATTGGAACTAATCCCAAAGTATGTATACGAAGAACAAAGTTGATTGGAAACCAACTCGATCTTCTCTTTTTATAATATAGCCTCATGTTTCCCTCTTGTTCTTTTCCTCCTACGTTGTTCTGTTGCTTTTCTTGCTCCTCTATAGAAGCTCCCTGAGACAACTCAAACAAACTGGATGGCCCTGCGCAAAACGGCCAAGGCCCAACATGTCACCGGATCCCCCACTACAATAGTTAACTTAGTTAACTAATTAAACTAGGTGTTTGAGCAGCAGTTGGAATTCAGAGCGCGAAAGAGGGAAATGAGATCTTCTCGGAAGATGAACGTGGGATCGAGGAAAGAAAAAGAGAAAATATACTTGTTCACTCTATTTGGGATTATCTACATTTGGTCCAATTTTCTGTACTTGTGTCGCAGAAGCCTTATGCTCTAGGTCCTGAGGCAATACAGATTTTCAGAAGAAATATCTCAAATCGTCACGTAAGGCGATGAGTGCGCATTCTGCCGACAGGCCCCCCACAACATGATCCATGGATATAAAATTTCCGATTTACTCGCGATTGGGTAGGTAATTGGGAGCTGGATTGGTTCCTTCGCACTTCCGACATGTCGTTTGAAACATCCGCTCGGACTGTTTGTTTCTGGGGTGCTTTGAAAAGTCAAGGAAAGCAAATTGTGTTTTTCGCAAAAACTTGATAAGTGCTAAGCCCGATTAGCATTGGCATCGGAGGAAGAGACGATATCGAAGGTATTGTCCTTGATCCTTCATTTCTCGGGTATCTTGAGGATCAATATGGTGTTTGAGAGAACCAGACTATCTCGTTGTGGGAGCAGACACGATGTGAGTGCAAAGGCTGAGGTTCAGAAATAACGGGTGCTCGGGAATAGTAAATAGACATCCGCTATCAGACCATATATCCTTCTTAGGGGAAATATCGGACAACAACTTCCACGCCAAATTGAATTTTTGAAATATCTCAGGAACCACGCCAGTTGGCAACTTCTCGTAAACGGCAGTTTCAAGTTAACTCCCTGCGCTATCATTTGATACCGGTCTCGAGCTTCCTCGACCAGTATTGCGATGTTGCGCGCGTTAAAGGGCGTTAGGCCGGTCCCGCCAGGGGCTTCTGGAGGCCTATTAAAATCTCTGCCATCGAACAGAGAGCGCGTATTAAACGCTAACCACACTGCACACGACCTTCTAAAAGAGCTTAGAAGGGGTTAGAATATAGCAAGACCAGCTCCTAAGGTCGTCAACTTCCTCCGGTAGTAGAAGACCTAACGAAGGACCTCCTGTCGACGCCCCTAACCGACTAGCAGCAGGAGCTCGAAGCGCTGCGTAGAGACCTAAAGCAGGAGATTTAGGCCGTTAAAGCGGCCGTCGAACCGCTAGTAAGGCAGACAATCAGATTGTTCGCTAAAGTAGCTGTTAGAGGGCTAGCGCCGGTACACTTTCTCTCTTCCTATAGCTTATCGAGTAGCTTACTAACCTGCCCGGCGGAGGTAGTACGTAACCGCGAAGTTATAGTATACCTAGGTAACCGCTCGTAAATTAGCGTATTTCGCTATCTAACTAGCGTAGAGCTTACTAAGCGCGCGAATTAGGCTAGAGTAAAAGCGGCTCGAACGACTAATACTGCGCCCATAGCGTCCGTTGTAGTGCTTATATCGCGATAGTTAAAGTCTAGTAATCTCCGCTTTATAATACGCGATACGAAGGAGGCCGAGATTATACGGATCTATTAAGAGAAATAGGCGAAGGGCCTATACAAGACAGCGTTTATCTATATACTAATATAGGGAATTATCGTAGACGATATTAATATACGCTCGCTCGGGATTAATAGGGCGTCGGATAAGATACTGCAGGAGAGAGTAATTAAGGATCTGTTAGCGAGTAATGTATAGTACTAGGGGGATAGGGCTAATATCACGAAAGTTAGCTAGCTTTATATCCTATCAAAGAAGAGTAGCTTACTAGTCGTTAAGTTTACCTCTCTAATACTAGCGAATATAGCGATTAATAAGGGGGTCCTCTAGGACTATAATAATTTAATAGCTAAGGTCTATAACCGATTAGCTTATATATAGTAGTATTTTAACTATTAATAATATAGGTATATAGGAACTACCTATACTAATACTATGAAATACGTATACTACGCTAAGGGCTATTAGTCTCGGGATTGCCT